AAGTCCCCTTGAACAGCCCCTAGAATCCCTAGCGACACATGCGGTGGCCTTCTCGAAAGCACACGGGGATCACTCCAGCCCCTAAGCGTGGCCAGCGGGGCTGTACGCCTGCCTTCATGATGGTCTTCCGCATCGAGCCCATCCCAGTCGTCCACGTCGCGCAGCGTCAGCACGACCTTGGCGTCCCGGATACGCCTCCGTCAGCTCCTCGACAAATACGGCGCCAGGGAAGTCCGTGATGGCCTCCACGTGGCCGAGGAGCTGGTCCCAATCCTCCCGTGTAAACTTCTTTCCACCGTAGTATTTGCCTTGAAAGGCTTCCTTCCACATCACCGCATCCTGGGGGTTTTGCATAATCGATGTCATATGGTATGTGTCATATCCGAGTTCCTGCAGCGCCAGCCAAGTGGCTAGTAGTTATCCGTGAGCGTCCATCCCAATGTGAGAGGTTACATGGTCAGAGTCCGACGTGCGCAAGGGGCGGTCAAGGGAGAAATAACCAACAGGGGCACCTACATAATGTTCCCGTCCTGCACAGGCCCAGCACCAGGACCTTCATGGGCTTGACGCGGCGACATGTGCGCCGGTCGATCTGGCTTTGCACTCGGACACTTTCAGCCGCTTGCATGGTGCGTAAATTTTGAGATGGGTGGAGTTGCAGAAAAAACACATTTCCCTTACAATGGGAGAGAATTACTACTTAAGAGAATGTCTACTGAGCTCCCTGGAGATGATATTTAATAACGATGGTCGGCATACCCACTGCTGGAATTGTATAGCATTAACAGGGAGATGTAGAGGTGCGAGTTAATCGGGATGGAGACCGGCATGTTTCCGCCAAGCATTTGTACAAAAATACAATATACAAATAGAAGAACAAGTTAAAAAGGATAAAAAAAGGAAAAAAGGAAGAAAAAGAAATAAGATGATCTCCGTGACTGCAAACTGTAGTTCAGTGTAGAGCTTGTACGGTAAGCATGGGTAAACTGGGCCTTCGCCACTAATCAGGGCACACTCAAATCGAGCAGTCAGGGCGTCCTCGAACGAGAAGCTCAGCTCTCAGCTGCGACCCATGGCGGAGGGAAGCGCCTCCAGGGCGCAGAAATCTGGGTTCTCAGGGTCCACTACACGCGCACGACCACTGACATCGACATAGCTTTTTGCCTACTTGGGAAAATGAGCTAGACGAGGGTCGCGGAATCCGATTCAGATCCGAACTTAATCCTTGGATTTCCGCGATCGACTCCGGCAGTCTGGGAAGAATCTGGTACTATGAGCCGGCCTCTGGGTAAATTCCACGCAGGTACCCACGACAGCATTCTGGAAAGCAAGGCACCACAACTCTAAAGTAGAGGGTTCCTTACATTGACCAGCTGTTGGGGGAAGATGAATTGACGCGTTTGGAATCCCTGGACGGCTTTCTAGAAGCCACGGCAAGAAGGTGGCTGAACGGGAGTGGCGGCAGGCCGGCAATTGCGCACACCCTTAATCCAACCTCTGGGCTTGCGTGAGAAATCAAATCTCGAAACAAGCAGACTAAAAAAAATAAAAATAAAAATAAAATAAAAAATAGTCAAGGGGAAAGTGCGCGAAAAATCTGCAAAACTAATTCCGAGCCAACCAAATAAAAACTTGGCAGCACAAATGCCGATCGGGCGGGGCGATGCGGCAACTCTATCTCATCGTATTGTAAGGCTGTTATGACCGTATCGGAACTCCGTGAAATACCATGCAATACAGCGACAGCTCAGGCACAGATATCCGCCTCCCATACCTCTTGGCCTTGCGGTTTCCACTCTGGATCAGATCCTCCAGGAGATGGGCCACGACTCCATGGCTGCGAGAAAGACGTACCCAGTCAGACCTCTTGTGGATCCACGTATCCATCCATTTACCCCCAAGTCAGCGACTCCCGTCAGCTGTAGAACTGAGTGACTCTTTCTAGCCTGCCCCATCGAAGGATTCCCAGGTTCTGGGAGGGTCTCCACGGCTGATTGCCCCGATTAGGAGGCTGAACAATCTATTGTTCTCGACTGTCAATGAATTGTATTCATCACTCGGGCGATCGGCAAAAAAAGAAACTATCGATTCACATTCTGGAGGGCAGGAAAAGTTTTTGCGAGCTGTTGACAGCCAGGTGCCAACACTCCACCACCGGCTCATCATCTGCGCAGCAAGTGACGTTGTCTTTCTTTCTCCTCTCTTTCCCCTCATTGCGCCTCACGCCCATATGTAATCTTATCTTTTTCCTTGTTAATATCTCAATTCTGTCTCTTGGGCGTCGTCTACCTTTGTCGCAGGCATGTTGAAAGTCGTGTCTGCTCACCACAAGGCAGCGCCTTGTCTGTTTCCCACCGAGAACCTCCCGCGTGATGCGCGGGGTTTTCGGTCGATTCCAGTCGCATGGGACGCGGAGTCGCCATCTGCACCCATTGCAGCTGATATGTTCCTCCGAGCGTGGACGGTGGTGCTCCGATACTATGTCGGAAGTGACATGATCTGTTTTGGGCAGATCGACGACACAGCCAAGGCATCCCCGCGATTCACTCTCTGTCACGGAGACATTGCGGTGAATGCCTCCTTGAAGGAACTGGAACCTTCGTTTGAGATCTCTGAACATGCCCAGATCAGCCAGTCAGCCGCAGACTGGATGAACGCGAACACGTCCTTCAACACCCTTGTCTGGAAGTCTTCGCAGCCAGAATCCTTCTCTGCCATCAATGACTTAGATACCACAAAGGTAGGATTTGGACTGACGCATTCCGTCATTAGAGACTTGCTAATAGATCATAGTCCGCCATTGTACTACTAGTATCCAACTCCCCGCAGCCGCAAGCCACCCTCCTCTACGCGCCACACCTCATTGGGGACCCCGTTGCATCCGCCGTCGCAGAAGCGGTCGGGTATGTCGCAAGCGTATTCCTCGATGCGCCAGAGACGACCATCGGGGAGATCGATCTCTTTGGGCACAGCTCATGGGAGCAGATCCAGCAGTGGAACAGAACGGTTCCAGACATGGTGGAAGAGTGCCTGCATGAGCAGATCGATAAGACCGCATTGACCTGTCCCGACAAGATCGCCTTGGAGTGTTGGGACGGGTCCATGACTTACGCGCAACTGGTGGACTATACAAATCGTGTAGGGAATTTCCTTATCGACCAGAACATCCGGCCCTCGGTGTTTGTACCATGCTGCTTCGACAAGTCGCTTTGGGCTGCCATCTCCATGCTGGGTGTGCTGAAAGCCGGCGGCGCATTCGTTTGTATCGACCCTGCCCAGCCGATCGATCGCCTGACCACGATTATCGAAGAGGTGGACGCAAATTTCGTCTTGGCTGCGCCGGAGCATTGCAAGATGTTTGCTGGCACCGGGTGCACGCCACTGGCGATCGACGCGGACTTCATCTACAGCCTTCCTCCCTGCCATGGCCTCCCTCGCCGCGCAACGCCCAAGGACCCCCTGCTCGCCATCTTCACCTCCGGCAGCACGGGAAAGCCCAAGGGTATCATCCATGAACATCGCGCAGTTTGCTCTAGTGCTAAGGAGCATGCTGTCCGCCTGAACATTAATAGCGACACTCGAACATTCCAATTTGCCTCTTTCACTTTCATTATTAACACCTTTGAACTGTTTACTCCACTTCTTAAAGGGGGCTGCGCCTGTATCCCCTCCAAGGAAGACCGACTCGGGCGCACAGCTGGAGCCATGCGCGACTTCAAGGCAAACTGGGTATGCCTGACGCCCTCGTTTGTCCGTTCTGTAAAACCTGAAGACATCCCCGATGTGAAAACCCTCCTTCTCGCCGGTGAACCAGTCCAACAGGATAACCTCGAGATGTGGCGTAGCCATGTCCGGCTATTAAACATGTACGGTGCAAGCGAGGCCTCGGTTTGCGTCACGGGTGAATTGTCGGGGTCCGTTGACCGCTCCACAATTGGCACGGGCACTGGCGTGGCGACGTGGATTGTTGATCCGACAGATGATGATCGCCTCGCTCCTATCGGTGCCATCGGAGAGCTCGTCGTTGAGGGCCCTGTTTTGGCGCGCGAATATATCAACCAACCCGAGAAGACCGCCGCCTCGTTCATTTCCAACACCTCGTGGCTTCAGAGAATTCGTGATGGAGCCCCGACGCGTGCATATAAGACTGGCGATTTAGCCCGCTACGGGTCCGACGGGCGCATCAACCTGGTCGGACGTAAGGATATGCAAGTCAAACTGCGTGGTCAGCGAATTGAACTCGAGGAAGTTGAGTTCCATCTCCGCCAGACGCTTCCAAAGGGCATTGAGCTGGTGGTTGGCCTTGTGAAGCCGGTCGACCAGCCGGACAGGCCATTCCTGGCTGCGTTCGTTGCGTTGAAAAAGAGTCTCGATGCTGGTTTCCACCAAGTCGACGATACTTCTTCCCAGCTCCTGGATGAAGCCACTCGTGGATGGAAAGACCAGGCGGCAAATTCCTTGCCAGGGTACATGGTGCCATCTACCTTGGTTAAGCTGAAGCACATGCCTCTCACAGCTTCTGGAAAGACGAATCGCAAAGCCGTTAGTGACTATGCATCGCAATTGACCGTCGCCGCATTGACGGGGGCGAAGAAGAAAGAGCATAAGGAGCCTGCCACACCTACTGGAATTGTCTTGCGCAAGTTGTGGGCGCAGGTGCTGGATCTTCCCCCCGAGGCCATCTCTGCCGACGACAGCTTTCTTGAGCTTGGTGGCAACTCCATCGATGCGATGAAGTTGGTCAACATTGCCCGGGATGAAGCAATGGGACTGAGTGTTGGCGAGATTTTCGGCCATCCCACTTTGGATGACATGGCCGCAGCTTCGTGGAAGCTAGATGCGCAGGAGTTTGAAGACGTTCCCTTCTCGCTGCTCGATGAGTCAATCGATACAAATGACCTAATCGAAAAGGTTGCGGCCCAATGCAAAGTCAGCGCCTCTGCCATCGAGGATCTTTATCCATGCACTGCCTTACAAGACGGTCTAATGGCTCTCTCGGACAGCCGTGATGGCGCGTACATTGCCCAGCACACTCTCGCTCTGGGCAAGGATATCGACGTGAACCGCTTCAAGCGCGCCTGTCAGCAGGTTGTTGATGCGCATCCAATTCTGCGTACGCGGATTGTGTTCTCGACAGAGTCGACATCCCTCCAGGCGGTGGTCCGTGGGGACATTGACTGGCAGGTTGGCGAGAAGCTCAAGGATTTCCTGCAGAGCGACAAGGAGCGCCCAATGCGCAGTGGAGACAGCCTTACTCGCTACGGTCTTGTCCACGAAGGCGTCGAATGGACCTTTGTGTGGACCGTGCATCACGCAGTCTACGATGCCTGGACTTTGGAATTAGTCTTTGACCGGCTTCACAAAGCGTACCACGGCGAACCTATGGCCAAGGATGTCACATTCAAGGAATTCATGAGCTACGTGGTCAACACCAGTGCAAATGCTTCGGAGGAGTACTGGAGAAACTACCTTGCCGGTGCAACTCAGAATGAATTCCCCTGCACGGTGTCCACAGCAAAGCAACCGGTGTCCGACGCAACCTTTGGTTATGAAATGAGCATCAAATCTGCCGATCAGCAGTCGGGCATCACTTTAGCGTCCATGATCAGGGCTGCTTGGGGTATCCTCATCGGCTCCCACTCTGAAGCAGATGATGTCGTCTTTGGCACCATTGTTTCTGGCCGAAATGCGCCGGTCTCCAACCTCGATCGCCTGGTTGGTCCTGGTATTGCAGCTGTTCCTGTGCGCGTGAAGATTCCGGATAATAGCACCTTGACCGTCAGAGACTTTGTCAAGCGCGTTCAGTCTGAGGCCACCGAGTCTATTGCGTATGAACAAGCCGGCCTGCAGAATATCCGCCGGGTAAGCCCTGAGGCCAGTTCGGCGTGCGACTTCCAGACGCTCCTCGTTGTGCAGCCCGCCAAGGAACCGGTACTCACGTCCGAGACTCCAAACCTCCGAGCTGTCTCTGGAGCGAATGCAAACTTCGGAACATATGCTCTGACCCTGGAATGCTCACTGAAGTCCAACGGCGTGGCTTGCGCTGCCCATTACGACTCTAGCCTAGTAGACGGAGACTACATCCGTCGCATCCTTGGTCAGCTGGAGCATCTCTTGCAGCAGATCTGCACCTCGACCGCGGAGACCAAATTGAATGAGCTTACTTTTATCAGCGCTCAGGATCAAGCGAATATCCGCCAATGGAATCAGGACATCCCGAGCCAGGTCAATGAGACAATTCATGGGCTTATTGCCAACCGGTTTACCGAGCGGCCCAAGAGCCAGGCCGTCTGCGCCTGGGATGGCTCTTTTACTTATGCCGAATTAGACCGCCATTCAGCTCGGTTGGCTCGTCGGCTCGCGGAGCTGGGCGCCGGACCAGAGACATTCATCCCCTGTTGCTTTGAAAAGAGCCGCTGGTCCGTGGCTGCCATGCTTGGTGTCCTTCGGTCGGGGTCTGCTTTCTTGAATATCGATCCCTCTCAGCCAGAGAGTCGCATTCAGTTAATGATCAGGAAACTCAAGGGACAGACCATCGTTTGTTCGCCGGAGCAATATGATCTCTGCACCAGGGTGGCGGAGGGTCGCAACATTGTGATTCTGAACGAAGACACTCCGGAGGAATCTACCTCCGAAGTGACTCCGATAGCCCAGGTCAGCCCGGACAATGCTGCCTATGTCATCTTTACCTCCGGCAGCACCGGGGAGCCAAAGGGCACTATCATCCAGCATGGAGCCTATTGCTCTGGTTCCATAACCCATGCCCCAGCGATGCTGATGGATGGTGACACCCGTGCCTTACAATTCGCATCCTTTACCTTTGACGCTAGTCTGGTAGAAATTCTCACTGTCTTGGTTGTCGGTGGATGCGTTTGTATGCCATCCGAGGAACAGCGCAAGAGGGATGTGACGGAAGCGTTCCGTGCTACCAGGGCAAATTGGGCCGTGCTGACCCCCTCCTTCGTGAATCTCATCAAACCAGAGGACGTTCCTTCGCTCAAGACGTTGGGCCTTGCAGGTGAGGCAATGTCGCGCTCTCACATTGAGACCTGGGGACACCGTGTCCGGCTGATCAACGCCTACGGGCCGAGTGAGTGTTGCGTGTGCAGTACGTCCAACGTCGACGTCACGCTGGAATCCGATCCTCGGAACATTGGGCGTGCGTGCTCCGGAGCTTCTTGGGTCGTCATGCCGAATAATCATCATCGGTTGGTCCCCATCGGAAGCGTGGGAGAACTTGTCATGGAAGGATGGAATGTCGGACGTGGATATCTGAATGAGCCTACCAAAACACAAGCGGCTTTCGTTGAAAACCCTCGGTGGTTGTTCCCCGACGACAACACTCGGCCGCCTGTTGTGTACAAGACCGGTGACTTGGTACGCTACAACCCTGACGGCACGTTGAGCTTCCTGCGCCGCAAGGATACCCAGGTCAAACTTCGGGGCCAGCGTGTCGAGTTGGGAGAGATCGAATATCGGATCAAACAGAGCCTGGCTTCGAAGCCGGACGCGGTTGTGGATATCCTGACCCCCAAAGATGCACCAGACCAGCCGCGCCTCGTTGCTTTCCTCCCAATCACCATGGAAGACGGAATGGGTAGCAGCAACGCGCTTGATCAACTGCTCCCCCCGCCCAGTGAGCAGCATCTAGCGGCAGTCGCAGGGCTGGACGATCTCCTTGCCGAGTTCCTTCCGATGCACATGATTCCGAGCGCTTATCTCCCGGTGCAGTATATTCCTAAGCTGCCCTCTGGGAAGGCAGACCGCAAGACCTTGATCCGGTGCGGCAGTCAGTTGACACACCGTCAGATGGCCGAGTATTCTGGTGCTGTTGTGGATGTGCGGCCTCCGACCACGGAGATGCAGTGCACGCTCCAGCGACTCTGGGCTGACTGTTTGAAGCTTCCCACAGCCCAAATCAGCCTGAATGATAACTTCCTTCGTCTGGGCGGCGACTCCATAACAGCCATGCGGCTTGCGTCTGCGGCTCGCGCACAAGGAATTCCCCTATCGACGGCCACCGTCTTCCAGCATCCGACTCTTGAGGCCATGAGTGCCATTGCGGAGACTCTGGCGGAGCAGAAGTTACCCCAGTCCTTCGAAGCATTCTCAAGCGTCAAGTCGATCCCCAAGGATCAGCTGCTTAACGAGATTGTGCTGCCGCAGGCGAAGGTCCCTGCATCCTCCGTCCAGGATGTCGTCGAATCGACTGATTTCCAGACGCTTGCAATCAATGGAGGTCTGAACCAGACCAGAGGTTGGAGCAATTACCTCGTGTTTGATTTCGACGGACCGATTGATCTCCGCCGGTTACAGGTCGCATGTGAGAAGCTCATTGCTCACCACGCCATCCTCCGGACTGTGTTTGTTACCACCGGATCGCAATTATTGCAGGTTGTCCTCCAGTCCTACAAGCCAGAGTTCACTTTCCACATTCAGGACGAACAGGATCCGTCTGAGAGGCTTGTACGGGAGGACCTGGCTCGTCCACCGCACCTGGGAGAGCCGATTGTGCGGTTTATGCTGATCAAGGACGGTGCGGTCCGCCACCGGCTAATCATGCGTGTTTCTCATGCGCAATACGATGGTGCTTCGATGCCGCTGTTGCTGCAGGATCTTCGTTTGGCCTACCGGGGGGAGACGCTGCCCAAGCGTCCCAATTTCTCCGACTTTGTGCGCATGCAACTCCACGTAAACCAGGGAGCGGAAGATTTCTATACGAAGCTGTTGACTGGGTCTGCTATGACACAGTTCGTCTCTCACAAGAAGATGTCCACTACGAACGTCCTGAACACTATGATTGCCGACATGGTTCCGTTGGTTGCCTTCAAGAACCATGGTATCACTGCGGCCACCGTTATCAAGGCCGCATGGGCCTTGGTGCTGGGAGAGATGGCCGCTACCACGGACGTGGTGTACGGTCATATGGTTTCAGGTCGCAATCTCCAACTGGACAACGTGGAGGCCATCATGGGCCCTTGTCTGAACATCGTGCCGGTGCGGGCAAACATGGGTATCATGAAAACCATTCTGGACCTGCTGCAGACGATTCAGCAGCAGCAGACCGACACCATCCCGCATGAGAGCTTGGGATTCCGTCAGATTATCGACAAATGTACTGACTGGCCCGCGGAGACCCGGTTCAGCTCCGTATTCCAGTACCAGGAATTCGGAGGGGAAGACGCCAGCCAACCTCTATCCATTGAGCGTACGCTGAAGTGTGCGCCCGGATTCATCTGCCCGGCCCCAGATGCCTGTGACCTATCCATCCTCGCGACCCCTGTGGGTGAGCAGGTGCGGATCGAGATGATCTTCTCTAATCACTCGATGTCTCGTTCGTTTGCCGAGGGCACGATGCGCAAGCTGTGCTCCAAGGTCGAGTTGATTTCGCGCGGCGTCGAGGCACAGCTGCCTACGGTGACTGAGGTGCGAGACATTCGTCCGTCCATTCCTCTCGCCGAGCCTTTAGTGAACGGCAACGTCAACTCGATGGTGAAGAACGTTGTGAATGGGATCAATTCGCGTGGCATGAATGGGGCCCACGAGACGAACGGGGTTGGAGATGAACAAGAGCCCATGGAGGAAGTCAACCTGTTGGCATCAGTCCGGATTAATTAATTCAATGTATATCTAGTTATGCCTTTCTGTTGTTGGCGTTGGGTTCTCTTTGTTTCTGATGTTCAGTGCGGGATTAACCTATGTAATTAATGGCTCTGCCTTGTATATTCGTCAAGATGGGAGGTCAATTATCGTTAATGCCTACCTAAGTCCGCCTTTTAATTTGATGAAAATAGCTCACAGGCTTTTTTGACTTTTAAAGGGCATCCGAACCGCTGTCTGCCTAGTATGGTGATTAGGGGTCAAACTTTTCACTTTGAGGCGGTATGCAGCTCTGACTTTCATGCCAAAGGTTTCTCTGTCTTGCCAACATGCTGATATTATACGTACCGATAGAACAGTGTTTAGTATTAGTTGCTTGGGTAATTGACTTGTTATGTAGACCTGATGACTGCGGTGTGGCTTTGCTATCTGGAGACTCCAAGTCGGCTAAATATATTTGTAGCTAAGTAGTTCATTACTGATGTAATCATACACAAATGATGATATATTCATGTATTGAGCGAATTATCCTCTACTCATGAACGGTTTGATTTGGTAGAGCAAATAATGAGCAAATCAATGCATCTTATGCAGGTATTTCTGTCGAGATTAGAAACAAATCCTAGAGGCTAGAATAGGCAGCACCATTCCCGGCCAATCGGCACCCCTAAACGAGGCAAAGTGGAGCGGCAGCCCTAGAGGGCGAGTCTAGGGACGGTAAGTGTCTCTACTATCATGCTTGGCATCAACAATGGAATGTCCCTGGTCTATCATCCCACATACTGAACCCCTAGCCACACCTCCTGACCGCACTGATGAGTTGTCTCGCCAATTCGGAGCCCTCTTGGCGCTCTGTATCCCAGACTAGGCGCCACGGTACCGCTTCACGGCCTCCCCTCCAGACCCCATACGGCCTGAGCATCTCCCGTTGCACAACCATAAGACACGGCGGTAACCCAACTCGGTCGTAATGGGGCGTGATTGCAAGACCCCTACTCCATGTATATCTGTAGCCAGCCCCGGATCCAATCGTCCTGGTGGAGGTGGGGTCGGTCTTCCATCTCGTTGCAGGGCCAAGAGCAGCCAGCGCCAATGTTGCACCCACCGACAGGGCTGATGGCCCAGTATTTCTTCTGCCTGGCTGGACTGCGGGCTCCCTATATAACTCCTGAAATACACGGTCCTCCTTCGTGATCCCGTCGATACCAACCTGCCCCAGATCGTACCATCCACCATGTCGTACCAGCAACCCCCTCAAGGATAGTGAGTTGCCGTTTATCTCGATCGAATCGAATCTCCTCATACTGACAGACAAGTTACCCTCCTCCTGGAGGCCAGTACCCCCCGCCGCAGCCCTATCCGATGCAGTACCAGCAGCCGCCGCCACCCGAGGAAAAGAAGTCCGACCATGGCTGTCTTACCACCTGGTTCATACCCCCAACCCCTTTCGTCGCGACCGATGACTGACGCGGTCCAGTTTGATGACGCTGTGCTGTTGCTTCTTGTGCCAGGAGTGCTGCGAGACCTGTGTTGAATGCGCCGACACGTGCTGCTGTTGAGGCTATCCATACCATTTCTTCGTCCTGTCCTGTTTGCTGTTGGCGTGGTTCACCGGCCTGTACGAATGTCCGGGTCGTGACGAAATCGATGCAGGGGATCTAATCTTCTTCCATGATCGGGGTCTAAATATGTCGGAATGGGGCATGATGAAAAGCGTGGGGTGGCAAGCAGAGATCCTTGTGAACCATGCGATACATCTACCAGGATATCCGCGCTTTATGTTGCCTTGGGAATTGTTCATGGCGTCTATTGGCCCGTTCTAATCACGTATCTATGATTTCCATCTCTTGTGATATCAAATTGCGTTTTGTCAAGATATTTCTATTCAAACTCCCTAACCGCAGCAAATTGTACTTGACATGCAACGTCCACTGCTTCTATCATGCCTGTCTATGAATGCTGTTCTGGCCTTTCATTCGTGGTTCGCCCTTAAGCCCCAGTTAGGTTGTATCCCTCCTGTGTCTTCCCAATCTTCGGTGACTACGGTCCCCAATTAAATGATGAGTCTATTCAAAGCCCCAGATTCCGCAATCTCGCACCCCTGCATAAGATATTCACTGATCTCCCAACTTTCCAATAGCGGAAACCTCCCATATAATCCTTCTAGATATATGGCGAAGACTGGTTTGTTTAACTGATATAAGGTGACGATACTGGACAAATTGCCACACAGGGAAGGTATTAACTGTGGTACTACAGTGGAGTCGTAGGTGAAGAGCTGACATCAGACGGCAGATTCAATCATGTGAAGATCCGTAGAATTGAACTGGTCGAAGAAAGGGATCTCACCGGCCTTCTCATCCCTCATCCATCATCCCAGTCTCGCCATGGCACCCACCAAGGTTTCGAGAAAACCGTCGGAATTGGATTTCTAATCCTTCAACAGGAGATCCCCATACCATGAGCAGCGCCATACACTGCATCCGATTCGTTGCAGAATCGCGCCAATGGACTCATTGGCAAATGCAATGGGTATGAATCTTTCGCTGATGCGGCAGTCTCTGTGGTCTAAGAACCCAAGCCATCACATATACTCAAGGACTGTAGGTACAGCAGGTTTAATTGCATCGACTTGACGCTGACATCACGAGTGAGACATTGCTCTAGGGAGCCAGACGTTCAAAAACGCACCGACCTTTTCAGTGGAGAAACAGGTCAATCGACCATCAGCAGCATGGCGCAAGTTGAACCTCCCACCAGACCTCAGAACCGACCTCTAGCCCAACGCACATACACACAAGGAGAAATGAAGAGCCTCCTCGCAGCTTCAGTAGTATCGACTTTAACGCTGATATCACTAGTGAGACATCGCTCTAGAAATCAAGACGTTCAAAAACGCATCGACGTTTTCAGTGGAGAAACAGGTCAATTGACCATCAGCAGCGTGGCGCTGCAATGCCCCCCTGGAGCAACCAACGCGAGCAACCCCCTCCCCTGTTACCGATGGCCCGTGAAGCCCTTTGGAGATGCCGCCATTTTCAACGAGCAGTGCGTTTTACTGCCAAGGACTCTATAATAGAATTCTAACTAACCGGTCAATAGTTTTCTGCTAGTGTCCCAAGACCGACACCAGCTGTTTTGACGTTCGCCAAATACACCCAAGGCATTCACGCGTATCTGCGCATCACGGTCAGGGCGGACCAGTCTCTGGTGAAGCGGAGATGGGACCTGGTGCAGGGACGTTGGAAGCAGCACATCAGTCAGGTCATGTTCTCTGTCTTTCACTCCCAATGGGGGGGTTTCGGGCCTCGACTACGATCTACAACAAAGTGCCAGACGTGGCTGGGTTGAGAAGGTCCAATGCTCAGCTGCTATTTGTTGGGGAGCTCAAAACTCCCTGGGTTCTTGCTCACTCCTTAAGCAATATCAGTGAGGAGCAAGATCTACGGGACATATTGGGTAAGTCAACCTTTTGGAGTAGCTCTTGAAAAGTTTTGACAGTTATATAGGCCAAATCGCTCAGTATATGCAGGGCACCAATATGGCCTATGGATTTATGTCCAATTACGAGGAGACCATTTTTCTGCGCCAAGTGCCTGGTCCCGCTAATACCTGGCGACTGGAGTACAGCCCAGTCGTCGACCACAGCTCGATAACCACAAACGGGGGAATAACTTTGCGCCAGTGCTTCATGCATCTGGCTTTTCAGCCGCAACACCAAGTCGCCAATCAGATGGCCCAGTGGGTTGAGGAGTACTGATAGGAACTGTACATAATCCTGTAGAAAAACATGATCATTGCCGATATGGATCGAACTCATTGACAAAGACCCCCCGAGGCCTGCTGAGCGAGCTCTTTCCCCGTTTCAAGAACATCCCGTCCCCTTTCCTGCCAATGACACCACCCTGATCTCGATTCCAAACCACCTTGCCGCGGAGAATCGTGTATCGAGGCCAGTTGGTGAACTCAATACCTTCAAATGGGGTGTAGTCAATATCGTGATGCAGCATGGAATTTTCTAGATGGAACGGCGTCATGGCTCTTCCCTTTCCATTAGCGGCAACTTGTTCAGGTGTAGGATAGAAAATGACCAAATCAGCATCGAAACCGGGAGCAATAGTGCCTTTGGTAGACCCGAGCCCATACAGCTTTGCAGGGTTGGAACTAGTCAGTTCCACGAACTTCTGAATAGAAAGACGCCCCGTGAGGACGCCATCGCAAAAGAGACTAGGCATGCGGGTTTCGAGTCCTGGAAGACCATTGGGTATCTTCGTAAAAGTAGAGGTTCCTGCTTTCTTGCCCAATGGGTGATCGAATCTTCAGACATTAGCAATAAAAATAGATCCTAAGGAACGACAAATCTCACTTGGACGGTGCATGATCACTGGACACGACAGTGAACGTGTTATTCACCAGCCCATCCCACATGGCCTGCAGATCCATCGGATCCTCGCGCAAGGCCGGCGAGCAAACACACTTCGCACCCTGGAAGCCTTCTCCCCTCAGCTTCTCACTGGTAAATCGTAGGTAATGGGGACACGTTTCTGCCATGATGGGTAGCAGACGGGTCTGCGCGCGTCGGACATGCGATGCAGCGACCTTGGAAGACATGTGCACAATAAGAATGGGGACATCGGCCAGTTGAGAGAGGGAGATGGCACGGTATGTGGCCTCGTCCTCCGCTATGTTGGGCCGCGCGAGTGCATGCGCGTAAGGCTCTGTACGGCCTCGAGCCTCCAACTTCTCCATCATCCACTCGATCATATCGGCATTTTCGGCATGGATCATGGTGGTCATCCCCAGACGTCTAGTGCCTTCAAAAACGTCCAGCAACTCGCGATCGCGTAGACGCATGGGTTGGTAAGTCATGTACAGTTTAACGGAGCTGATACCCTCTCGCATCATGACGGGGAGCTCCTCGTTCATCACCGTTGGGGTCGGATTGGTGAGGATGAGGTGGAATCCATAGTCCGCATATGCTTTACCCGCAGCCCGACGGTGGTATTCTTCAACCACGGGGAATAGACTGTCATCCGTACGTTTCTGGCTGGCGAATGCAATCACCGTGGTCGTCCCGCCAGCAATGGCCGACCGAGTCCCCGATTCCCAGGTATCACCGGTTGGACTGTTGTCCTGCTGTAGGTGGACATGACTGTCAACGCCTCCGGGGCAAACATACGCCCCTTCAGCATCGAGGGTTGGAGCGGTGGGAAAGAGAGCTGTCAGGCTCTGGCCAAGCAAGACTATTTTCCCCGCGGAAATTGCAATGTCTTGGTCCGGTAGGACGTCCGCGGCGGTTACCTGTTGTTGTTAGTCCTGAGGGAGAAGATGGACATGAGGGTGCATACAATCGTCGCATTGGTGACAATCAACTCGATGCCGCTGGTAATCTGCATGGTGATAAGAAACTCATGCAACAAGAATACTAGGCTTCAATGACCTTTCCGAGGTATACTGGCAATCCTTCGGTATTAATCTACCCCTCACGGAGGAGGTGTTTATCATCCATCGGCCGACCCTGATAAGAATAGTTCGAAAGATAGCCCAATATCGCCAGAGGATGCGATACGGCGGAAGCACCGAAGGCTGCTGTTCTCATTAGTTCATCGTTACTGTCTATCAGGATTCTGTATGGGGATCATGCATCGGATATATCTCCGGCACGATAACCCCGTCGTATATATAGCAATCTACCAATAGAGGATAATCCGCTAGATACCCCCTCATTCCTGCTCGTAACCACGCTATACGCACATCCATAACCATGAGTCGAACAGTTCGGATCGCCGCCGCCCAGATGGGCACCACCAACTCATGGGATAAACGAGAAGGCACTGTTCGGCGCATGCTGGCGCTGCTCAACGACGCCGCCGACAAGGGAGCGCAGGTGGTCCTCTTCCCTGAGACCAGCTTTACAACCTTCTTTCCTCGGTATTTGATTCTCGATGAAAAAGAACTAGACGCCTGGTTTGAACATGGGGACATCCGCACCAACCCCAACACCAAAGCTTTGTTTGATTTCGCCCATGAGCGAGGAGTTGATATTAGCGTCGGTTTTGCCGAAGCGACAGACGACGGCGAACACTACAACACATGTGTATACTATCACGCTGCAACGGGGTCCATCCTTTCTAAGTACCGCAAGATCCACCTGCCCGGCGACGTTGAGCCGTTGCCCGACCCTACTGCGGTGAACCAGCTGGAGAAACGCTATTTCAAGCCTGGGAACCTGGGCTTCAACGCCTTCCGTGTTCCAGGCCTCATCTCCGAAGGTGAAACAGACCCCATCATGGGAATGATGATCTGCAACGACCGCCGGTGGGCGGAGAGCTGGCGGGTGCTCGGATTGCAGGGCGTCGAAGTCGTCCTTTGCGGATACAACACAAACGGGTATGCGCCGCAGTTCTGGGGACTTTCTGCGGATATGGATCCCAAGGAGGCAGAGGAGATGTCCCTCTTCCATCATCGACTGGTCATGCAGTGTCATTCGTACACCAACGCTACGTTCTCTGTTTCCGCCGCTCGTTGCGGCCTGGACGATGGGAAATACCCGTTGATTGCTGGGTCTATGATTGTCGACCCGGAAGGTCGCATCTTGGCGGAAAGCACGACCGTTGCAGATGAAGTCATCATTGCCGACTGTGACCTGCTTCTCTGTCGCCCGGGAAAGCAGCGGACATTTGACTTTGCCCGTCACCGTCGTGTCGAGCACTACGGGCGAATCCTATCCCAGACTGGGGTTATTGAGCCCCCATTGGAGAACACCGCGGCGTCTGACTCGTCTGGCGGACAGGCGAACGGCATGAGCAGTTCACTACCCGTGCAGAAAAAGTATCGGATTCTGCTTGTCAATCCGAACTCGTCCAAGTTCATGACTGACAACTGCCTGAAGACAGTGCAGTCTACTCTGCCTTCTGATGTGGAAGTCCATGGCTTTACTGCCCCGGCTCCCGCGCCTACAGCCGTTGAGGGCCACTTGGATGGAGTGTTGAGCGCCGCTGCAGCCGCCCGAGAAATTCTTCCCCTGTCTGATCGATATGATGCATTCTTGGTGGCCTGCTACAGCGATCATCCTCTCATCCGGGCTCTGAGGGAAGAGTTGACGGCCCCCGTGATTGGCATCATGGAAGCTAGCTTGTACACTGCTCGAATGGTAGGGAACCGGTTCGGGGTTGTGGCCACATCTGCACGGTCGCAGGTTATGCATACGGATGCTGTTCGTAATTATGGCTTGGAGGGATTCTGCGTTGGGGTAAAAAGCTGTGGTCTCGGAGTACTGGAGCTTGAAGGAAAAGAAGAGGGTGCTGTGGTTAAAGCGATGTGTCGTGCGGCGCGTGAGCTGGTGGACAAGGGGGCCGATACACTGACTCTGGGCTGCGCAGGCATGACAACCCTGAAGACTGCCGTGGAGACTGCCGTCGGAAAGGATGTCCAAGTGATCGATGGTGTCATCGCTGGTGTCCACCATCTAGTTGGCATCCTACGCACGGGCTCTCGGACTGCAAAGAAGGGGATGTATATGAGTTCTAGGGTGACCCGTATGGCTCGGGGTCAGGACTATGTGTAGTGCAGTATAATCATGTGAGAGGAATCAATTCGATTCCGTTTCGCCTGCGCTTCCCGGGCAGAACATGAGTGTCGTCTGATACTGGGAATGAAATGGACCTGGTGTTGATATGGGGTGATCTTTCATGAGCTCGAGAGAATGACATCCATTAGTATATACGCAGGTAATGCGTGTATACACCTCAGGACACAACCAAATAACAACAACACAAACTAAACAGAACTTTCCTTTACTGACACCGGCACAGACTTACTATCCAGTGAGTGCTCCACTCCCTCCAGTATCTCGATCTCCTGCTCATCCACCGGGAATGGTTTGATCTTAAACAGCACCCAATACACCACGCTGGATACTAGGATACCAACCAACCAACTGAGGGAATAGAGGTAGCGTGCGCCCTTTGGCACACCGGTCTGTCCACATACTGCGGCCAAACCGGGCATGTTTGGAACGATCCCGCAAATGAACGCGATAAATGCGCGGATATTGAAGCCAGCTGTGAAGCTGTGAGTGCCACGTTCATATAACGAGCGAACTCTGAGCTTGCGTTTCCGACAAACCCAATAGTCCGTGACAATCACACCGGTCAGCGAGCCGAGGAATAGGGAGTATCCTCCGAGGAATGCCGAAAACGACGCGGCGCTATAGTTGTCAGCACCGGATTATCTTGGAAAGGGGCAAAGACGTACGAGTGCTGGATATACCACGGCATCGAGAGAATACTCAGGAAGGCGCAAATGAATGCACCTCGCCGGCTATCGATGTATTTTGGAAACCACAACGATATATCGTTGGAGAAAGAAACACTGTTGGCCGAGATGTTGGTGCCAACACATGCAACAAACCAGCAAAGCGCCGTGAAGAATTGAGCCGCTCGGTTCTCCCAGAGAAGAGCCACCTCCAAAGGGTTCCAAGTCCTCTTCCCATAGATGATCTCGGTGGCGCTGGTGACTGTGGCGCCCAGGACACCACAGAGGGACACTAATATCACCAGTCCGATCGGCTGACTCCAAAAAATTTCCCGAGGCTTCTTGGCGTATCGAGTAAAGTCGGGCATGTCTAGACTAGTTAGACGGAGACGGCGATATCTGCCGGGAAACATACTGAGCGCCAGAGTCGCTTTTGGTCCAATCGTACTTGTGACGCATTGAAAGAAAACCACCACTACCGGTGTGCCATCGCTAATAACACTCGGTTTCGAAAATATCGGACCGAAACCATGAGCTGTGCCGTCAGTCTCTAGCCAACTGAGATCAATTAGGGGAAGTGCATACCACCGGCCACGGCCCAGGCGAAAAGAACAATCCCAAAGATGGGCATAACGCACATCTTGACGATGAAGAGGTAGCGGAGGCTAGAAACTTTCAGATATAGCAGGGGTAGGTGTATGATGATGGCGAGGAAAAAACAGAGCAGCTCCGACGATGATACCGGAGAACCGGCTGGTAACTTGTCGGGAAGATGCTGGAACGAGGGCCATATGGCTGAAATCATCACCGATACACATTGGCCGGCCTGGTAGGTCTGGGTTCCAAACCAGATGATGGCGACGATGCCTCGGACTGAGCAGGTTAGCCTAGGGCGATAAATGTTGAGCTATGCAGCGCACCAAATACAGCGAATAGACTCCCCCGTAACCCATAGCTGGCCCGGGTTAAGATTGGGAAATTGATGCCATAGATAGCACCCACATAACTGATGAGAGTGAGCACGCATTCGCTGTTCGACATCGTGTACGCCATACCCGTCAAGAATTACCGGAACACAGACCAAGATGTGGCCTATGACCACAGCAGCGATGGCGAGTCCGGCATTCAGTCCTTTACTAACCGACGTGGATGTTACTTCATGGAGAGAATTGATTAGCATTGACAGTGGGGACCGGGATAGGCCATGAACCACGTACCTTGATACATGCTGATACTAAACGCCTCGGCTATCCAAAATCCTGTCAACGAGGGCCATCTCCAAGTACGCTTGGGAGAGTCCCGCGGGACTGGATCGAGATCTGCATTAGACTGTACGCCGTTTGACAGCGAGGCGTCTCCTGCTTTCACCTGCAATCTTTCGCGAAGTCCCATGGTAAGAAGAGTGGTGAACGAGCCCAAGCTATCAGCAGATGGGACATATTTTATTGTATGTCTCTTATCATCGCTGCGGAGAGATACATATCTCTGCCACTCGGTTTTCTGTGCAACGCCATTCTTGGCCCGATAAGACGCGCATCGGCCGACACGAGTCTGATAACAGCTTTATTTCCGCATCCAATCACATTCCATCTACACATTCTGGTGCATCTGGAAACCTGGCGATTGTTGGAAGATGGAGAGTCAAAGCTCCTTCAGACCAGAGACTCCGAACCAGAAGTCTGTAGACTACTTACAAGACTGCTTACAATGTTGTGCTAGGACGCAAGTGAGAGATGACACGGCCTTCGACTAGATGCTTGAAGGATAAGTAGAGTCTTTTTAAGCCTCAAACGTACCACTACCATACATAGTTGAGAGACGGAAGCGCTTTGGTTAGGTGAACGGGAGACTCCCCCTTTTGTTATGGACGAGGAGGACCAACATCATACCAAGAATCCAGGTTGCCAAGGAAATTGGCGGAGAATGGGGTCTGGGCGGAACTGGATTAATGCAGAGCCATGGAGAAGCCTAAAGATGGTTTCTTGAATTGGATCTATATTCCAATTTCCTTGAAACTCAATGTTCATCTTATTTCTAATATGAATTGATGTCAATTGCTTTGGCACATCGGCATTTGATCTCAAAAAGGTCTCTCATTCAAGGAAAAGAAAAGTCACCCATCGACTATTTCCAAATCACGCCATACTCTCCATTATGTACAAGCTATCACGGAAAGAAACGCCCGTAGAACCAACTATATATCAGATGAAATGATGTAGCACCATTGCAGTTAGCAAAAAGGCTACCGCAACCGTCAGAACCAGCCCAGCTATTTTAAGATTCCTCAGCATGCTCCATCCAGTTGCCTCCCGCCCTGGATTGGGGAGATAACTAAGCGTCACCGCGTCGTGAACCACATTCGAAATCAAGTCAGCCGGGATATCCTTGAGAATCGGCGGAAGGTAGCGGCCCATGATGATATGTATGAGTCCCTGACGGGAATGCAATCGCGCCAGGTACGCCGAGAGGTAACAAACATGTGACACTCTTTTCACATGCTTTGTCTGGTACGCATGGAGGATGTCGTGCAAGTGCTGTCGTGATGGTTTGGCGGATCCCATTTTGTTGGTCATGGCGTGAAGGAAGTTGGCTAGCTCGGCTGCATCTTCGATGGCAAGGTTGGCGCCCTGTCCGAGGTTGGGGGTCATCTGGGAAGAATCAATCAGCGCATCTTCTCGGTATGCAGAGCGTCTGGGTGAATTTTACCTTGTGTATGCTATCGCCAATGCAGACCATTCGACCGGAGTGCCAGGGACGGACTATGCCTTCCTCCAATGGAGTCACGGCAAACGTTTCCCGGTTCGCCCAGACGTGGCGGAAGTGCACCGTATCGCGAAGCCAGACATTTCCCAGTCGCTCACACACATCGACAGCGTCCTGTTTGGAGAAAGACGGGTGATAGGGGTATGTGTATTTCCGGTCAAGCTTTTGAACAATGAACCAGTATACCTGTCCTCCCAGGCCTTGGTATGTCATGATTGTGAAGCCATCGTGAAAGCAGGCCACTTGCTCTCCAATGTCGAGTCCGGGCACGGCCGATGAAATTCCAAAGACGCATAAGAATTCTACCGTCAATCCTTTTAAAGGCGTCAGAATAATCTAATGAGCGTGCATATGTTGGGTTTGTAGGTATACCTTTCTGCTCCTGCGATGAGATTCTCCCAAGGTAAGGGGAATTCGAGAAAGACCACATCTCCGACCGCACTTGACTGTGAACCCCATCTGCACCCACAACTAGATCTCCCTCATATGTGACTCCAGACTTTGTAGTCACACGCACTCGATCCTTTAGATCTTCCAGTTTGGCTACTTGTTGGCCCGTACGGATGTGTGAATTATCCTGAAAAGAGTGGTAGAGGACTCCGATAAGTTCTTGTCTGCTGAGAAAGGCCAAAGGATACCCGTATCTATGGAATATAAATATTAGAGTACTCATCAACCTCAACTGGAGAACAGATCGTATAATACCTTTCCTTCACTGTGACTGGATAGTCACTAGCAAGCACATATCCGTCTGGATAGGCTATGTGAGCACGCGTGAGTGGTTCAATCAGTTTCTCAATGCGACTGAAGAGGCCCAACTGGTCGAGAATTTTTGCGCCGTTTGGTAGAACCCCAATCGAAGCACCAACCTGGGCGGTAATATCCGTATGCTTTTCAAGAACGATATTGGAGATTCCGGCGGCATTCAGACAATGAGAGAGGGTGAGGCCCGATATGGAGCCTCCAACAATAATGACCTTGAACTTTGACTCCATGTTGTTGACTGTCTGCATGCATTAGACAAAGAAATGACGGAAGACAGTGCTACTCTTTAACATGTGTAAGAATCGCGCGTCCTTCAGCTCCAGCAGACAAAGGTATAGACAAGACCTAATCGCTCTGTGGAGAACGCAGTGTAACTTCAGGGGAGCTACGACTGGGCTGATATTACGGAGTAATTGTTTGACGCCACCTTATCGTATTACAAGTATTCTATACATTTTATCTTCAGTGCATATGATCCATATAATGGGTTTTGTCCTAGTACCCGGTCTAGTGCATCGATTAGGTTTCCTTTTCCGGCAACTACACAAATAGGGAGGTCGATCAAGCCCAGTTATCTGAGTTCGGACCCGACCCACCGCCATGCATACGTGGAGAACACCTGTAACCTAATCTGGCGGGCCTATTGACTCGGGATCCTCTGTTCGGTCCGATTGTGGCTCGCGGCTGCATACAGAGCTCCACGGTGGGCGATTCAAGACCCATCATCTTTCGATTTTTGTTTTGACAGATGCGATGTACCTTCTGAATGTAAACTTTCATTTCGTACAGTTTGGGGGTTTGTCCCATTCAACCCCGGCCGGTTGCTAATACAGTCAAGTTTGGGAGCACTGTCGTCTTATCGTCACTTCACCTATAGGGAGTTTAGATCTGATGCTGCAGGCTCCACCGACTATTACGAGGCGAACTCTTATCTGCGTAGATGGAGATGATTGGGCCAACAGAAATAGGATCTCTCTTCAGCTTGGAGTAGAATAAATGATCTGCACTGCCAACATTCTAGCTTTCCAATCCGATGCTTGCCATATCGGGAATATGCAGCTATCATGCATCTGTTTGTGCCTGAGCAAATAACTGGTCCATCTTGGACCATTCAAGACAGTCCCTGTGTTACAAATTAGTGGAATCACTGATGGCGGCAAGAAATGCAGTCGTATACAAGGCATGAATCTTTCGAATTACAGGATTTATATTGAATAATTTATAAGCAGTCGAACTTTGATATCTAGGCATGTATGTGAGTTTCAGCATTTGCTCGAAGGGGTAAATAAATATCTTTGATTTGAACTTCCGGGCGTCGTTAGTCCTGAATATCCAAAAAGCTATGGTGGGGACGAGTTTGTTAGCATGAGAATAGGGGCCAGGGTCAGCGGCCCATCTAGCTGACTTGTCACATAGATGTATACGGCTACCCCCAACTGAAGGCCAACATGATCTGCAGCCCCAAATATGCTGCAGCTGGAGGACGGTTACCCAAAAAAAGGAAATGAAAATGAAAAAAACAAAGTTGAGACTAGTAGGCCTAAGAACAGGGGCCAAGGCCGATCTGACTTGCCGCTGGGAAAATGCAAGCGTGTGTACCTGTAGTTACTCCGTGGCAACACCTCTGTGATTGCTAATGAAAAAAACAAACGTCATCTTGGATTATTTAACAAAAAAAAAAAGAGTAATATTAAATAAAGTAAAGAATAATTAATTACTATTTAAACTTCGACCCGAATTACGTGATGTTAATAACTCTTGAACATGGACTAGCAATTACCCAGTGGGTTGTCTAGGTACCTTACTCCGTACAAGATATCATCTAAAAAGATTCTTTTTGAGGAACAGCAGTCAAGCCAGCTTAAATGGTCATACAAACATGTTGGACATAATAAAGCCTACCCTTCGACGGCTTTTATTTGCCACGTACCAAACGATAACTTTCAACACTGTTGACTCCATCAAGATCGAGAACGACCCACGCGTTCAATATCATACGACGCAAATCAATGGCAAAACATACGGTAGAGACCAACCCTGGAGCCAGATTTTTTCAATCATAGAATTGCTAACTTGAATGCATAGGCTATCTTTTGGCAGAGCCGGAGGGAGGATATAAGAATACTATCCTTCTGGTAAGTATAGGCGTGATTGAAAAAGCATACATCGTCATATCTAACGAATGATAGATTCACGGGTTCCCCAATCTCTCAATATCATGGCGTCGGCAAATCCCAACACTACTTTCCATGGGATTCCGTGTTATATGCCCTGACTGTATTGGATATGGGGCGTCGGTGAGTAGTCATACCCCGTCTTTTACCGAGTGGCCATACCCTGGCAGTACTGACTGAATGTAGGACGCCCCCAAAGACACTCTCGCTCCGTATAGCATGAAAAGTCATGCCGACGACTTCAAGGAGCTAATAAGAAGCCTCTCATGTGAAAAGGTCATCGTTGGTGGGTTTGATTGGTATGTTTGTTTATACCCTTGGAAAGAAATCCAAAGCGAAGCATCTACATCATATTGTGTAGACTGAAGGCTAACTCCAGTGCCACAGGGGAGCACTTCTTGCCTACAGGCTAGCTCTTTGGCACCCCGAGGTGGTATCTCATTTGTTCACTCTCTGCGTTCCCCATGTTGGAATCCCCACAGAATGGGTTGATCCTGAGACAAGAGTGAAGAAAGACCCGTCTTTAGCATACACCCTTCAATTCATAAGCGGGGACGTTGAGAAGCATTCTCAGACCAGTGATGGGGTGAAGCACGTCTTGAACGCCCTCTACGGTGGGCAGCTGCCTAATGGGGACTTTGGTACCTCCTTGGAGGGCCTGAAATTTGACTTGATTCCGCATTTAGAACGATCGATATTACTCGACAAGGGTGAGCTCGAGTTTTATGTGGATCAGTTCTCGAAATCCGGCCTAGCCGGTCCTTGTAAGTACATTCCGTGGTCTCGGAAGAATGATGAAAAGCTCAGGACTGATACCTAGAAAGTGAACTTCTATCGGTGCGGCCAGCAAAACCATGAGGATGACCAGGTACTCCTCCAGCAGAGGGGTCAGGATGAAAAGATTCACTGCCCAACCATGTTCATCTGGCCGTCGAACGACCTCATTATTACCCGTGAGATGGCGGAGTCAATGGCGAAGTTTGTTCCGGATCTGACCTTTAAGGAGATCACCGGGGCGAGTCATTTTGCGATGTGGGAGAGGCCGGCGGAGGTGAACAAAATCCTCAGGGATTGGCTGGCTTGCAAATGATTCTGGTCTGCTCCGTAATATACGGACATTTTCTCTGTCTCAAATTAGTCATGGGGCCTATGGCTGTTACTTTCGTGGGAGACGCCCAGCGTTCCTGACAGTACACCCAAGCATCCCGAAATTCCCGCTGTTCATCCCCTATGGTCAGGGATGATAATGTTCAATGATCGACAACGATATTTCCTCTAACAAAGGTCTCCGTACACTCCCGCAGAGTATATCACGATCATTATCTAAACCCCGTAAACAGGCGCCTACAATACATGATCAAACACGCCGCTCTTTTAAACTTTCTCTATAATGGCTTCCCAGGGATAGAAGATATATATAGTACATACTGTACTTCCAGGGTAGTCCACTGGTAAGAAGCCTCAAGGTGTAGGATTTGCAGATCATTCATCGACTTGACACGACCTTGCGCTGATCCAACCACCTAGTGGGTCAATGTCACAATTGACAACAATGGTAGACTGTGGGGGGGTGGTGCATGAGTAGCTGAAGATCCGATGATCGCAATATGCAGGGTAGGAGATTATTGTGATTGATCTTGCAATGACTACGGCGAATTAGGGGTATCTACGGAGTAGAGGTAGTTTGCAGGAGGCCCCACGATAGCCCGCAGGAACCTGTACAGTGGGAACCAGCCAAACGAAACCTGCAGGTTTGCCCATTTGCCTTCCAATTCTCCAAGATCCCAAAATCCACCGACCTCAGTCGTTTTATAAAGGATTTCTAGACCAAGGCAGACTTAAATAGAACAAACCCCGATGCTTTAAGGTGTTAAACCTCAATGTATGATTAGTAGAATCAGGGGATAACTAAGTTAGGTAATCGCCACGCACTAGTGATTAAAGCCTGTACTATAGTTTGTTTCGTCGACAACACGGCCCAACAAACTTCCAATGAACCAACATGTGGGTTCCAGCCGGCTAGTTGAGGAATGACCCGCTCGGCACTTTGGGTTCGGGGAGGAAACCATAAGTATAAGCGCAAGGCTGAAGCTTAAAACGATCGACGGATGACGTGGAGCCTGCAGCTGCTCGACAGGGGAAATGCATCGGGTCCAGACAAAATAAGGATTGACAGATGGGCGACTCTTACGAATTTTTTTGGATGGTGGTGTGTGGCTGTTCTTAGTTGATGAGTTATTTGTCTTCTTCATTATGATCACAATCAAGATAGCCCATCCGCTCTCCTTTTCCCTATCTGGTTTGATTATGCCACGGGTCTCTTTTCACCTTCAAAATCTCCGTCATCGCGTTGCAATATGTTTTCTCGCGCCCACATCAGCTGTACCGCAGCACCGCATGGCCCACAGAACACAACTCGTATAAACAGATTAAGGGCGAACGAAGTCCAGTCCACCTTTTCCACGCGTCTCCACTTTTCACGAAAGAAGTGCTCCACTGCCCAGAGGAGGACCGACACACTCGCAACAGCGTAATCCCATTGCAAAAGCCAAAACACCCCTTCCTCAACGGAGTCCGTCCGCGTACCGGACCAAGGGAGCACGGGGAGCATGAGCCGAAAGGGGTGTATATCTGCCGAAAGAGCACGACCGAAATGAGTAGGAAATATCACCGAAGCAGCTGCCACAGTGTAGACCCCGAGGTGGGATACAGAGGCACAAGTCAATGCGAATCGGTAGAGAGACCCATGATGTGATTTCCGATGGGGGCGTTCCTGAGCTGCAGTTCGAAGTGGGCCCAGAATTTGGATGACAGTGGACACCAGAACAGGCCATAGCTGTATGACGACAATAAGATACTGTTTTGTATCGTATGTCATCCATGACGGACTAGGGAGTAGGAGGGTCAGGGCTGGAAGAACGCCACCCAACATAAGTGAAACAGGAATTGTGATCTGGCTGAAGTGAAGGGTGCTTCCCGCGATGGGCACGTTTGAATGCGGTCCCATAAAAAGGTCCCAGGCTGTATACATGGGAAAGAAAACGCCTGGCCCGATGATTTGAGCAATAACCGCTAGCAAACATGTCCTATTGAGGTTAATGCATATTCATGGCATCGGGGGAGAGGACACTGTACCTCCATGCTGCCTGCAGTGGGGTCGATCGTTGGGCTGACTGCAGGAAGAAAAGGATCCACGCGGGAATTATGGCCGTAAAAAAGAGCAGAACACAGTAGAGGGAATGGGCCGACAAAGTACCCCGGCTCAGCGGCCAGAAACCTATCACAACTTCAATGCAGAAGTTATCCACAGCCTGGATACCAGTATAGGTAAAACGCAGAGGGACATTGTCTTCCCCAGGCAGCATGCCTGCAGCTTTGACTCGTTCCAATGAATCAACAGCGCCATTGTGAAGGAAAAAGTGGTACATGGCGTAAATCGCGAAGAGCGGCAAGGAAAGAAGAATGTGTCTTGGACTAACCCCCATATTGTTATCTGACTTGAATATGAAGGAGAATTATGCACAATTGGCTTTATAGGTATTTCCGACACGAGGATATTTGGGCTCTCGTGGCAACTATATACTCCGAGAAAGGACCTTCCCAAGTACCCTCGAAACATATATGAAAAGGTCCTAATGCACTAAATTCTGCTCCGAGGACCCATTCAGCTGGATACATCGGCTAAAGAGAAGATGCTTGCTTGAAAAAAATTAAAAGAGGTGTAGAGTACTTGCTATCCACATATTACTAATGGAAAAGATAAATGATTTTGGTAAACTAGAAATTCTTAATTATTTTAGTTTCTTAGTATGATTTAGTAAATCTGTTGAATGGGTCCGCAGATAAGGGGAGTGATGCCAACATTCTTCACGACTGATTGCCATTCTTTTTCCTCTTCAGTAACTTCTACAAGCGCAAGACAGCATCCTCTCCATCAGTCATGGGCCTGTCACTATTCTCAAAAGCTATTCTTATCTGTTTTGCCCAAAGCGTGCCTCCCTCACTACTGCTTCTCCTGACCCCCAAACGCTCTTATATTCGTCCCATTTATCTAATATTTTCCTTATGCTTTGCCTATGAGTTCTTTCTCGTCTCGAAGGGTATCTCAGTCAGCCCTGTCCGTTACAGTAAGGCCGGGTCCCAAATTTTCGTTGCTGTAATCCAGGCTACAAATGTCCTGGTCATCAATCCTCTGGATCGCGATGATCTTGTGCGCGGAGGCATCGTCACAAATTCAGAATCAATATTTGCCCAAACCTGGCATACCTCGACTAGTGTCTTCTTCGCTCTACGTGGCATCAACACAGCCTGGAGAGTGAAGAATATCCCAGAGCATCCAAAGTTCCTGACCGAGCAAGCAAAGCCTAGAATCCCCCGGACATCCTTCCTTGTTCGGCAGGCATTCATTCTAGCCTGGGAATACTTGGTCCTGGATGTGCTATATTTCCTCTCTCTCCAGGATGACTCGCCACAAGTCCCGTTAGCGGACTTCAAGTACTTCAATGTCGGTGCTGCTGCATGGGGACAGCGTGTCGCCGTGTCATTGATTACATGGTTTTGGGTGGCGCGAGTGTTGATCGATTCGATATACCGCGCCGGCGCGTTGGTCGCTGTTGGACTGTGTGGCGACGCACCTGAAGACTGGCCGCCATTATTTGGAAGCATGTGGGATGCGTATACCTTGCGCAATTTCTGGGGGTAAGTCTACCTGCTGTGTTACCTTGCCAGTGTACTTACAGTGACAGGAAATTCTGGCACCAATTTCTCCGCTGGCCATTCACCTCGATGAGCAACTACATCACGAGGGACCTTCTGGGACTGCCGCGGCCATCCATTATAGAACGTTACACCAATGTTCTCATCGTTTTTCTCCTATCTGGGTGGATCCATGTGATGACGGATTCCATGCAGGGAGTTCCGCCAAGTGACTCCGGCGCTATGGTTTTCTTCCCTTTGTTTACACTGGGGTTCATGATCGAGGATGGAGTCCAGCATATTTGGAAAACTTGGAAAGTCTCAGGTGAAAGCGGCAAATCATCCACGGGCCCAAGGCTTTGGCAAAGAGTTCTAGGCCTTGTGTGGGTTATGACGTGGATATCTGTCACTTCACCCCGGTACCTCGTCCCCACACAGCTGCAACCAAAAGAAAACAGGTGGATGGTTCCGATTAGTGTTGTGCAGTGGATTGGTGTTCCTGCAGGGTTGGCTGGGATTGTGGCGGGAGGGTTGGGGGTGATGTTTGGATTTGGTACGGAGATATGAGTTGACAGTGTGTATGTTGATTTGCGTTAAGATATTGGAGGAATAAAACCATGCGAAGGATATTTCAGGACTTTAAGTCGATTATCATTGGCCAGCCAATGTCTTTGCTGTCGTCCAGAGTATGCTGTCCTCCCTGAGGCTTCCTTCAGCATCTTTTTTATTCGGTTTTTCCTACAGTGGAAAGGAATTTGTCTTTTGACTATCATTAGCTCAGAGAGCTCATGGAGCTACTGCTACTGCGAAATTGACATAAAAGACCAAATCAGGCCAGCCTAGTCTAGATCTTCGACTTCCCCAACTTTTTGGCCTCGGCTTGGTAAAGCTTCACCAACTGCCTCACCGACAGGTCTAACAGGACATCCTCAGAGCCACCCGGAATACGAGCGCCAGGAACCTCGCGGTAAATCGCTATCATAGTCAGTATTGATCAAAATCCAAAAGAATTAGTCCACGTACCTTCCACCAGTTCACCCTGTCCGCTCTGCGTGAAACCAGCACCACCGAACAGCAGCACAGCGCACTGAGCACACTCGTTCAGCACCATCGCCGCCTTGGCCTTGGCCATGGCCGTCACACCTCCCAGCTGCCGATCAGCTTCTTCCTTGCTGAGATGGCACATCTGGTAGAGGAGCTGTTCCATAAAGGCCCACATAGTCTCCAGCTCCGCGCCGGCCTTGGCCAACCGGTGACGCACCACGGGCTGGTCCATCAGGCTCTTTCCAAACGCCTCGCGCTTCAGGCAGTAGGCGAACGCAGAGGAGAGGGCCACACGGGCTTGTCGGGTCACTCCAACAGCGATGGTCAACCGCTCGTGGTTGAAGTTGGTCATGATGAGACGCATGCCCTCGCCCTCCCGGCCGATGAGGTTCTCCACGGGAACCTTCACGTCGTCAAGCTCAATATAGGTAGTCCCGCCCGTCTTCTGGCCGGCGACCGTGAGACGGCGCATGTTGACTCCGGGGTACCCCTTCAGAGGGACCAGGAGGACCGACAGGCCGGCGGCACCGGGGCCGCCGGTGCGAACGGCCATCGTGGCATAATCGGACCAGATACCGTTGGTGATCCTAGGGAGAGTTAAATGGATCCGGGAGAACGAGCGAAATGTCTGCATACCATTTCTTCTCGCCGTTGATAATGTAGTGCTTGCCGTCGGGCGACTTGACGGCGGTGGTGGAGATGTTGGCGACATCCGAGCCCGCGCCCGGTTCTGTGATGGCGATGCATGCGCGCTTCTTGCCGGTCAGGAGGTCGGGAAGGTAGCGCTCTTGCAGCTGGGGACTACCGAACTTGATAATGGGGGGAAGGCCGTAGCAAAATCCGGGGTTGATTCCGGCGGCGCTGGAAAGACCCGAGCGGGCCATCTGAGAATAGTCAGGAAAGAGGATCCATTTGGTCTTTGGAAATGGGAAAGGCAACCTACCTCATCCATGTAGATTCCGGTGTGCAGATAATCCCATTCTTCGACCTTCACTCCGAGGATATCGTTGATGCCCAGGCGCTTCAGCCAGTCGACGGGCAATGGAGCAGGCAAGTTAGGGACCAGCATGTTATGCTCGCAGAACTTCTGGAAGACTGAGTCCGGGACTTGGCCCTGCTTCTCATATTCGTGCGCATTGCTCAGGAGGTGTTCCCAGACGAAAGCACGACAGCGTTTTTGGAATTGGAGATGAGAGTCGGAGTAGTAGGGGGAGGGGAGACCGCGGAGGTAAGGAGGTTCGGAAAAGGGGACGGGGTTGGCTTCGTTGGTGGCCATGGTGAAAGGATAGACGTATGGGCAGCAACTAGTAGCAGACTATTCAGGGAATAAGGCTATATCATTGTATTTATGAGTATGGTCGAGATGTACGGAGTATGAGTGACGGGGTGAGTTCTGTGATGTTGCTGTTCTCCCCGCATGGAGCGTTTTGGACCGAGGGTGACGGGCCGAGGCACATACCGTACTCCTAGTCTCTCCTCCAATCACATGGTTTCTGGAGCTCCTAAAATCGATGCTAGTCAGCGGGAAAATAATAACAAAATTCATAGAGATTAACAAGACTTATGAGATCAGATCCGAGTGAAAATATGGCGAGCCGGTATAAGGACCTTACTTGTAGTCAAGAAGTATAGGCAGTCCTCAACCAGCTAACTATAACTATACAACTTGGCTCATCGTCTAAATCCGCCTTAATTGTCAAGCTGACTTCTGTGCTCCTTAATGTGGACTGGCATGTTAAGTCTGTGAATTGCGAGCAGTAATGAATAACTCCCAAGGATGATGAAGTCTTTGGATTCGATGGGAAACCGACTTGGTGTGGGAGGCCGGCTATGGACTCCACCCAGCAAACTCAGTGGTTCACCAGGAAACCCTTCAGACTAGCGGATCTGGTAGCCTATTCTTCGAAGTGAAGCCTTGTGCCAATAAAGACAGCAATCCCAGCCCACTCGCTTTCCTCTGCATGGTCCACGCTGGTTCATACACCTTCATTTTCACTACTACGACTGACTCCCCCATCCATCATGCACCTGGAACTCAATGAGGCTGATCGCGACTGGCAAGACCAGAACCGCGCATCTCGCCGTAGGCTAGCCAATCTCCGGGAAGAGACATGGGGCTGGGTTGTCTACCGTACCACGTACAAATCCAATGCAATGTTCCAGAGGGCAATCGACATCATTAGCTCCTGATTAAGTGGACAGTTTACCGTGATCTCTACGACACGTTCGGCGTACCAAACCCTGATCCCACGCCAAAGAACCAGCTGTGGGCACGTCACTATCTGACGGTTGTAGAGGATTTAACAGTCCTCGACGGGGCCTCGGTTGATGCAGTACGTTCGCATTTCGAGTCGTGGGTGGAACAACGAAATATGCGGGATCGATGGAATAAGTACCGTGTTTGCATGGTGATTAATGATGAGATTCTTGAACCTCTTCTGAACAATGTCCCGCTGGCGGATGCACACGCGGATATGCACGGAGAAGATTGTACGGAAGAGATGACGGAGTGGTATGTGAAGGTTGTTGAGGCATTTCCTGATCTTGATCAAGGCGAACCAGACTATAAAGGGTGGATGAATTGCTCTGTCTATGCGATGGTCGACCTTTGGGACTCTATGGATGACGGGGCTTATATGGGGACCTCGTTCGGTGCGGTGTTTGAGGGAGTTTATTGTGGGTAAGATTTGTTACTAGCATACGCTGTCTGGTGATCACTTGCACTCCTTTATATGGCACGGGATTCCCATCCTTCTCACCTTGGGTAGAATGACTGCACGACAAGTTCCTCAGACAGCGACTTACTCAAGATTATCCGGATGATCCAGGAAGCCGTTTGCCGCTGGCTACTTCGGTCAGTCGATGCATAATCCTCCTGAATCTACCTCATGCAGAGGAACACGTTGCCGTTCTAAGCTGGACCGAATGTTTGTCTGGAGAAGGATGTGTGAACAATCACCTACTCAGCGGCATCGTTCTAGGTTTGACGCCAACGCATGTAGCGCTGTCTGAATCCTGAGAACAGAAAATCTCTGAAGGAATACCTCCGAGTAGGAGAAGACAACCCGAGATATAATGCTTTCTCTTTGAGGTTGAATTCAAGAAGTATGGAGAATCCATACCTTTTCCACAAAGACGACGGCTGGGATCGTTGTGTGGTATGGCCAGTTATGGGCCCACGAGGGTCATTCTATCCAAAAATAATGACACTCAGTTGCATACAGAAACTTCTAAAGTGGGCTGACCCTTACTCCAACCAGCTGTGCCACAGTCCAAAGTGACTGGCTCTTCACGGCACTCATCAAGAACCCCGCAACAACCGAGGTTCACACGCGGGGTGTCGGGGACTTAAGATACCACTCGTCTGACCTTCTCAACCCATTTCACAATCTTTGTCCGCCATCGAAACTGTCGCATACTCAACATGCAAGCCGTCGTGTTCAAAGGTCCACTCCAGGTCGCGCTGGAGGAGCGCCCCATCCCTCAAATCCAGGATCCCACCGACGTGCTGGTCAAGGTGCGGTACACAGCACTCTGCGGAAGGTGAGAGAACCCGTCTGATCGCGTTGTTCAAACTAATCAAACTCAGCGAATTGCATGTTTTTCGCGGGCATCAGCCGTCAGGAACGGGCTTTGTGATGGGCCATGAGTTCACCGGAGAGATCGTCGAAACAGGTGCTGATGTAAAGAAGTTTACCAAGGGCGATCGCGTCGTCTCGCCGTTCACCCTGAGCTGTGGAGAGTGTTTCTACTGTCGTAGGAAGTGCTCGTCGCGCTGCGCCAAGGGCAAACTATACGGGACTGTCATCTTGGACGGTGGACAGGCCGAGTACGTGCGCGTTCCTCACGCCGATTCTACCCTGGTGGCTGCCCCTGCGGCCGTCGACGAGAAGAAGCTAGTGTTGATGGCGGATATCTTTCCGACGGGATTTTTCGCTGCACGGAATGGTTTCAAGGAGATGGACGCGGCGACGATCCAGGAAAGTACTGTGGTTTTGTTTGGATGCGGACCTGTCGGCATCTGCGCCCTCGTCAGTGCCTTGGAGTACAAACCCAAGCACCTGATCGCGGTTGATAGCGTCCCGTCCCGGCTGGAACTCGCAAAGAGCCTAGGCGCAGAGCCATGGAATTTCCAAACCGATGCAGACGGTCTCCGCAAGAGGGTTTTGGACCTGACAGAGGGGCGTGGCGCGGACGTCGCGATCGAAGTGGTCGGACACAGTGACGCGCTGCGCATGGCTTTCGATATTATGCGGCCCTGGGGTCGTATCTCGAGTGTCGGGGTTCATAATGCTGAAATCCCGATTGGAGGTAATGAGGCGTATGGGAAGAATCTGCAGCTTCAGATGGGACGCTGTCCAGTCCGCAGTAGGCGATCATTCCGCACTCGAGTTATCTGAGCTGACAGTGAGACCAGGTATTTTCGAAGATGCACTTGATTTGTTGGTGAAAAAACAAGACACTCTGGAGTAAGTTGTTCTGTTCATATTTTAGGCGGACGGACACTGACAACCCATAGCTTTATGGTTCAGGATATTCGGCCATTGTCGCAGGCTGTACAGGCATACGATGACTTCAATCAGATGAAGTCGCAGAAAATCATCTTCGAGCCAGGCAAATAGTCGACACATATCTATAGTGCTCTACGCGACGGATCTGGAAGAATCATGACTGGTCTCTCGGTCTACAGATATGCATCAATAGGACGATACGCATTTTATTCAAGCATAGGTATTGAATTAACAATTGTCTAAGTATTTTTGCGAACACTTCACGACAGTTCTATGCCTTGGTGGCGTTCCGCGGCGGCTGGGGGAAATGGTCCAACACAACCTCCTTGCCAGCGATTTTGAAACCTGCCGTAGGATAATCCTTCTCCACATCAACCTGCAACTTGTAACTTCCAGGATAAAGAACCAGGTCTCCGTTGGCTGCTGTTCTCGCCACCGACCCTACCGTCACGTCAATGTCAACAACCTTGCGCTCTCCTGGCCGGATCGCCTTGACCCGCTGGTATCCAACGAGTGTCTTGATCGGGTACGGCTTGGGACCAGCGTCGGTGGTCGTCAAAAAGACAAGAGCGACATAGTCCGAAGTGACCTTTCCTGTATTCTTCACCTGCAGAGAGAAGGTCTCCAGGACTGCGTTCTCGGCCTTCACAGCTGCTGTATTGTAGGGCCCGTAGTTCTTCCTTTTCCATGAGACATCGAAAGTTGTATAGTGCATGCCGTATCCAAAGGGGATCACAGCCTTGTCGTACCAACGATAGGTTCTACCCGGGTTGCTGGGGCCAGGTCGCAGGTTCATGTCGGTCATTGGCACCTGATCAACATACTCTTCCGGGTACTGTGTCACTGGGAGACGTCCGGCCGGGGCAGTCTTGCCAGTCAGAATGTCAAACACGGCCGCGCCTCCAGCCTGGCTGGGATAACCCGCCCACAACAGTCCGTTGACGCCTGCGTTCGACAGCAATGAAGAATCATCCACCTGGCCACCTCCGAACTGAACGACAACAAGCGGCTTCTTCAGATCGGAGAGTTGCTGAATCAAATCAAGCTGGTTGCCAGGCCACGCAATGCTTGTCCGGTCTAGAGCCTCCGCCTCCACCTCGTGGTCGATTCCTCCAAAGTAAATGACAAGGTCCGACCCCTTAGCTGCGTTCAGGGCTTGCTCGAACCCGGAAGTGCTGTTCGAATTGATCCCGGTGCCAGGGGCATACTTGACTTTGTATCCTTGCTGTGCTGCCGCTGACAACATTGTGTGAATATATTTGGCAGTACCTTCGTAGTTACCCTGCAGCTGCGTGGTGGCATTGGCGTAAGGTCCGACAATCGCAACGGTCCCATTCTTCTTCAGCGGGAGCGTGCCATCATTCTTGAGAAGCACGGTGCCCTCCACAGCCGCCGTGTGTGCCAACTGCTCCGCGTCCGGCGTGGCAACATCGCTCCAGCCGATGGAGCGGTACGGCTGGTCGGCCGCTGGGTCGAAATATCCGAGCTTGACCAAGGACGAGTACAGCCGCGTCAACGCCCGGTCCAGAGTCCGGTTTCCGAGCAATCCTTGCGAGATCGCAGAGCCCAGGAACTGCGGATAGACCGATCCGCAGTCAAGATCAGTGCCTGCGTTTACCGCCACAGCAGCGGCGTGGGCCCCGTCAGCGACATATTTATGGTCCTTGTAGATGTTGTCGATGGCGCCGCAATCGCTGGTCACCCAGTGGCCGACGCCTTCCCACTCCCAGTGTTCGCGAAGGACCGTCTGCAGCAACCACGGGTCCGCGCAGGTGGGGATACCGTTGACGGAGTTGTAGCTGCACATGACCGCGTCGACCTTCGCATCGCGCGTGCATGTCTTGAACGGGGGAAAATAGTATTCCGCCATGTCCTGGTCGGAAATGACTGCATCGAAAGCGTATCGCTCGTTCCCCTCCCAATCTTCGATGTCGTAGCCCGCAAAGTGCTTGCAGGTCGCCACGATCTTGGGCTTCTCCGGCCCAATCCCATCCTGGAGACCATCGATGAGATGGTAGACATACCGCGAGGTATGGAATGGGTCCTCCCCTGGGGTCTCCTGGCCACGACCCCAGCGGGGATCGCGATAGGGGTTGATGTTTGGAGTCCAGTAATCCAAGCCTGCATGCCCGGCGTTGCCAAAGGCTCGTCCCTCCGTACCGATGACCGTTGCGATTTGTTTGACAAGGTCATCGTCAAAGGCCGCACCCAATGTGATTGGGCTTGGGAAGGACGTCGCATAGCTAAAGTTACCGCTGTCCGCAAAATGGACGCCCGGTGACCCAGCGACTCCATGCAATGCCTCACTCCACCAATTGTATGCTGGGAGTCCGAGGCGAGGAACTCCCGGAGAGTTGTACTGCGTATTGTTGATCTTCTCCTCCAGCGTCATCGCCGCCAACAGGGCCTGTGCCCGGGTGACGGGGTCAAGTGTAGTGTCGCACACGGCATTTTTGCTCAATGGTCCGTTCTCACAGTCAGGAAAAGGGCTTTGCGCAAAGCCTAGCTGCGTCAGGGACACAATGCAAGCCAGAATGCTCGCAGCACGACGGGAATTGGAAGAATACATTGTGTCGTTTGTTGCGAGGCAAGCTCCCATTGATCCCCTGAGGAGCTGCCACTGAAGGCATTATAAACCAGCGGGTATAATGTCCGCCCCATTACGATCTGCGCCCATTCAGCCGATGGGGAGTCTGTTCCTGCGGGATGCGGAGAAAGATACTTTTTTGCATGAAACAACCAGGGTCGTCATTTGCCATAATCCTTTTGCTGTATGCCTCAGCCAATTGTTCGTCTAGCTGCAGGGATTGTATATTAGCCTGAATCGGATGGCTGCGGGGATCGCATGTAGATCAATTCTACGGTTTCACTTCCACCGGGATGTTGCCAAGTACAGTGCCTTTCTTCTGGCCGCGATGGGGATTTTAGGCATTGGCTCACGCTATGACGACGTTGTCCGGTGAGGAAAAGCCGGCCTTGATGGGTATCGTCTCTCTCCATATGTACATCCGCGCAATCATTCATCAGCTCCATCTCTTACTCTCACCACTCCTCCGATGACGTTCTGGTAGAAGCTCCCGTCCGGCCCAATTGCTCCAGGCTGGTAATCATCGTTGAAAGTCCCGCCGGCCCCCGTCCGAAGGCGCCAGACCTCCTTGCCAGTCTCCCAATCCACCGCAACCACGTACCATGTGTATTGGCCGTACTTGGTCGGCTCGACAGCCTGCGTGTAGCCATACACAAGACCGCTCTTCGTGCTGAGGACGGGCACTGACTGGATCCGAAGGTCCGGAACCTCCCAGGCAACTTCACATCCGCTGCCATCCGCGGCGACGTTTATCTTGACGATCCCCGGCTCCATCTGAGTCAGGTTGTTGAAATCGCCATTCAGGCCCGAGTCGACATAATACAGCGGAGGAGCATTGTAGTCGTTGCACAGGAACACACCGTACGTGTCGCCCTGATGATGGGCCAGGGGGGCAATGTCGATGTTGCTCTTCCCGGGCTGGAAGACGGGGACTTTGCAGACAGTCTGCGAACCGTCGGCCTGTTTCTCCTGGTGATAGATAACGAGGTTGACCTGTCCCATAGCGTTGTCGGTGATGGCTACATACTGGTCGCCAAGCAACGCCGGGGTGGCGCCCGATCCGCGTGCGTACGAGCCCGGCTTCTGTACATCGCCCGCATCGTAAGGGATGCTCCACAACGTGGTGATAGAATTGCCTTCTCCGGGGCCAAAGACGTAGAAGTAGCCCTGCGCGTTGGCGCCACTCGCGTCTCCGGAGGGGCCGGTCACGGCGAATACCGTTGTGCCATTAATGGCGATTCCATTTTCGACCATTTGGTTCTCAAAATGCTGCACGTGGACGGTCCCATCGGGCTCAATGTAGCCGAACGTGCTGGTGTTCTGTTGTGCGTCGCCGTGGCCGCCTTGCGCACGCAGCCCACCACTGCTGAACCAAAGGTTCTGCTGCGTATCATACATGGCGTTCATCAGCAGCTCGCCAGGGCCAAGGACGGAGGTCATGTTCTCCATGCGCGTCAGGTCCAGGCTAATCGCTCCATCCGTCGTCAACTGCACGACGTAGATCTGGCCTTCCTTCGACGTCACCACAATCTCGTCCGTATGCAGCAGAAGCTCCATGTAGGCCACATTCAACGTTTGTCCCTCTCGTTCCGGGTACCACTCGGCCTGGATTTCGAGCGTCGCGTCATCCACTGCGACCAGGCCCCATTGGAGTCCACTCAGGCCGATCTTGGTATAGCCAGCAACCAGCTGGCCACTCCGCGTCCACATCATGATATGCAGGGACTCCAAAGCGGTCGTCAACTCGAGGTTCTTTCCCAGGGGACCAGGATAGTCGGTCGTCCCGGTATTACCTCCAACCTGGTGCATGTTAAACGCGGCGGGTGGGTAGACATGTTTGGCGTTAAGAGGCTTTGCGGTGGCGGCGCTTCCGATGAACTTCTCTCCGATGGGGATTTGGAGGCTGGGAATTGGTAGAGGTTTCTGTTAGACATGTCGGGATAGCTCAAAGCCATAAGAGTATAGGACAACTTCATACACCGCGTTTTTCTTTCATCTGACCATGGTCTGAGCGGATTGCGACAGCGGTCGCTGCTAAGAGACAGAAAAGGGCTTTGAGATGCATTATCCAACGCCGGTCTCAGACTCCAACCGTAGTTCCGTCTCATGTTGTTGTCTCATGATGGACAGTATGGCCAATATTTAACCTCGCGGGTAACCCCAGACTTGCTGGAGTCAATTGTCGGAGAGATGGCGTCAACCGGAAGCAGTGCCGACGATCATCAACGGCATCCACCGCATGGAGACAATCCCCTGTCGCTCCTCTCTAAGCGATGCTCGCTTATGCAGGCGAGGCGTGGATCATTTCGACTACCCAATTATTCCCACGATTTCGTCTCGATTGTGGCTCTCGTCTCGGTTCCCAAATCCTTTGAGGGCTGTCGACATCCGATCAGGTTATGGGGATATGGGGACTAGTCTGCATGTGATCATGTCTGGGTATCAGACTTCCTCTACGTAGTTAGGTCGGCACCATTGAGCAATCGGTCCCTGCATAAGTCAGATCTACTCTTGTACTGGCCTCAGTCGAGCTCTACCATGGTCAAGATCAGGTCTCGAATGTTGAATTGTGATTGTCGTTAACTAGCTAAGTGACAGCTAACCACCGCGTGCTATCCTCACTTGCAGACAAATTTGCAAACCACCTCTGTTGATGGTGCCCTGGCGTAACCCATAAGAGAATCATGATTGTGACCGCTCACTCCTCCGCGTTCAGGGGTGGTCCTCGTGGCGACCCAGGCAAGCACCCTGGATGCAAAGATCGCTGCGACAGCACTGTTTGTGGGAGGTGCAGCGGCGGCGACACTTCGGGTCGCGTTTCTCGAGAGAGACAGTGTCCGCATCGGAGTCCATCAGGTCGACGTCCGCCGCGACTTCGACGTCGGCGAGCTCACGCTTGGCGTACTCGTTGAAGTCCTCGGGGAACTCTCTGGGACCCAGGTGAGGGCCGATGCAGACGTTCTGGTAGCAGGTGTCCTTGGGGCAGCAGGGCTTCGCACCAGCGCCCCTGCAACGACGGTTGCAGGGACCGCGCTCAGCCAGGACCGCGCGAGGGTTGACGGTGACATCGCCATCGGTAGTGTTGTGGAGCTCCAGGAAGTTGGCTTTGATGGAGGCGATAACGTCGTTGATCTCTGTTCCTCTATCAGCAAAGTCCTTTGGAGACAGGTAGTGGGGTCACCACTTACCAGTCACGTTGACAGCGTAGTCATCGGCGAGGTCGTTGACAGCGTAGTCACTGGTGAGGTCGTCAACCGCAGTGCCCGCAGCCACCGCGATGGCGACAAGACTGAAGAGGAGGTAGAGCTTCATTTTGACCGAGCGACGAAGTTGGACTCAAAGAGAGAAGGCTTGGTGGTTGGAAGGCGATTGGGATGGATGTGTGAGGAACAGTGAGAAGTGATGGAGGGAGGTAGTGAGGGGAGAGAGAGGAACGAGGAGAGACGAAAGAGGACATTTATATAGCCCAAACGGGTAACACAACACTGGGGAAGCTGAGGTCATTGCGGGATTTAGAGATTATATTCACTCCACTTAAGAGAGAATAAACTTCTTGTTTCTTTGACGCTTCACTATACTAAGCCGTCATAAACTTCTCATTTCTTTCAGCCTCTCCGCAGATCTATTCACTCGGGCAACAACATAAAGAAACAACCCCTGTTCCCTGCGTCATCTCTCTTGGCTCTGTGGATACGACCTTTTTCCGTTTCGGGCGCAATCTCGAGGGCATTCGAGCAGAAGTTACATCTCAGGTATCCAGATAGTCCATACGCGACTCCCTACAGCCAGAGAGATCAGGATCCTCCTCACATGTATACTTACGTGTATATCTAGTCATATTTCCTGTCAATTACGTAGAGGTCTCCGACTTACGTCTTCTGGCAAGGTGAGGCTCGACCAGATGGCTCGCTTAGACATTGATTGAACCTGAGACACCCCGTCAGCTCTTGACAATGTACAGACCAAATGAACCAGTAAACAGCCTATTACATCACCCCTCACTTGCGACTCGCTCTATTGACAGTGAATTGCCACTAGAAGTGGGATTGAATTAGAAGGAGGAACCCGATCTCTACAGCATGTCTGGAAGTCTTTGACCCCCGGTAAGCCGTACGGCAATATTGATGCGGAAGACTACTCCGCGGTGAATAGTATCGACTAATTCAATTGTAGAATCAACCTATGTACCCTCTATTCTCTACTTATCAGCTTGTGACGTGCTGACAGTAAGGTACCCTACAATACGTATGGACTACGAGTGACAGATAGAAGCCAAATCTGATAGTCGTACACTGGGGAAGCTCGCCACGTGATAGAGAAATTTCTAGAAGGGGCTGTTCGGTCGATCAACCTAGCCCGAATTAGGTTCTTCGACTTTGCTGTAGTGGAGGAGCTGACTACTCTTAGCAGACTTTCGGTTGCATGTTTGGGGAGGAACGAAGCGGCGCATGGAGATAGTACGAAGATGACCGAATATCTGCCGACATATCCGACAGTAATTACATGAAGAAGCGGCCAAGGAAGGGTCAAGCGACCTAAGTGGCGATGTGTAGCGAAGGTTGCGGGCCAAAGACCTATACGGACGGGGATAGTCCGCATGCAATCTACGGCCAAAGAATGACTTTGAATCCTTATCAATCAGCATTGTCATGGCGCAACAATCGAGGCCATTCCATCATGCTCGCTACGCTGAAAGATGGGTAGATGCGACACCCCATGGTGACATATTGCATTATCCCGAGGAGGAATTGCAAATGCGCGCTACTAGCGGGAGAACGTCCGTATCTCAACCCAGCCATGTATGGCGTGGAGATGATGGGGAGATGTATACAATGGCGCGATACTGCGGGGTCGATAGGAATTTCGTCCTGCGTCGAAGATATAAAATGGTCTATGCCAGCTCCTATCGACTCTTCCAGGAAGCATCCAAACACTTGCAGCTGATTGTTTCTACGCAGAACTCTTCGCATCGATCATCGCCATGGCTCCATCTATCACTGAAAGTGCCCCAGTAGTCCCTGTTGTTGAGGACAGCCGTCCCCTCAAGGGCCTCCAGAAAGAACCACTGAAGCTTAGTGGTGCCTTGGACGGATATGAGTCGTTCGACGTCACTCCTGTCATTGGGCGTGAGTTTCCCACCGCGAATCTGAAGGAATGGCTGCGGGCGCCAAACTCGGACGAACTGTTGAGAGACTTGGCTATCACGAGTGAGTTAGAGCATGGCCACTGTTGACAATCCACATGCTCATTCCCATGCCAGTCTCCCAACGCGGCGTCGTCTTCTTCCGCAAACAAGACGGGCTCAACGATGACTTGCAGAAAGAGCTGGTGCAGAGACTGGGGCAGCTGTCCGGCAAGCCCGCGACCTCCGGCCTGCATGTCCATCCGGTGGCCAATTCCGGTCGCGAGCACAGTGTCAAGGACGACGAGATCAGCGTGATCAGCTCCGAGCAACGGAAGACCTTGTACAGGGACCGTAACAACCGCAAGCAGAGTTCGCGACGCGAATGGCATAGCGACATTACCTTCGAGCCAATTCCCAGTGACTACACTCTGCTTCGGCTGACCCAACTCCCCCGTACCGGTGGAGGTGAGGCAATCACACGTCCGATTTGGTTGTTCCGATGCTGATGCGACTTGTAGACACCCTTTGGGCGTCCGGGTACGAGGTGTACGATCGCATTTCAGAGCCCTACCAGAAGTTCCTGGAGAGCCTGACGGCGACCTACGCGCAGCCGGGTTTCAACCGCGTGGCCAAGGAGAACGACTTCCACATCCACACCGGGCCACGAGGTGCGCCTGAGAACGTGGGTGACGAGCTGAAGGCGATTCATCCAGTCATCCGCACGAATCCAGTCACCGGATGGAAGAGCGTCTTCGCGGTGGGAACACATGTTGAGAAGATCAACGGCCTCACCGAGGAGGAGAGCCGGCATTTGTTGGATTGGTTTGTGACGCTGATCGTGGAGAACCACGATCTGCAGGTGCGCCTGCGCTGGCAGAATCCGAACGACCTGGGTGAGCTCTATCGAAAGCGTATATTGAGGACTTTGGAGCTAATATCGCACGCGTCAGCCATCTGGGACAATCGTAGCGTGTACCATGCCGCGACGTGGGATTATAGCGATATCGGACCACGGACAGGCCATCGTGCGGTGGGTTTGGGAGAACGGCCGTATCTAGATCCGGCGAGTACTAGTCGGCGGACAGCTTTGGAAGAAAAGGCATAGGGGTGAAACAAGTCAAAGGGTGATGGATGGATGGATGATCAAGGAGAGGCATAATTTGTTTACATAATTAAGCTGTGCATAAGATAGTTAGTGTACTCCGTCGTGGAAGTTAGATTTCACGTGATCACGCAGAACATCGCCATGCTCCCACCACCTCCACTGTGTAACCTGCATCTCCTTCAATCAGAGATCTGGCACCATCCTTGTTGAATCTTGATTCAACGTAGAATAGGAGGTCCTGTTCCCCTCGACCGCTTCGACCGCCATCCCAGTTCGCCGACCTTCCCTCCGAGCCCCCTGCATCCCTCCTCGTCTCCCCGCCGATCACACGCAAGGACACCTCTGCATGGCCTCTTCGGAGCCTGGCCATCTCTGGACTCTTTTGCACAGCATGACCCATCGTCGACGCGGCCGGAGAACACAATGATGTAGGACGGATCTTCCCTCGGTCGCAGAATCAACATGTCTATTATTGCGATACACGGCTGGGGAACCAACCCCTATGTACAATTGCCTCGCGGTGGAATCCGTCAACAGTATCCCACCCTGAGCGGATTAAAAAGGAAACAAGAAAAAAATACAAGTGGCCGGACGTCGTTCAACCGCCGATAAACAACCAGGCAACCATTCCACCCCATAGTCCGACGAAGACCACGGTCAAAATGCCCGCGCCTGCCTTGTCTCCAGTGGTGATGGGCTTCAAATTGCCGCTGTTCGAGTTGGAATCCGTCCCCCCGGCGTTGGGATCGCTTGAGCTGGTGCCTCCAGTGGAGGAGGTGAGCGGCGCCTTGGCTTGAAACTTCAGCATAGCCGAGGATATAACATCGGCCACGCTGATTTGTTCCTCCATCCCATGCCAGCCATCCCATTTATTCCCGTACCACCGCACTCCGCAGCTGTTGTTTCCCATCCCTGTGCAGGTCTGGGCGGCCGATTGGGCCGACCCTTGCAGCTTGGGCAGGATCTGGTCGTACGTCGAGGGGACGATCATGGCGACGAATCCCAGCCACGAAGTGACCAACCCTTTGAACAAGATTTCGTTGTTGTTGCACAATTCCTGGGGTTCGCAGAGGATCTCGGACATCACATTGCCGCCATACTTCTGAGGGAAGAACTTGTCGAGGGTGACCCCCAGCAGGCCGTCAAGCCGGTCCTTCCAGTAAGACTTTTCGGTCTAGATAGAGAGATGCAGGTTAGCGGGGGGGCAGTCGGAATTAGGGTTCGCCGATGGTATGCTTACTAGGTTGTACATGTAGGCGGCGCCGGTCAGATATGTGCCGTAGTTGTAAGACCACTGGTTATTCCCCTGGGTCTTGCACCCAGTCTCAATATCGGTGGAGTCAGCCACATTCCAGGTCTGGTTGTTCAGCAGCGGGGTAGAAGCGCTCCAGTCCCAGATTTTGTCCGCCCAGTCCGCGTAGGTCTGGTTGTTGGTATATCGGGCGAGGCGGGCGGCCAACTGGAACAGGCCCCCGTTGGAGATGGAGTTTTTCATGTTGTAACCAGCCTGGTAGGGGAAAATCTGCCAGCGGAGTCCTCCACCACAATTACTCGTATCCCACCGCGCCACCTGGGTGTTGTAGACGCCCTGGGCGAGCGAGAGCCAGGAATACTTATCAGGCACATCAGGGAAATTGATTTCGGCGGCCGTCATGGCGGCAATCCCCCAGAATACTTGGTCGTCGTTACCCTTGCGCGCTGTTTAGCCAGCGATTTCTCGAGATGAGGGGCGATTTCGACGTACCAGGTAGCTGCTGTAGTTGGCGGGCATGTAGTCCCCATTGCCAGCCTGCCACTCCATTCCCTGGCTGGTGACGCTGTTGTAGGTGTCGTCACCGGTATAATGCCAGTAGAGCAGGGTGCTAAGGAACAGAGCACTTCCCTCCCACCACTTGTCGGGGAACGCACCGGGAATACCGCCGGTGTCATTCCCGGAATACCATTTCATCGCGCCATAGACAGCTTCGCTGGCGGCACTCTTGACCGATTCTGCGGGGGAGAGACTGTGTTAGCGTGCGGATGTCCCGCCGAAGTTGCGGATGGGGATCAGGGTCCGGATGGGGAAGGGTCCAGGGACGGACGACGTGCCTTCATCATCGATACTGATGTCAATGGCGTGGACGAGCTGGGCGACGAGGGTCAGGAGGAGCAGGAACGGACTCGATAATCGAGGCGTGGAGGGACGCATAGCGAGAGAGAGAGCGAATATGCGACCACCGGGGAATGAGTGTCTTGTGAGGAAGAGGGGAGGAGAGTAAGATGATAGAAAGAATCAGGGCCCCGACCCGGGAGGACTGGAAGTTCCTGATGACCACGAGGCGGTTGCTTTAATTAGACAGAGGGCGATGATTCGTGCATGGGCAGGAATTGTACGTGTGCAGTGGATCTCCCCCAGCAGTGGAGCCACCAATCGACTTGGCTTTCTGCCTCCTCCGTCTAAGCTTTTTCTCGGGTCTCTTAATTTATCCTCCCCTGTTGTTCCACGGCTGAGTCCCCCGACCGTTACATCTACAGACAAGATGGTGAAGGAGGAGTCATATTCCGAGTAGTGTAGTGTAGTGTCTCTTGGGAGACGTCCACCCCTGGCTCGATGGGTCGGATCCCATCCGACGTCCATCTCCCGCTGATTGTCGGTCAATCCTCCCTTACTCTCCCTGTTCTGAAACCACCGAGGTGGTGTTATTTCCAGGGGTAACTAAATGGTCTATCAAGTTGGATCACGGACGTCTTTGTCGCGATCTGCTGTGCGATCTTCACTGACATCACAGGAAAGAGTAGCGTCTTGGCAAGGCAATGAGCATACGGAATGTGACCAGTCGGGTGAGCAGATATATCTGACGCACGATACCTTACACAATCGATTGAACGGAGTTTCCAGTATAAATGCAGATGTTGAAATTGTTTTCTGCGAGGCTGACAAACGGGTTAGCTACGTATGTGTCTACAATCTTACCAGTCATCTCGAGTCTCAATATATATTTTGATGCCTGTACCGTCGATCAACAATTCAAAGTGTCAACCCTCGAGCTGACAACCTATCCACAGCTGCCAAATGCGCTCAATTAGATCGAACTGCTTCAATGGATCATTCATTGCCCTCCCACTCTAATTCCAGTGATATAGGGTGCTCTGCCATCACCTACTTCATGCCTCAGGCTGCATATTTGGTGGACTAACCAATGCAACGGTATGATCCCGTGACTACTCTGGCCGAATGAGGTCTAGCGCCAGCCGGCTTTTCCTTCCGCACTTGGACCCAACATCAGGGCAGTAGGAGGTTCAGAGTTCTTTTATCTGTACACAATAGAGCTCTTAAAAGCAGTTGGTGGATGTTATATGCTACTTAATTCCTGGTATGAAACTTATTAATCATATCCAGCGTTGCACGAGATGTGGGTTTTGTCTCAATCATACAACCATCGTACGATATCTACTCTATTTTTCTCTGAACTAGCACATACGACCATAGGGTGTGGAGAACAGGGCTTCCCGTCCGCTCAGCCGTACTTAAGCCACACGCCGGCCGGTTAGTAGTTGGGTGGGTGACCACCAGCGAATCCCGGCTGTTGTATGTATTTTCTTTCTCTTTTTTTTTCTTATTTTTTTTTATTTTTAATCTGTTTGCAGTTACTTGCTTTATCTCATTCCCTAGCCCTGAACAGTGCCCTACCTGAATAGGGATGCTTAGTAGCTCTGCCAACTGCCACCGACCTGGTCGTCCGAGTGGGCGTACCAAGGAAATGAATGTCAGCTCTCATGGTAAAGTAGCACAGCTAGCGAGGATTGGCCAGAACAGTGCACAATTTGATCAAACAGATTCCTCTTCAATAAAGCTGATAGTAATAGGCCTACTACTTTTTTATATATATAGTATTAGATGCCAGCACGCAATCATAATGGTTGTAAATACAAAGATCAAAGCAAGAGACCTAAAAGTCTTCGTATAACTTCAAAATACACATATTTCAAGGCTCATACCACATGAATTTAGTCACCAATAAGGTAGATGCTGTTACGAACATTACTGTGAGGACTATTGCCTATTCTTAAAATCGATTGATTCTTCAAGGAGCGGCGCAAAAGAACTACAGGTTCATAGTTACAACCAGCTTATGTTTGCTTCATTTATTGGCTGGAAGACTGTCCGGACTCAGTTACCCTTCGGCGGGACAAAAAGGCCATAACATCACTGGCCGCAAACAGAAGATAATGGGAGGCTAGAATCGACTGGAGTTTGGAAGTCCGCTTGTATGGTTACACAAACACACTGCCGAGATGCCGCAACCAGAGCTTGTTGATCAACAAAGACATCATAATAGTATCAATATGACGATGCGCAGTATCAATGAATTGCTGGGGTCCGTCGGACTTGTTTCTTTTGGGGAGTTCTAGAACCTCATCACTTCCGTAACTCCCGGTAGTAGGGTCTCACGGTGGGAAGCAAGAAGGTATAAGGACCTCTAGCCCCAGCCCTCCCTGGATTAAATCTGATTTATCTGCATTGACCAAATTGTCTTACACTACCATCCATATACAAAGAGCCTATCCATCATGCCAAGATACAGCGATATCGTCCAGGAGCTCCGCGACGAGATGCTCTGGGAGGTAAATGATCTCGAACAAGCCGTCAAGAACGCCCGCAAGTGGGATATTCCCGAGCTAGACAAGTATGGCATTATCTCAGCCAAAGGTTTTCTTGATTTTGCCGACTGGCTGGTTCGGGGCTGGATTCCCACAGAGTCGACACAAGGCCGCGATATATACTATATCCTTTGTATCTTCTACTTTGTCCTTTCCCAGGAACCACTGGGTGGCCGCCAGACCAAGATTCATCCTTTAAGCATCAACGAGCCTCTCAAGCCTCTTTCAGACTGGGTAGTTCGATTTGCCCAAGAGGTTGGATCCAGCATGGATAAGTCTTCTTCAATTAACGAGGCTGCGATAACCTCTTTCCGAAATTCACCTCTATTCCGCGTCTTCGAATCTGCCGGGGATGCCAAGAACTGGACGTCTTTCAACAAGTTCTTCTATCGAAAGCTCGACAAGCCGCGTGAAATCGACAGTCCAGACGATGATCATATTGTGACCTTCCCTGCTGACTCCACTTTCGCTGGAGCGTACGCGATTAGCAGTGACTCGGAAGTCGTCCTTAAGAAAGAGGAGTACAGGATCGTCAAGGATGAGGTAGTCTTGAAAAATGTCCCCTGGAGGGTAAGAGACCTTCTTGGCAAGTACGGCGACGAAAAAGTTCCAGGGGATGACTCTAAGACCTACGGAGAACTTTTCAAAAACGGTCTCTGGACACATGTATTCTTGAATTCGTTCGACTACCATCGCCAACATGCTCCTGTTTCGGGCACCGTGGAAGTCATCGACGTCATTCAAGGAGCGGCGTACCTTGAGGTCCTGGTAAAAACCGACGAGCAGGTCGGTCACAACTATCTGGAGCTCTCGCGCCAGATTGGGAACAGACCACCGAACCCATCTGGTATCAAGACCCTTGAAGCCCCAGATACCCCCGGTTACCAATTTCTCCAAACTCGAGGTGTGGTCATCATTAATACCGAGAACTTGGGTCGAGTGGTCGTCCTGCCTATTGGCATGGCAATGGTCTCCTCCGTTAGTGTTAACTCAGAGCTAAAGGGACAAAAGATCAAAAAAGGGGATGAAATCTCTCACTTCGCGTTCGGCGGCTCGGACTGCATTATCATGTTCGAGCACAAGGCAAGAGTTTCAGGCTTTCCGGACTCTGACCCAGCTTCTCGCGAGCATTTCTTTTATGGGGAAAAGTTATGCAGAGCTTATTACAAGCAACACAAAGAACATAGAGGCATCGGTTCCCGCCTTGGACTTGTTTCTAGATAACAAACATGAAGCACGAAGCTGAGGACGCACTGGAATGGAAATGGAATGAAATCTCACCGACAGTATCTGGTACTTGATGTTATTGTCCAGATCAATGTGCGTGTCATGAGATACTTTGGGCTGTCTCTGGTTTGATGCTGGTTGGTAACTCGGAGGCGCTTGCTGTTGTTTGTAGTGGTAAGTGCGTTCTAAATATGCGCGACTCCTAGTCTAGGTGGCAATTTTCGTCTTTGTTCTTTCCTTGCAGGAAATTTGGTGTTGTTGGTTGCATAGATCCATTGGCCGTAGTGGTAATGCACTAATATAACCTGAGCCACTTATCTTGGCTTGGAGCGGAATACTTTTGTTACGTTATACCACATGCAGCTATCTTATGACCAGCTTTTCTCTCTTGTGTGTGTTTGCTGGAGAATAGGTTGGTGTTGTGGCGTATCTTCGTGACTGGTTTCTTATGAAATTGCATATCCCTCTCAGGAAGACTTCGGGAGTAATTGGGTCCAAGTACTACATCCCTGCAGAATAGAGCGCAGAAAACGTCTCCAGCTTGAAGGCGGGATGGCACCGGGGTATCTACCATGTGGGAGGGATATAATAATCTCTCCAACGGTCTGACTCAGCATCTCTGAAGGTATCGACAGTACCTTCTACCCCGTCGGGCCCAACAGACCAGACGCCTTCTTCAACCAGCTTGCGCCAACAATCCAACAAACGCTCCAGCCGCTGAGAGCGGTAGGAGTCACCACCAAAAGGCTTGAATCCATGCTGAAAGAGGTCTGCAACGCTTTCCCTATCAACAAGCTCCCCATCGCTTCTTCGTGCGCCTCCGCTCCTGCCCCAACCATCATTGAAGGTGAACGGGAGCAACAGCCGGAATCCCTCCTCGGCCGTGTCAAGACCGTTTCTCTCCACTGCCGCAGTATACAGGCCTGCAGAGACGTGAGACGGTGTGTGCGTATCCGTGGAGGGTGAATAGAAGTCCGCTAATAAGAATGGACTTGATGTTCTCGTGAGCTGGACAGGACGCTGGTCTCCGCTGTCGGCGGGGAAAAGGCACACTGGCGGTACGGTGTGCTGAGAGCGGGGAAATACGGTGAAGGGCTGTGCTGCCACAAACTCAGACGAGTTAGCTGGGGGCAGAAGAAGGCCCGGAGCGATGTAATGGAACCAGGGCCGTCTCGCGAGTGTGAGAAACGAACGCGCAAAGGAAGGATCGGGCACCGAAGCGGCGTCCAGGACGGTTGATGCGGCCAGTGGCTCAGGATTGTCTGCATCAGTCCCAGAAATGGGGCTGATCCGTGATGGGGGATTTGGCAGTTGCGAAATGCGCGCCTCGATGGCCTGACACAGCCGATCCCAGGCGCGGACACACGTAGTAACCTGGGTTTCGCTATAGGGCCGCCACTCCCAGGGCCCGATCTTCTCGAAGTCGAATAGGGCTGGCTCATTATGAGGCGAAGCCACAACTTTTCCAAGATGGATCAGGTCGATCCAGTTGGAGAGCAGTGTCTCTAGTGGGTTCCAAACGTCTGGATGATCTTCAACTGGAAACCCGCAGTCATAGGCATCGAGATGCATGAAGATCGCGACACGATGGAGGCGTTGGTGGTAGATAACTCCGCCACCACTGCCCTCAGCCGATAAGCCCGTGTCGACAGAGCACAAGCGCACCAGGCTGTCAACCGACTGGTCTTGAAGATCAGCTACAAAATCCTCAATAAGTCTGTCTGGCGTAGAGAGTCCCCATGCGAAAATAGAGAGCGGCGGGGGCAACTCGTCAGGACGATCACTAGAAGGTATCATAGCGGTGCCAAGGAAAGCCACCAGTGATGGATCAAGCCTCGGACGAAGAGCCTCAGCTTCAGCACCGAAGGCCGTGAAAAAGTTGGGGCTGTTGCCATTCAAAGTTGCCAGTGGACGGCCTTCAGCGAGCCACGCGTATTGGACCAGGTAGTTGTATAGAGCTGCACATCGTGGGTAATCCATCCCTTCGCCATAAGCTCGTGGAGGGTTATCTGGCCTGACAAGTAGGCTGGTGATGTCCGGAACTGGAGAAATATCCATCGCGATGAAATCGGAGGGTGTGGCTGTCAAAGGGGTATAACTATACCACAGCCTCTATCCACAACGCTGAGGACCTGTGCAAAGAACGGAAACTATTATGAAGCGTTAGTGCAGTTCGTGTACAGAATGACAGGGCAGCCCCTATCAGCGCGGTGGTACCCAAGGACACGTGATCCTTGTGAGGATAACTGCTTTCGTTATAGAAAACGTATTCAAATAAAAGGAAACAGTAACCGCCATATGTTCCATTTCTCGCATACACACTCTGAGCCTTCGTCTGATTTACTGGAATGGTCACAATCCATCGGCTGGACCCGATGAAGATCGGGGACCCCGAAGAGAGCTAAGGATTTCCCCGCCCTGGCTGGATGGCGAGTCCTGCCGCTGGTTATGACAATCAATCTATAGCATCTCCGTTGGATTCCACTGAGGGATCATTCGAACCAATTGCGATGGCGATGTACTACTATGAATGTCACTTTGTCACTTCCCCGGCCGCAGTGGAGACGGAGGTTACTTCTCATCTATGACTCTCCTCATCTTCAATGTCACCTACCTCGTTTGGCAGCAATCTCATCTTGATAAACCGAGGCACAATGTCGGCTACAATATCCATTAGGTACTCTACACTTCACAGCTGGAGGGGTACCCAGCGTCCTGTGCGTCTTCACGTCCATGTATGCATAGATAAATATCACGCCGGGCAGGGAGTAACAATATCATGCTACACAACATTGCCTCTGCTACAACATGCGCATTCCATCTGTCATAACGCTTTGTACAGCGGGCTTCATCTCGCTAGCGTCAGCAATCCCCTTATCCGCCACTACGGCCTCTGCGGACCAGGCAACAGAGTTTGCGTTAACTGTAAAAACCCCGTAGAATTTGACGATATCCCCGCTGACTGAGACACAATAGTACGGCTACCCTCTAATTCCATATGCCAAGTTTGCCTTGCCACTCATCTCAAAGTCCGGAACGAACAACTTGCAACATATGCGACAACTCTCCACTGCAGACTTTCAAGATGTTGTTCGCCCGAATGTGGATACACTCTACTCACTGGCGATCTTGGACTTGTCTGCGGGTGATCTTGTAATCGAAGTCCCCAACATTACGGACCGGTACTGGGTGTTCCCATTCTATGACGTGTGAGAGTGATCCCTCCTTCTACCCGATCTTCATATTCATCCCCACTAGATATGGCAATAACTATGCCAACCTAGGCAGTGTTGGGCACAACCGACCCGGAAAATATCGTATTCGCTATGGCGGCGCCCACAGGCATGAACCAGGCGTCCGAATCTGCAGGAACACCGCTCGCTCTATCACAAATGATCCCGCTTGCGACGGATATCAGGGAATCGTCAATGCTCCGACTCCCTATGGGACATTCGTGGGTCGTCTGCTCGTGAAGGACAACAGCACGGATCTCCAGCGCGTTTACATGATTCAGAACCAGACCGCCCTATATCCTGCGGCAGCTCCGAGGCACGGTAATAGCGCGCATGCCCCGAAACTGACCACCAGTATCCTCAATGTCTCGCTGTCCGCCGACATCCCGAACAGAATTATGCAGATGACCGCTCGCATCTCACCGTTCAGCCCTCCGCGTAGCATCTCCGACAGGCCCCATGTGGAACGGATGCTCCGAAAGGCTGGAATAAAAAATGGACGGTACACGCCGACTCAGAGCAACTTAACCGCACTGGCGGAGAGGGCTGAAGCAGCAGTCTTTAGCCACGCCAAGATGCCGCAGACTCGCATGAACTTGGGGCATGATTGGGTGGCAATGACTCCCTCGGCTCAGGGGGATTATGGAACGGATTATCAGATGCGATACTACGTGGCTTACACGGGGTATCTGGCACTGACGTCCGGGGAAGCCATCTATCCCTCCTATCAGGATCCGTTGAATGACGGGAGTGCCACGCTGACGTTAGGAAATGATGAGGCGTATATGTTGACATTCCAAAGCAAACCACCACTTGAGGAGACGGGCTTCTGGAGCCTGACTGGCTATAATGCGCAACAGTATCTAATCGCCAACCCGTTGGATCGCTATGCTGTCGGAGACCGGTCTGGGTTGACTTATCCTGATGGATCCCTCGTGTACGGAGCACAGACTACGAATCAGACCTTCCAGGTGCTTGTCCAACCAGCAGACGTCGCCCCTCCAGCAAACTGGACATCGAAGTGAGCCACATCCCGTTAGCCCTGCTCCTTGAGTTAGAGTTCTGACATACAGTAGCTGGTTACCGGCCCCTTCTGGGGGAGGGAAGTTCTCAATCACCTGTAAGTCTTTATCATACTCTGACAATTCTTGGCTCTGCCTAATGCGAGACCTTGTTTGTAGTTCGTTTGTATGCACCGTCGTCCAGTCTTGCCCAGGGAGAGTGGACATATCCAATTGTGGAGAAAAGGAGAGCGATTGTTGGATAGGCTAGATACATCAGAGGTCAAGCCTGTTTTTTTTTTTTTTTTTGTTGAGCCAGTGCGTTTGTGTGTGATGTAGCTGGTGCTGGCAGTGGAACGCTACCCTCATTCACTACACACAAACAATCTTCTCACGTGGATGTCCGCTCTTTCTGTTCCCCTCAATCTCACCTCTTCCAACATCTTCTCAGTTCCCACTCCATGGCTGCAGTCTACCTGTTATGATTCCATACCCGAGAGTCATTAATAGCAAAATGGAGGTTTTCCTTCGAAACCTGCCTTCTGATCTCTCCCAAGAGGCGCTCGAGGCTCAGTTGACCCCCTTCATGAGGGAGCTACGTATCGTCGACTTCATATGCCTGAAGCCAAGAAGAAAGACCTTCGGACACATCGCATTCCTAAACAAAACTGATGCTGAGAGGTTTCTGGCTGTTCACGGGGAACAGGAAGTCCCATCCGCTCGATACAAACCCCGCTTTCAGGCTCATCTGCATCTCTTGGGGACTGAGGTTTTCTGCAAGCCTAGCAACCGCAATATCCGGGAATTCACACTCAGGGCATTGCAATACAGTGTCGAGCAACGGGGAGGAAATAGTACCCAGGAGCGGGACGAACAGCCAACATTTCAGCTGGACATTGATGAGTTCAGCTGTGGATACTGCAGCTTCAATGAAGACCAGCTAGTCTTTACGCCAGAGGTCGCTTGGTCACAGAAGGGAGTCTTCACCCTGAAAGGGAGGAACTTCAAGCTCACGACACGGGATGGGTATCTCCTACGGATTCCCACAAGCTCAATTATCGCTCTTGTCCACTACGATGATGGTTTACTGACCTTCATCCTGTCCGATGTCCCATACTTCTTTCTTGAGCATAGTAAGGCACCTCTAACCATGACACTTCCTCTTTTGAGCCTGGAAAAAAGCAGTATCACCCATTTCAGACTACCAGCCCTAAGCGACGAGCATGCCACTATTATCGGACAATGTCTAGTTTACCAGTTTCGTGCCCCAGCCCTTGACCTTATACGCTGTATGATGTCCCTGAAGGAGTCTGATCTGTCAGTATTCTACCACGATCTTACCCCGAAACAGGCACTCCGTTCTTCCGCACGTGGCCTTCACAGCGACCTCCAGACCTTCCTCGACCAACTCTCGGAGTGGACAAGGAAGGGTGATCTCCCATTTGGCGTCCTCTACCAGCTCCAGGCACTTGTCTACAATGCTTATCTTCACCCGACCACCGTTCAGATACTGGGTAGCAAGCTGTGCGCCATTTCCCAAGACCGCAGACAGCGTGGCCTGGCTCCGATATCAGCCGATGCAGTTCGGACTCTCTTGAACACAGTCCACTGGGCTTTACCGTTCGACAATCCTGAAGTCTTTCAGCCGGACTCCCTGCTGGCCACCCTGAGATTAGATAGAGAAGCGAAAATGGAGCGTACGACTCAGAAGTCAGTTTCTGCAGACCTTTCCTCGGACCACGTGTTGATACATCGCGTGTCCGTCTCCCCTGCCAGAATCACCTTTCACGGACCAGAGCGCGAACCTCAAAACCGTGTCATACGAAAATTTCCTCGCCATCATGCATATTTTATTCGTGTACAGTTTTGCGACGAAAGAGGCAGCGATCTCTTCTTCAATCCCAAGCATGATTATGAGCAGATCTTTCAGCGGTTTAGAACCGTGTTGACGCTTGGAATTCAGATCGCCGGGAGAACCTATACATTCCTGGGGTTTTCTCATTCCTCTCTCAGATCGCACTCCGTCTGGGTAGGTTACTGCTTCATGTCGCCACAAATTCCGTAGACTATTCGTGCTAATGTATGAAGTTTTCGTCTCCCTTTATTGATGGCGACGGGTCATTGCAGACATCCTCTTCGATCATCAAGGCCCTCGGAAACTTTTCTGGAATTACCTCGCCAGCAAGATGCGCCGCTCGCATTGGACAAGCCTTTACCGAAACACCATTTACCCTACCGGTGCAAAACGTCGTGGTGGAATATATCGAGGACATCACATCATCAGACGAGTCACGCGTTTTCAGCGACGGCATCGGGACAATATCGCTGGAAGTTGTTGAACGAATCTGGAAAGGAATTCCCCAGAAGAAAGGCACACCGACTTGCTTTCAGGTTAGGCTCGGCGGTGCTAAAGGGATGCTCTCCTTAGATAGCCGTCTCGAAGGCTCGGTCATACGCATTCGACCTTCGATGGTGAAGTTCAGTACGGACGATATGCGCGACCTTGGGATCTGTGGCATGGCATCGGAGCCTTATCCGCTCGTTCTAAACAGGCAAATTGTCAAGATTCTGGAAGATATTGGCGTCCCAGACGACTGGTTCTTTGGCTTACAGAACGATCGTCTGAGGCAGTTGCAACTCATTAGTTCAAGTGCCGACAAGACAGCCACATTTCTCAAGGACGCAAAGATTGCGGACTCCATAGGCTTGTATAAGCTGTTCCGCTGGTGTTATTGGATGGACCTGGACTACAGAGAGGACCCTTTTCTTCGTTCTATAGTGGAAGCCATGATACTCCGAGAACTGCGGCTTCTCAAGCACAAGAGTCGCATCCCTGTTCCTCAGGGGATGACTCTCTATGGAATCATCGATGAGACAGGCTACCTGAAGGAGAATGAGGTTTTTATAACCTTTGACACGATCTCTGGCCTGTATGCTGCGCCTCCGGGCCCAGGACCTGTGTTGGTGACACGTTCCCCAGCCTTGTACGACGGGGATATTCAAGTTGCGCGCAATGTTGTTCCACCGCCCGATCACCCGCTAGCAAGGCACAAGAACTGTATCATCTTCAGTCAGCAAGGCGCAAGAGACCTGCCTAGCCAACTAAGTGGAGGTGACCTCGATGGAGATCTCTATCATGTTATCTGGGACCCAATCGTCGCGAAGGTGCACACATCACCGCCCGCGAACTATGCTCGAGTGGTGCCACATGATATTGGTCGAGTTGTCACTACTAAGGATATGGCCTATTTCTTTGTTGAATTCATGAAGACCGATTGCGTCGGCATCATAGCCACGCGGCACATGATTCTAGCTGACCAAGAGCCCGAGGGAACCCACGCCAGTGGATGTAAACTGCTTGCGGAGTTGCACTCCACGGCTGTTGACTACTCCAAATCTGGGGTTCCTGTTGATATGGCAAAGATCCCCAGCACCGGACGCTTCAGGCCAGACTTGTACGTTTTCATTTCGCACTCTGTTGTGAATGTCAAATGCTGACGCTGAATAGCATGGCTCCAGGTCCCCTCGCACAAGTGTACAGCAAATCCAAGATTACGCTGACTGAATTGTCTTCTCATGCAGCTTACGACGAGGACGGTCCGTCTCACATACTGTACTACAAGTCCGACAGGATCCTTGGAAAGCTGTACCGAGCAATCGACGAGAAGAGAATCTGGCATGAGCGTATTGATACCGGCCCTTCGCCTGATGAAGACTCCTTCTGGGCACGATTTGTATCTTACTTGACCTGTAGGCACAGCTTGAGCCAACCCGACTCCTGTACGGTCGATGAGGCGCTGCGCCTTCGTTCAGCGTGAGTCAGGATCCCACACTATGCGGATTCTCATTAACAGAATACAAGGTACAACGATGCTATCATGGCGGTAATGCACGACTTCTCTGAGCACCCTACCCGACCGATAACCGAGCTTGAGGTCGTGACTGGGATTATCATCACGAAGACGGGTGTACAGAGTCGTCGGCAACGAGACCGGGCCTCAAAACTGAAGGATGAGTTTGACCGAGTGTCTAGTTGGATAACGGATTCGATACGTCAAGGTGGCCGCGACTTGTGCGTCGCCTGCCTTTGTCTTCCTGCGAAGGACGGTGAGAAATCTGGTTTGCATCGACGTTCTGACGCATACTCTGGTTTTCGCAGCTTCCGCATTGTGGCAGCGTGTGAATTGCTGGCGGAGTTGGATATTCTACCAACGAGAAATTAAAGACCGCCTAGGCCAGTCAGAGGGAGAGTGTTGTGGATTTTGCATTTTCTGATAGCCAGACACCATATTAATGTACGTGATATGTCTATGTATTCCCAACAATGTGCTTTTTGAGTGTGCTAGAAGTATGGTACGAAATTGAGGCAATGGCTTTATGATCGGCAATGGTCTAGAACCGAAATTATCTTCGGATCTACTTGGAGTCAATGTACTACATTCTGTCGCTGATATCATCGAGTCAAGTTAACTATGGTATGGATTTGAACCTTTGTCGTCTTCGGGGTCGTGATGTAATCCAGCGGAGGAAGTGGACCGACAGCTGCCATATTTCTTAGACGTTGAGCCCTACAACGCGCAATCCAGACCGTACGACTGTCCTTATCCCACTGCCACTGCCTTTCACATTACTTCGCAGCCCGATAATAAACCAAATGTCGTAAGGATGCCCTCCAGTACATACCAGGCACTCCAGGCCTCGACTGGTCAACCTCGTATAGATCCATGCTAACTACTACTGACAGAGCGACGAAGCCGGTTACCGACGGCGTGAATGAAGCCGAAGATGACACCATGATACCTCCTGAGGACCTGCCGACTCCTCCGTGGGGTGATCGTGGAGTGACTTCCCTCAAAGCGGGCACAAAAAAGCCGAAGCAAAAAGACTCAAGCATCAACGTTCGAATCAATCTGGACCTGAGGGCAGATGTAGCTTTGGAGCTACACGCAGTAATTCAGGGAGATGTAACTATTGGTCTATTCTGACCTGAATATATTGTCCGTGATCCCTAATTCAATGCAGCTGGCGCATCACAAAGGCCAGCGAGTGAGTGGTGTTGGATGGGGATGTGTGTTTCTACGATGGCCATTTAATATAATCGCTCTACTTGTTCCAAAACATCTTAACCCTACCTCTGCCACCTGAGAGGCGCAATGGGAATGCCCGTCTGAAGACGCTGAGAGCCATTCAAGATGACGTTGCTCAACCGGAATCGGAGCGTAGATCGTTGCAACGGTTCTGGTTCTGGTTACACGCGGCGGAACTTTCGGCCCATCCGCACTTCCGCGCACACCCGCATAAAATGATATCGCAGATCATGTAAAAGACTTTATTCCGTTGATCCTTAATTGTTGGATGGTTTCGTTGTGTCTGGGGCGGATTGAATAGCAAAACTGTAACCACTACTGACCCGCCCCGACCGCCACTTCTCAATATCACCTGAATGCTCTCACATACTGCCATGTCCTAACCACAGTGCTCTCGGTAATGACCTATTCTGCGTCTTGATCAAGTGGAGTCTCTATGGCTTCGTAACAGGACTGGAGACGCCAGTATGCATGGTCTCCATTGCCCATTTGACCTGCCTGGACTCTGCTATGCTCAGCGGTGTGTCTCCGTGCGAATTCCTCTGAGACGCTAAATAGGGAGCGTTCTCCAGAAACACCGTAACAGTCCTCCGGAGGGCGGCCACTGCATTTGCATCTTGAGGGTTCTTGCCAGCCAGGATATGGAGCACGTTGTTCCCCTGGTTGTCCACCGCACCCAGATCCGCGCCCCGATCATACAAAGCCATAGCACGGGTGGTGTCGCCTTCAATCCATGGCGACGGTAGGAAGCGCCCACCCCGGAAGGGCAACATCGGAACGGTATACGCGTATGACTGAGTTCCCACATCACAACTTGCTGCGGCCAGAAGTAGAGTTCTCCCGCGATGATCTCGGCGTTCAAGGTCGACGGTTTGCATGTTCAGCCAAGGTTGGATGATGCCCCCGCCGGAGAAGATGTGATGCAATATGAGATTCTGTTCATTATCGAAGGGTAGGAACGGATCAGGCCCACGTTCGAGGAGGAGCTGGATCATTTGGATGGCGTGGTCACGACTGTTCACCTCATTGAATGGTGGCATCGATATGTAGTGGAGGGGATGAAGAGTCAAGCCTAACTGTGGCACCTTCAACACCCGATGTGTGTGCCAGTGCTTCAAGTCGTTTGAAAGCGTCGTTGTGTTGCAATCCAGCCCCATCCCTAACAGGTCGGAGACCACCCCGGGCTTAAAATTGTACAGTGCGACAAATAATTCCATCGGATGGTCGACCGATGGACGCGCACCGTAGTCGACGAGCAATTGGAACAGCTCTTCATCGTGCGCCGCCATCGCGAGAGGAGTATACCCACAATAAGCTGGAATGTTTGGATCTGCGCCCCCCTCAAGGAGGATCTGCGTGATTTTGCGTTGCCGATAACATCCCAGATCGCCTCTTTGCACGGCGTAGCATAGAGGCGTCTTCCCGTCATTACTCCGGACATTTGGATCGGCTCCATGCTGCAAGAGGTATCGTATGGCCTCCTCATGCCACCAATGACCCCCTTGTGCAAGATGGTGGAGTAGTGTATCCCCTGGCCGGTACCATCGGTTGTGAGAGACCTTGGACTGGAAATAGACCTTTGGTTTCCCAACACTTTCCGCTTCATATCGGACATTCACATCCGCATGAAAATGCTCAACGATGACGTTGATCACTTCGAGATTCGGCAATTCTCGCTGTCCGGCTGCAAGCAGATAAGGTATGAGCTTCTCTCCCAGCTTGTCCCGGCCGCCACCATTGATCCAGCTTGCGTCCTTTGCGAGGATATTTCCGATACGTTCAAATAGCTCGAAATAGCCCCATCTTGCCAGAGTAACGAGGATATCAGGCAGTATAGGGTTGTTAGCAAGCTCTGTAGCGTTTTTCTCGAAGGCCTGAGCCACCTCCCGGTAGTAGCCTCGCAGCACCATGTCGAGGACAGCATGATCGTCGAGATAGCCTGTAAAAGTCTGTTCCAAAAGCTCAGGTAACTTCTGAGCACGGAGTAGACAGTACTTTACGTCCAGGGAATAGGGATTCCCGAGAACAATCCCATTTTCTTTGTGAAGGCAATCGAGCTCCTCCACCATTTCGTCACAGCCCGCCGATAATGCTCTGAATAGTGGACCAACGCCGAATTTCCTCTCCGTGGCAAGAGCACCATGGGATACGAGGCTTGCGACAATCCGTCTGACTCCAAGGGTATAATCCTCTGATGTAATTTCCCCTTTCCAGCCGATTCTCCGAGGGTAGGTCCGCTGATGCCCGGCCTTCTTTCCCGCAGACTTGGGACCCTGCGGTCGCTTTCCACCACCTAATAGCACGTCTTCAATCAACAGGTCTTTGAATATGTTGTCTCCATCAGAATCATTGGTCCATAATAGGTCTTCGGCTAGGAACTCTGCACAAGCATCCATAGGGGTGCATTTGTGCTCATCTTCCGCATCGACATCCGCACCATGCTGGAGAAGTAAAGCCACTGTTTCCAATCGCCCAGACCGACATGCGACGTGAAGAGGTGTACGGCCGTCCTTGGATCGCACATTCACCTGTGAGAGTCGAATTCTGGAATCGTAGTGCTCCAGCAGCAGTCCGACGACATTGCTCTGCCGCGCCATGGAGGCTATATGTAGCAGATTACAGCCATCACTCGTGAAACAGGTTGTATCCGCCCCTCTGGAGATGAGCTTGTCCACCAATATTTCCGAGACGGCTGCAGCAAGATGAATTGGCCGAACTCCACGATGGTCAGCGATATCCAGCGCCGCGGATAAGCCTGCATCGAGAAACAGGTCGAACGCCGTTTTACCTCCCTCTGCGGCGGCGGCATATCAATGCTCTGATACCTGACTGCATAGCAAATGAAGTGGTGTCTGGCCTTTGAAATTGCGAGATGTCGGTGATACCCCCATTTGGAGCAACTTGATGATCCACCATAATGCAGTATCTTCTGCAATGGTCGCGAAATTCAATGACAGTCGATGCAGAAAGGTGTCGCCCTCGTAATTTGCCAGATGCGGATCCGCTCCTGAAGACAGCAGAAAATCCAGGGATTTGTCCTCAAAGTGGTGAGGTTTAACAAGGTAGTGGAGAATAGAGTTGCCCTTGTAGTCCTGTGTGTTGATGTTGGCACCGCGGCTCATGAGATAAGGCAACAGTTCACGAAAGTTCCAGCTCGACCTGCCATGTACTGTCATAAACAACAATGTCCACCCCTTGTGGTCCCGGGACTCAATATCCGCGCCAGCGGCGCATAAAATGTCCAATGTATCCTTGACTGAGTCTTTTGGGCCACCAACAAAGTGAATTGGCTGCCTTCCCTCGTTGTTCTTCGCACCTGGATCCAGTCCAATCTTGAGTAGTTCTTGCAGCGTGTTGCTCTTAGCGCGCTGCGACTGGACTGCTAAATGTAGAACAGTGTTGCCTTTCCTATCCGTCGCTGTCCAATCGGATACATGCGGTAGAAACAACGAGAGATCATCCAAACCACCCTTCGAAGCGAGAAAATGAAGGGGAGTGAGCCCGTCGTCATTGTGCGGTGTCTCCAGGCTGGACCCATGAGCCATAAGTAGATCCAGGGTGTCTGGGGTTTGAGACCACGGGTGGAACAGATGCATGGGCGTATTCCCTCTGTCATCTGGGAGATTTGGATCTGCGCCGTGCTCAAGAAGGACATCGACAAGAGGAAAGTTCAAATGAAGACAGTCATGCAGTATCGTTCGTCCGCCGGCACAACGAGCATTGATGCTACAACCGGCTTCAAGCAGCATGAGGACCGCTTTTTTGGAGCGATTGACAAAATCTGCGTCTTTGTTTGTCCCAGGCCGGATTCCACTGAAGACTCCATGTAGTGGAGTGTAGGCAGCCTGTTTCTTGCCACTCTGCCCATTACCGGACTTGATGTGCACGTCGGCACCATGGCGCAGGAGAAGGTCTATCATATCGGGGTCGACCCGGGCCGCGGCGGTGTATATAGGCGTATCTCCTTCTGGGGCGCAGTTCACGTTGGTGGTCTCTATGCCCAGGAGGATCTCAGCCACAGCTGTCTGCCGTTTGTCGCATGACCGGCACAGAGCATTGTCAATTTCGCGAGACTCTGCCACAGCGGCCAACTGCCTGACAGCATCCAGGTCCGCAGAGTCGCAGGCCACCTGGAGAGCGCTAGGCGGCACCGACTGCTGGGGTTCTAGGGATCCGAGAAAGTCAAACATTGTCATGAGAGTTGGACGAAGTGAGAAGTTCGAGTGCGAATGTTGGTTCTTGTAATTTCACCGTTCATTTTGCTGGATTCTCTGCGCCCTAAATACAATTGCAGATCTAGTCCAGAGTTGTGGTCTGCCTAGGCAGTTCGCGTATCTGCCTGGGAGATGATGTTCCGCCACCCAATCATGGACCCTTAATTTCCACTCCAGCCACGTCTGAGAAGGGACCAATAATAATAGTTGTTCTTATGGAAGGGTTCTTTGTTCCCATGCAATTTTCCATCCCAGACCAATATGGAAATTTTACCCATCTAACTGGCCATTCAGAAGCGGTTCACAGAGCATAGAATTATGCCTGTTTTATGTACATAAGGCGACCATCTGGGCCGCGTCGCGTATTTTCATTGGCTGAACAGATCTTCATTAACGGAGAAATCAATGTTCCCCAGGCCCGAGGAGACCATTGTGGTGAATTGACCCCAGTCTGCACAATCATCGAGAGAAAACCCCGGTATAGTATTGAAGAGGTCTATTACAGTCCCCTCCGTGGTGTCAGTGGAATTATTTGGCGGTCTGAGTCTATGTGCTGTAGTGACTCCACCGGAATAGAGCGCGTGGTGATCCTGAGATTGATTATATATCTCCTCCGACCGATTCGCAAATGATGTCAAGTTGCTTGTCTGGCGTGTTGCTTCATCCCGTAGCTCCTCCAGGACGAGACAGTAGCGCTCTGATAGCGAGCCCTTTTCGGCAATGCCTGAGAGATGGGACTGGCAGCGGGTTGCGGCAGAGAGATAGCTACTGTAGACCTCTGGAGGGAAGGCTCGCTTTTGTATCACATAGATGTAGAGCATGACGGTTGCATTAAAGGCGAAGTATGATGTGATCTGGCTGCAGTCAGTACCTAGTATATATAGAATAAGGTGTTGAGCTCAAACTAACCCAGAGGGCGCGAAGGAGCTGACGATTTTGCGAGATGTCATCCATTATTTCCACTGTTTTCATTGCAGCATATAGGCACTGCTTCACACTTTCCTCAATCTGCGGGGTTTTATACGCAAAATTAGTCTGATCTTGCTGCGAAAGTCGACCGAAGTTGCGTAGAACAAATGGCCGATGAGTGAGAATTATAGCCTGCCAGTATGTGAGGTTGAGGACATTGCGTTGCCGCTGAAATATGGGTATGAGGAGTGATGTGCTGAAAAGATGGGCGTCCAGGAACCACGCCAATTCCGCTCGCCATTCAGTCAGGTCCTTCGAGATGGTTTTGACCGCAGCAGCCCGGTGACTTTCCGATACCGGCTGGATGGAGTAAAGGTTGCGCAGTATCTTACCGATAATCCGAGCAAGCCTGTTTTGTTATCTATCGGACATTTCTCAAGTCTTGGGGAGAATACTCACTTCATATGTGCTAATGGAGCCAACATGGTTGATGGACCGCTCATAGCAGTGTGTGATTCAATGTGACTGGCTGTTATATCTTGATCCTCGACACACGCTGGGAGCTCTGTGTTGATATCCTCGTCGTGAAATGACCGAGGTCTACCCAAGGCTGCACTTAAGTAGGTGTCTAGCGTGTACGCACACCAAAAGGTTCGGCGGCGGCATTCAATTTCAATCTGGTCCATACCGCCGGATATCTCAGGACATCTGTTCGTGTTGAGTCCGATGGCCAAAGCCAGGTGTGATACAGTGCCAAATAGACTCCAACAGTGATTTATGCGAGATTGGCTCAGAAGGTAATAGCATTGAGTCAGACGTGCTTGGACACTGGTCAAACGTACGGAGCCCTTTTCTTTAGCGAGCTGATGCTCGGCGGCCAGATAATACCGGGTGCTAGTCTTTTCAGTTCAGGGATCTTCCTAGAAAGTGAAGCCGCAAAGGTTACAGACCTTAGGTCCGAAGGGCCGGGCCTGTCATTATCCGGCATGTACACTCTGGCCAGAGAAAACACCATGAAGAGCAAAGCGACCTTTGCTGGAGCATTGTGGGCATCCCGCATGACACCTAACGTATCGTAAAACTCGTTGAACCATTTCTGGACAGTAGGTCTGTGGAGAAAACGGTAGGTTGGCATAGCAAAATCGAAGTATCGGTCTACCAGGCGCTGAGCGTCATCCCTGGGAAGCATCATGCAGAAGGACGGATCGAATTCCGGCACGTCCAGAGGTGCATCGCCGAAAGTAAAAATACTGCTAGGTTTGGAAAAAGAAATAGCTTGGTGTAGACGCCTTTGAATCCTCAATAAAAACGAAATTCCAGATGCGGGCCCAATATAATGGCCCTGTAAGTCAGCTTGGGGCGGCTGGGGAGAAGCTGGCGGCGATGCTTCCTCATGTTCTAATAAAATGTGTGAGACCTCGCCCACTGAATAAACCTCACAGTCTTGTATGGATTGTGAATTGTTCTGGAGTATCTGAGTGGTTGAGGGATTCTCTGGATACGGCGACGTCGAGACTGAAGAGCTTTTGGCCGGAGATAGCATAAGCTGTGATGATCTTTGTCGACTTTGGTCTCCATCAGCCGGTACCGTAGGAACGAAAATATTTCGGCCTCTGGAATAGGCTGAGTTGAATGTACATCTGGCCTTTGCACGCAGACAAAATCCACATGGTTGAGTATTGTTGCATTTGATTTTCCTCCTGTAAGAAAGGCCGACAGTCAGTCACAGTACATGCACGACGCCGATGCCAAGGAACAGTCACCCTTTACACCGATCACACGCTCGAGTCACCCTCACCCTCTCCCGGTTGCTTTTCCGCCTTCTAGATGCCTCGGGTTTCGACAATCCCGCAGATGCTGACAACGGCATGGACCGGCGATGCGAAGTCATGTTGAACAAGTTATTCCAACACGGACCGGGGCAAGAGTTAGCGGGAATGCACATGAAAGAGAAAAAAGAAGGGTGGAGATGGAAAAATGGACGGAACAAAACTGACGGAAAAAGGGACCAACGGAAAAGCATCCGGAACGCGGAGAGATGGTGCGGGGACAAGTCGATAGCGTGACATGGACTTACAGCATTTGATATTGGTGTTGAGATACAGCAGCGAACAGACATTTCTAAGTTGCCCGCCAGTCTCGGCTTGGAGTTCGTCCAAGGCTGTACCTAGTTCAGGAGGTAGGATCTGCAAATTTGGTGGACTTCGTATCCGTGGGGTCTACCTACCATGTAGAGGGCGGAAACAATATGGTGGCGACCAAGAGCCCGGCATCGACGGAAATGATCGATTCGTATATCAGGGGGCTTCAATCTTAGCGAAGAAAACTCCAGAACTTCAAGGACAGCCCTTGAAACCCAATGTCAACCATGGAAACTGCAATGTCCAAGCGTCTTCAAGGCAAGACTATCCTCATCACCGGCGCATCATCTGGTATAGGGCGCTCTACGGCCTTTGAATTTGCACGGACCTGTCCGCAAGGGATCAATTTGGTATTGACGGCCCGTCGTATTGATCGTCTCGAGGAGATCGCATCCGACATTAGGAAGGAATTGGGTTTGGCAGTCAAAGTCCTTCCGGTGCAGCTCGACATCAGCAACGCCGAGGAGGTGAAATCATTCGTGCACAAACTGCCTGCGGGGTATAAAGAAGTGGATGTGTTGGTAAACAATGCGTGAGTCTGTCTTTAGGACAACAGTAATAGAAGGAACCCTGAACGTTGTAAGGCAGAAGAGAGACTGACAAACGGGAAAACATAGTGGCTTGGTCAGAGGCGTTGCAAAAGCGCCTGATATTGCGGAAGAAGACATCGATATCATGTTCAAGACGAACGTTACGGGTCTCATCAATATGACCCAAGCAATTTTACCGATGATGCTGAGACGTAATGATGGCGAAGGCGCAGGAGACATCGTCAACATCGGGTCTATTGCCGGGCGTGAGCCATACGTGGGGGGTGGGATATACTGCGCGACTAAAGCGGCTGTCCGATCCTTTACGGAAAGCCTACGCAAAGAACTGATTTCCAAAAGAATCCGGGTTATTGGGATAGATCCCGGTCAGGTCGAGACTGAGTTCTCAGTAGTAAGGTTCTATGGTGACAAGAGCAAGGCCGACGCTGTCTATGCGTAAGTAGCACTGTCTTTCTTGGGCGGAATTGGTACCAACCAAAAGAAGATTCTAACCATGCTGCAGGGGATGTGAACCGTTGACACCCGATGACGTTGCGGAGGCGATTGTATTTGCTACTGGGAGGAGGGAGAACGTTGTTATTGCAGACACACTTCTCTTCCCAAATCACCAGGCCAGTGCCACAATTATGCATCGGAAGGGTGTGTAGCAAAACGTGAGGGAGTGTGTAGTGTGCAGTGTGGCACATACTAGCAATTAGATATTTTACAAAGAGCGGTGGTTACATTCTTCCTACATGTTAGTCAGGAGGCAATGAGTATTTGGTTTGAGTCACTGCTTATAAAACATGATAATCTTATGGGTCCATATGTAACGAAATAACGAGGAGGATTATAGAGTGGAAAACAGGCACATTCATGAGGATTATACTGTAGGCATGAGCCTACGCCAAGACGATCGAGTCGTTCAACATATTTCGAATGCACGGTTCTCGGACGGCTGCTTAGTGGTAATGCTTAGTGCGGACGGAAATGGAAAAGCGATGACGACTAATTGATGATACTTGCATATCCGAGAATATCTAGTTGGCGGATAAGAACAGGACCAGATTCAAGATCGGTGGGCGGGAGAAAATCCCTTATGTACCATGCAGTGACCTCACAAGGAGGGCCATTCGGAAACCACAAGTCTATCAAAGCCTGTGCTTGAATATAATCTCATCTTCTATACAAACGAACCATGAATCTCCCTAAGGTTCCTCCCGGTGGTGTTTGGGCTCCCGCAGTTACTTTCTTCGACCACGCAACAGACTCTCTGGACACGGATTCCCAAGCTACATATTACGCATACCTCTCGAAATCGGGTTTAACTGGGCTAGTCGTGCTCGGAACCAACTCTGAGACCTTTCTCCTCACCCGCGAGGAGCGCAAGACTCTCCTCAAAACCGCCCGGAAAGCATGTGGGCCTTCATATCCCATCATGGCTGGAGTGAGCGGCCATTCGACCAAGCAAGTCTTGGAATTTATTGCGGATGCGGCTGATGCCGGTGCCAACTACGCGCTGCTTCTACCGCCAGCGTATTTTGGGAAGCAGACAACACGTAGCGTCATCAACAGCTTTTTTGATGACGTGGCCACAAACAGTCCGTTACCCATTGTGGTCTATAATTTTCCTGCTGTCTGCAATGGAATCGATTTAGATTCGGCGATGATAGCGGAACTAGCAAAGAAACATGCCAACATCGTGGGCGTTAAGCTGACATGCGGTGCTGTGGCTAAGATCACCCGCCTGGCAGCCGAGTTTCAACCTGAACAGTTTGCCACGTTTGGAGGACAGTCGGATTTTCTGATCGGAGGGTTGGCGGCTGGATCTGTCGGGACTATTGCTGGATTTGCCAATGTCTTCCCCAAGACCATAGTTCACATCTACAATCTGTACCAGGCAGGCAGGTATCAAGAGGCGATGGATTTACACAAAAAGGCGGCTCTGGCTGAGCAGCCCTGCAAGGCTGGCATTGCATCCGTCAAGTACGCAGCAGCTCTGAACATGGCAGCAGCAGCAGGAATCCAAGGGGCGATGGAGAAACTGAAGCCGAGACGGCCGTACAGCGAGCCATCAGAGGTGGAGAAAAGAAGCATCGAGGAGCAAATTGGGGAGTTGGTCAGCATCGAAGCGAGTCTGTAATAAGTTTCCAGAGTGGCATATACAAGACCATGAGACCTACTCTATTGGTAGGGATTTGATAGCGCAAATACACCTCTATCAAGCTATTTGTTTTGTTGTATCTGGCACGGACGTCTATCAAGACAGGATGCCGTGCTTTACTATTGCACGAGTACTGCCTACGACAAGATTATGATATCCAAGTTTGCTCGATTAGCCTCCCTGTTTAGATGCAAAGTACCAAGTATTCTCATCTCGCGTCCATCCCTATGTAGAAGTGCGAATCCATATCTGATGCGGACTGATTTTTCACAGGACATGCTTGAAGAGCGGCGATCTGTCTCCCATGTCGAACAATTCCTCCTCAGTATATCGTGTTCTCGCTTCGTCCACAAGCTCTGCCTTCTTCGCGTTTGCCACTTTATAAGTCCATTCAAGAAGCAGAGCCATGAAAAATCCCGTCCCACCGAGTGCCAGGCTAATTCCGAACCCCGTGTAGTATTTGGGGCTCTCTTTCTCGAGGTACATGAAACTCCCGAGAATACCACCGGTGTTTCCAACGCAATTCATCAATGCAATACCAATAGCACGACGTGATGCAGGAGCAATATTGTTGGCATTCCACGAGGCAGCGGCTGCTTGAATAGGGTAGATACCCACGACGGCCAAAACCACCGCAAAGTATGCCACTCCCCGATTCGCCTCCAGAGCACCTTTCAAGGATACGATGACGGCATAGGCGACCACAACAATGATCATGGGAATTGCCACAAAGGGCATCCTCCAGAAGAAGCGATCTGAGATTTTGGCAAAAACGATGGCCGAGACTGCGGCAGCAACGTAAGGGGGAGCAGATGTTAGCTGGGCATTTGTGGCGCTGAAGCCCATGGCCTTTGTGATAGTAGGCAGCGTGAACTTGGTACCTGCCGAAGAACTTAGCTGGCTGCTCTGATATGTCGATCAAGAATACACCTACCATAAGAGAGGGCGGACTGCGCGAACAAGAAATAGGCCTGCATGTAAACCCTCCAATTCGTAAGGACCATATAGAGATCTTTCCATTGGAAGCTGGCTTCGTGGTCAACTCGTCCTCCTTGTTTGATCAGCATTGAAAGCTCGAGGTAACGGATCTCTTCTGGCGATAGCCAACGTTTGGAGAGCGCAGGGGTGTCGATAAGCATAAAGAAACAAGCTACCCCGATGGCCACCGTCGCGAGTCCCTCAAGGATGAAGATCCATCGCCACCCTTCGACACCGCCGGCACCATCCATTCGAGCGATAGCAGCAGCCAGCAAGCCAGAAAAGGCACCGGACAGCGCACTAGCACAGTAGAAATAAGAGATACGAAGTGCTAGATCCTTAGGCATGTACCAGTAGGAGCACAGATAGATGGCGCCGGGGAAAAAGCCGGCCCTATTATTGAGACGTTAGTTGGGAAGCATGTCACCAAGACACCGGAGACCAACTCAAATATCCCGAGCAAGACGCGCACTGCCATAAGTCCACCGAAGTTCTTGACAAGGCCCGTGCAAGTCATCACGATGCCCCATGAGAGCACAAGAATGCCGAGATACGTGGAAGGTCGCTTGAACTTCTTGAGCAGGATGTTGCTGGGGACCTCTAGTAGAACATACGGGACAAAGACTGGAAACGTCAGCCGGTTCGGCTGTCGAGGTAACGATGAAGCACCCACAGATAGAAAGAACAGTATTATACTGAACGCCGGTCATATTCAGATCCTCAATCATGCCTTCGATTTTAGCATTGCCGATGTTCGCGCGATCAATATGGCAGATCAGGTACAAAACGGCTAGCATAGGAACGAGACGAACGTCAACCTTCAGGAAATGTCAGTATGTGAAGTGAGGCATAGGGTCCATTCAATGCATTTACCTTCCGAAAGATCCTCTTCCGGCTTTCCTCTGGGAAGTTGGAATAGAAATCCACCTCATCGGCCCCCAGCCCGACAACGCGGAAAGGACCAATCTCGACGGCCTGAGAGGCATCCTCGATATGAGATGGCTTCAGATCAGCTGTTTCGACGTCTTGTTTACTGCTCAGGCCTCTTTCAGCCATGATCGCAAGGCCTTCACTAATATCGGAACGATTTTGAGGAATCTTCTTAAGCCCGGGGTAACGAGAATGCGTCCTAAATTGTCAACTAGTGTGAGTTCGGGAACCCGAGATCATAGCAGATGCGTGTTGCGATAGACAGGTTTTATAATACTTGACCCCTCAAATATAATAACGGGCTGAGTCTAGATGAAGGTCCCATCCTTGTCGATTGACGGCCGTAATTGAGATGTGCGGATAAATGTCTAGCTAGACAGATCTGGTCATTGATTGGGCTTGAGTATGCAAGAAAACGGAAACCCCCAGATGCTTTTCCGAAACTATACCCCGCAAACGCGGAGATGTGATCTGCAAACTTCCCCGGATTGTCATACGGTCTTGCGGAGATGCCTCTCGCTCTTCCCCTGGCTGATAAATAATGCATGGGTTCTGGGACCATGTGTCCTGCCACCTCGTACTGATCCCAACACCACAAGCCACCTCTTGGAAAAATGTGTCAACCAGCCATTATCAAAGAGATCGTCATTACACCAGTGGCGTTCCATGACATGCCTCTGTTGAATAGCGTTGGGGTGCATGAGCCATTTGCGTTGCGCAGTGTGATTGAGGTTCGTGCGGGCGATACGTACGGCCTGGGCGAATCGTATGGCGACTCGGCACATATTGATCGTCTGAAGGAAGCAGCTGCACGAATGAAAGGTGTCTCCGTATACAACACCAATGCGATATACAAAATATGCGAGCACAGTTTGGTCGGGGACGCCACTTCGGGAGGTGATGGTATGGCAGGCATGGTCACCACAGCCTCCCTTGCAGACAAAGTGTTCTCACCTTTTGAAGTTGCCTGTCTCGACATACAAGGCAAGCTGGCAGGTGTACCCGTGAGTGAACTGCTCGGTGGCCGTGTCAGAGATACTGTTCAATACTCAGCATATCTCTTCTACAAGTGGGCAGGCCATCCTGGTCAGGATGAGGATGAGTATGGGCAAGCTTTGAACTCGAGTGATATTGTGAGCCAAGCCAGGAGGATTATCAACGAGTATGGCTTCAAAGCGATCAAGTTGAAAGGGGGCGTGTATCCACCAGCCCAAGAGGTCGAGGCTATCAAAGCCCTGCATGCCGCGTTTCCAAATACCCCTTTGCGACTTGACCCCAATGCGGCCTGGACCGTTGAAACCTCCAAATGGGTTGCCAAGGAGTTGGATGGTATCTTGGAATACTTGGAGGACCCAACTCCAGGTATCGAAGGCATGGCTGCGGTAGCCGCAGAGGCCTCTATGCCATTGGCAACCAACATGGCGGTGGTTGCGTTTGACCAGCTCCCTGCCTCCATCAGACAGAATGCAGTCCAGGTGATCTTATCTGATCATCACTTCTGGGGTGGTCTCCGCAAGTCCCAAACATTAGCAGCCATCTGTGCGACCTGGAAGATGCGACTCTCGATGCATTCCAATAGCCACTTAGGTATCTCGCTCGCTGCGATGACACATCTTGCCTCCGCCACTCCCAACCTTGACTATGCGTGTGACACCCATTGGCCATGGAAGCAACAGGATGAGGATGTGATTGCTCGTGATGCTCTGAAGTGGGCTGATGGTGGGGTGGTTGTGCCAACTGCACCAGGACTGGGTGTCGAACTGGACAGAGAGAAACTGGCACGGCTCCATCAGCAGTATCTTGACTGCGGAATAAAGGAGAGAAACGATACTAAGTATATGAAGGCCTCACATCCCGAATTTTCATCGCACATTCCCAAATGGTGATGTGGCTGGCTTTCACATGGCACGCGGCGACTGATATACGACCCCTTCACCAACAGTTTTGTACTGTGTCCATAGGATTAATGATCTGTGTCAGAATTTGTGCTTCTTAAACCTCCATTTTACATCGATGAACATCATTACTGTCGGGCCTATCATACACTAGGTTTTGCACATAAACCTAACTGTTGGAGGTGGACTTGACCGGGGATATATATCGAGTCAAACGTTGCATCTATCGAGACCATCACACCTCAATATTCCACACCATGAGACATTTTATTCAGTACCTCAAATATTTGTCATCCAGTAAGAGAGATGTTCTCTTATGTATTTTGCCTCAACATACCCATATCTGAAATAATACAATGTTGACGCGATATGGGATTACATTGGCGTAACACCTTAAATGGAACACAGCCGTAGATGAGACCCACTGCAGTCTAACAGTTCGACAGGCGGTGGTTTGCTCTGTCTGCCGTTGAATCAGGCATATCACAAATAAGTAACATATGAAGCCGATTAATCAAGGCAACCTAAACTGAGCAAGGATTCACTAATAGCGTAGAATAGATACAGTATGCCTCACGGGATAATATGAAGTTAACCCTGTGCCTCTCTTCGAAGAGAAACTTGCGGGTATCATCCACTCATCCAGTGCAAAAAAAAAGGGACAAAGTCTTAGAGACCAAAAGAGCAAGCCTCTAATTAGAAATCTATGCAGGTGCCTGAGGCGCATTGTCTTTAAGCAAACCCGCAGCCTCAGTTTCCCGGCTAGGTCGGCTGTCGCTAAAAGCGATGCTCAATTTGCGGTAATCCCAGTTCCGGGAGGAGAATAAGAAGGCAGCGCTGAGTACCGGGACCATCAGCGTATCGAGGACACCAAAGAAGATCGAACCTCCCGTAACGCCAATCATGTTGCCCCCATCTGTCAAACCCCAGGCGACAGGGTAGAGGATCCATAAGAGATTCGTCCAACCAGACAGGAGCATATAATCCCTACCAATACCAAGCAGCTGGGCTGCTTCCCGGCTCTCATTGATAGTGCTCATGGCAAGAATGAGCCAAGCAAATGTACCGAAGGCGAAGAATCCCCACTTGTAAGAAGAAGCCACATGGGCCCCCGCAAGGTAGCTGACAACCCAGAAGAGCGAGAGAAAAATGTTGCAGATGATAGTAGTCCAGGAGACACCCGAGATCAGGCCGAGTGCAAGAGTGACCGAAGGGAATGCTAGCATCCAGTTCGCATATTTGACCCAGAACACCTGGCGGATGACATCATTTCCGAGATTGTCTACCTGCCTGAGACCACTCCAGCCCAGATCGGAAGCTTGAGCGTAGTAGGTGATAGAACCTACCAAGAGACTGAAGGTGAAAAGGTAGTGAAAGACCCGCTCGCTTTCCTTTGCGGCGAAAGACATCACCAGACAGCCGACCTGTGAAAGGCCAATTGTTAGATAAGTCTGGGGGATGAAGAATATTGCGGACTCACAAGTGCGAAACAGTAGATAGCAGTGACAGCCCATAGCCAGTCTGAACCATGCACGGTCAGTGATTTGTCAACGCCAGTGATAGGGTTGACTTTGAGAGCGTCGTTTCCTCGGGCAAGAAGATCCATTTTCAATGGTATTGATGTATGCTTCGAGGGGATCGTTTGATGAGGCAGTTTCTCTTTGGGTGTGTACCGTGGTCAACAACGGATGGCTTCAATTGTCATGGAAGTGGAGGGAATACCCATGATATATATGTACCAGCAGACTCTCAGAAAGACATGAATTACCAGCTTCCAAAACCTCAGTTTGCGAGCACATATCGTTGGATCTGAGAATCTCACATCGGCGAAATAATGTGACTGTGATGGGGCTATGTGATTTGGCCTGGTGGTGTGCTTGTTGAAATTATTCGCCGACTATTTCTCCGATTTGTCATTTCTTGTCTCGATGGCCATTGTTCATGCCACTATTGCAATTGGATAAATCGTGCGACTAGAATCCTTCACCATACCCATTAGAGGCTTGCTGCACGTTGAGAGATTTGCTTGATGACGATCTTCTGCTCATAATACCTCATATCAGCGGCACTGAGGACGAGATGTTGGATGGTCGGTCCAGAGCAATTACGAATGGTAGTACGGGGAAAGCCGGCGCTACCCCGGATGATCCCCTGATTGCCAGAAGTTGACCTGGAGGAGCAGCCATTCTGCGCGTCGGAATATTGCACCCAGCCTGGGGATTCTTGGATCACTCGAGCGTTTCTTAACTTGCAGGAGATTTGGGCTGTCGGGGAAACTAATTCATAAGCTTCAGTACTAACTCCCCGCCACACTGCCACTATCTAACCTCGATCAACCTGGAGTAAGCAGTAAGCACTAGTTGGGGGCCAAACTCTCCTGATTGGTGACGAAGCTGATGTTCCATGATTGATCGGACGTAGCGGACTTAAAAATAAATCCCTGGCAGTAGTCAACGAATCCTTATTTCTCACCAAGAGGCCGTACAGGATGTCCCTTAGACACTGCTCGTCTTCTCTTCCACTGATTTCTATGAAGAAAAGAAACCCCGTGATATTCTCCGACACCCTCAGCATGTCAACGGATACTGGAGCCGAGGTCATATCTACAACGAACCGTGGACATCAGGCACCAAAGGCGGCGTGTGATGAGTGCCGACGCCGGAAGCTACGGTGCGATGGTAAGAAACCACAATGCAGCGTTTGTCTGGACACTGGTGCTGTATGTGAAACAACTCAGCGTGGCGTCAGAGGGCCCAAAAAAGGCCACTTGAGGGCCCTTAAGAGCCATATTGTGCAGCTGGAGGCAATGCTAGAGGCTCGGCCCTCGCTCCCTCGAGAAGAACTCCAGGGGACTACAGGAAATTATGATGATGGGGATTTCACCTCGCCTGGTGCGACAGGAAGAGCCTTCGTGTCCATACGCCCGGTAGACCAGCGTGTTCCTCTTTCGCCGATATTACACGTCGAACTGTAAATAAACCCGAGTGCTCATTCTATTCCGAAGAGTAAGATGTGGCTAAGTGAACTCCTCAGGGACCAGCTATACTTCGACCGCGTGCATCACTCTTTACCCATTCTGCATCAAAAGAGGTACCTCTCATGGTCCAAATCGAGCAATAAATCAGCGACGCGTCGATGCCTGCAACACTCCATGTGGACGATAGCCTCATTGCTGTCGGCACATTCCAGCCACATGGCCGAGACTCTTTACCGAGAAACCAAACAGATGCTCGAGTGTCTTACCGCCAATGACCCCAGCAACGCCAACACAGAGCTAGCGCAGGCGTGGGTACTCGTCGTGACCTTTGAATCAATGCGGGCGTATCATCATCAAGCGTGGATGAGTGCTGGGCGAGCATTCCGCTTGGTACAGGGCATGCGATATCACAATCTTGATAGACCAAGTGATGACTACCTTCCTTGCCCCGCTCAAACAGGGGACTATATCGAATTAGAGGAGAGGCGCCGGGTGTTCTGGATGGCCTATTTCCTCGACCACGTTATTAGTATGCGCGACAATTGGCCTATCACACTAAATGAGCATGTGGTAAGAGATTCAATTCGGGTTCCATCTGCATGTAAGTCACCGGCTAATGGTCCCACCCTGTCGAAGTAGATCTGCACGCGTCTTCCAGCTCCAGACGTGGCATTCCAAGCAGGCATCTGCGAAGTGGGACCTTTCCTCTCTGAAGCTATGACTGAATCCACTGTCAAAATCCTGTCAGCATTCAATGAGTGTCTAATACTGGCCACAATATGTGGTCGTAGTCTGTTGCAAATCCAGCGGTACCATATATCAAAAGCTTATGGGGACATGACGATGAACTGGACAGACCAACGCAAATGCCTCGAGAGTGTGTTGATCCACAGACTGCAAGTTTTGTCACAGTGCTACCCATCACCAACTGAATCCTTTGAGCCGCTCTTGCTGTTCGCCCACATCCTCGGCCAGGCAACTATAATATATTTCTGCAAAGAAATGGTAGACACTACAATGGAGGTTGCCGATCCATCTAATGCGAATACCGACTTTTTCAATACTCACAACCGAGCTCTAGAAGCATCAAGCACGATCATCCAATTCGGTTCAACATTGAGAGAGCTGCCATTTTCTAGGGTAAGCTCTACAGGATACAGTCACAAATAGTAAATACTGACTTCTATGAGATTCACCCGTTGATGCCCATTCCCTTATTCATCTGCGCTGAATTCCTCTACAGTGACATGCATGTGTCTTCTCAGACGCATCTACGCGAACTCGTCGACCTATTTCGCGAACTAAAAAACGTCAATAATCCCGACCAGAGTTATTTAGATCTACTCCCACGCTCCTGTGTCTCCAAAACAATAGAGCTACTGAAGGGAAATGGGATCCATTCTGTCGCAGGTAGTGGATAAAAACGTCGGCGCCATCGGAGAGGGACTGATTCCAATCTTCCTTGCGCCTGCGGACGCTACTGTTCGGGCTTGAGAAGTTGTCAGAGCCACTGAAAACGCACAAAGCAGAGGTTCCCGAGTGCACCTGGGTATGACCGTGTGCTCGATAGTATGACAGAATAGACCGAAACAGAGCCGACGCGAAAGGAGCACACAATGATCAGGGGAGCACTACGACATTCACGAGACAACACAGCGAATCCTGAGACACCTTGTTTATTCAACGCTTCTCCGCCATCATATCAGAGACTTCTATAAGCATAATATCAATAATGGCATTGAGATAACTCTTTCCCCGCAAAGAACCGAATGACGTAGAAAGGCCCGAATCTTGCGCTTCAATTTGGTCAATTTCTGAATGGTCTGGGATAAAAAACTACTACGTAGTATCCCCATTGTTCTTTCTCTGTAACGTTGCAATGCTCATGTGTCGATACAAATAAACGAATGCGCCACTAATCCACGGTAATGCCTCCCCAAATGCGGAATTTATCCGTGTGTCTTGCTTCAAGCGGGGCCTTGATACACTCCACCGGTCTTTGTACGAGAATAGAAAGTGGACGGCGCGGGGGCACCTAGGCCCCGAGTGATCGTCAGGGATTAGCATGGAGGGGCCAGTTGGGAGACATAGCCAGACCAGGAAGATAGTCAATAGTCGGATATCAAAATACCTAAGTAGGCCAGAGAGCCCTTCATGCTCCTACCCTGCCATTCCAAAGCAATTATATGCCATCGACCTTTCAATGCGTCGTTCAATAACTCGCAATAATCAAAATGGGTCGGAATACTCTCCCTACAGTCTGGTTAGTTGTGGTATGTTTGCAGGCTCTTATTGTCCACGGTCAACATGACGCCCTCGGCCTCACAAATGGGTATATCTCCCTCTCCACGGACAACTGGGACCTGAAGATCGCCAAGGATGCTCAGGTTCTCGCATCACTTCAGCCTAAGGGCACGTCGTTTGACTTTCTTCCATTTGACAATCTCCAGAACCGTGCAGCGAATGGGCAGTATCACAATGGGGATATCACCTTCCGATATCGCGCGGCTGGGACAACAGACTGGATTGCGGGCGACTCGTCACAGGCTCGCAAGACCGTTACTGCGGTCCAGGCTGACGATGCACTAGTGGCCGCCGACTTGACGCCGACTTTGCCTGCGGGATCCCCTATCCAGGTAGTGCGTAAATGGGTCGATGTCGACGGCGACCTGGGCCTGTCCTTTACTCTCACCAACACTGCCGAGAGTCACCTCGAAATCGGCAGTCTGGGTTTCCCGACCGAGTTTAACAATATTTTCACCAACCGAACCGCGGAGGAAATGATGGCCAAGTGCTCCCTGGCCGACCCTTATATCGGGCTCGACGCTGGCTACGTGCAGGTCACGCCAACGTCTGGTACCGGGGAAGCATTAATAGTGACACCCTTGGGTAACACCACAACCCCCTTTGAGGCGTGGCGTAATCTGGATGAGCCTGTATTTGAATCCACCGCGTACGGGAGTCAGACCTTTGAAGGACTGTATGAGTGGCAGACGCGCTCCAAAGCATTTGCTGATAATGAATGGGTCAAGGCGACTCCCTGGAATCCCGCGACTTCGCTTGTCCTCGACGCCGGACAGTCCGTAACCGTGGGGCTACGCTTTTCTGTGGTAAAAGACGGTATCCGTGGTATACAAAAGGCAGTTCGAGCCATCAACACCCCCGTGACGATTGGGACAGGGTACGTGGTGCCCAGAGACCTCACGGTTGAGCTGCTCATTCTTGCTTCGGCCGACGCCTCCGAGGTAATCAGTGAGGGGGATGCATTTGCCATTACTCGGTGGCAGTCGAATACCGTCTCGCTCACTCCCAACAAGTCCGCCTGGGGCCGCACCCGAGTTACCATCAGGTACGCCGATGGCAAGACCCAGGCGGTACATTACTTCATTACCGACCCTGCCCCAGACACTATAGCCCGCATGGGCCAATTTTCCACCTCAACAATGTGGTTCGCCAACGACTCCGATCCATTTGGCCGTGACTCTTCCATCCTCACGTACGACGCTTCCATAGGGGCCAGTGTCCTCCAAGAAGCCCGTGTCTGGATTGCCGGCCTGAGCGACGAAGGCGGAGTGATCTACCTGGCGACAGCGATGAAACAGATTAGCCATCCGGATCCCGAAGAGATCGCCAAGCTGGAAGAGTTTGTAACCAAGGTGCTCTTCCCTACCATCCAGGATGGGGGTGACCGAGTCCGCAAGAGCATATTCTTCTACGAGCCGTCTGCCGTACCAGGCTACTCGTATAGCAGCTCTATAGACTGGGGCAACTGGTGGTCGTGGAATAGGGCCGATTCATACTCTACCGACCGCGCATACGATTATATCCACGTTATTGGCGCGTATTGGGCCCTGTATCGCGCCGGTCGTGACCAGCCAGAGCTGCTCAAACAAGAAACCTGGCAGTGGTATCTGCGTAGGGCGTATAATACCACCCTTGCCTGCTTTGCAACCGACTCCGCCGGCAACGCGATGGTGGGATATTCGCGTGTTGGATTAATGGGCGAGACGGTGGTCGGCTTTCTTCTCCAGGATCTACGCCGCGAAGGGTGGTCCAAGGAAGCAGATGCCGTGGAAATGGCCATGAAGCTGCGTGCAGATGCGTGGAACACTCAACCAGCCCCTTTTGGGAGTGAGATGGCGTGGGATTCCACTGGCCAGGAAGGCGTGTATTACTGGACTAAGTAAGGACCCTTGCGCTCTCTTCAAAGCACATATTCTCACGCCGTGGGATTGCGAATAGCTATTTTAATCTCACCGAAACTGCGACCAAAACTATCAATAGCATTTTAGGCTTCATGCCGACTGTGTCCCACTGGGGTTGGAACGGGAATGCTCGACGATATTGGGATTTCATGTATGCAATGCTTTATCCTAAGTCCCCTGGGCCGTCTCTTCTAACATTTCCGATCAGATACGCGGGAAAGTTACAGCGCATTGAACGCATGGTCCACCACTATGGATCCAGCCTTAATGCGCTCCCTCTCCTCAATCAATTTCGTCAGCAGCCCACGGACACATACCTCCTGCGTGTCGGCTACGGCGGCATCACTGGACCGCTGACCAACATTCGCCAGGATGGGTCCATGTACAACGCCTTCCACTCGTTTCCAGACACTCTTGCGGGTGATGATTACTCGGGTGACTACGGGCCCAACTTCCTAGGCGTCATGCTTGCCTCAGCGGCCTACGTCGTAGAGGACCCGGATCTCGGGCTCGTCGCATACGGCGGCAATCTTGCGTTGGATGGACAGTTGGTGACGGTAGAGCCGCGCGATGCAGTCCGCCGCCGAGCGTATATAGCGTCCATGGGTGTGTACATCACGATCAGTTCGGGCTGGATTGAACAGTTTTCTTTTGCCAGAACGAACGCCAAGCAGGTGACAGTGCGGATTATATCGGGGCCGTCCAAGGCGACATCAGCGATTGTCTGGGTTGAGAACCCTGGCACAGAGCGTCAGTACGCAGTCACTTCCACGGCGACTCGGTTAGTTCGAGGAGGATGGGAGGTCCGGCTGGCCAATGGCACCACGGAGGTGACCATAGGTACAGCGTAGTATATGTGTATAGACTTTCCGAAGACTCATTATCTAGCCAGTTTTGATTATATCACTATATGTGTTATAGATTAGATGCATAAACCCTGCCAGGAGTACGATCCCAATATGTTGATTATGAAGCTAGTGTTTTGTTCGTCTCGTCCACCGGCACGGTTGGAGCCACAGGAGAATCACAACAGTCTATGTGAATGATCTGACTCTCGATTTGCCCGCCGGATGCCGCAATTACCATTGCACTCAGTTGATGACCATATAAACACGCGGTATCCAGCCCAATCGCATATCTACCCATCTGCAGGCGACGCTTTGCATCGTGTCCGAAGATCACCGTAGTTTTGGATGTTAACTTATCTTGCCACTGGTCCCATTGCATAACCCAGCTTTCTTCTCCAGGAGCCTCGGACGCTATGAATTTATCCTCATCGCCTGCTGCGCGGACAAGGCTCCGCATATGCATGACCGCGTACGGATCTTGCTCTTCAAGCGGAATACCAGGAACGAGACCGGCGTGCGCGATGACTAGAGTATCGCCGAGGGAGGATGTTAGGCTATGAGGTAGCTCAACGCGCAATATCAAAGGCAAAGCGGCAAGCCAGTCGAGCTGGGGCTTCGACAGTGCCAAAGCCGTACTGAGCGTTGCTGCGCTATGGCTTGTACTAAGGCCATTCGTAACCGATGCCTCGGAACCTTGCAGAGTACCGCTAAACTGATCGACCTCAGGGTTCCCCGGTATGGCTGAGCTGCCAGGCAAGCCTCCCGATGTTTGTTGCTTATCCCTTGTGACTTCGATCTCTGCAGACGCATGGAGAACCGCGTTTTCATGGTTGCCTCTTACTGCGCGGGCGCCGAGCTTCATGGCCAAGTCAACAACACCAGGACTATCGGGTCCTTTATTGACTAGGTCGCCAACTAGAATAAGTTGATCTCCTTTGTGTCGGTCAAAACCGACTTTGTCTAGGAGCGTCTCTAGTGACTTTCTCATTCCATGGACATCGCCTACAATGACTACGCGTCCACTGGCAGAGCCATTTTCAGAAGATAATGGGCGGGGCTGCGAAATAAAATTGGGTGGCAGATCCGAAACAAGCGTAGTGAATGGAAAGATTTTATTGGAAACGGCCGTTGGTGTCATTGGATCAGCATGAAGGCTTCAAAAGCGTGAAAAGGGTGGTATTAGGCGCTTATTGTCAACACGGTCTGATCTCAAGCCGTAAGATGAATGAATTTCGTGCCACAATCTGACGCATTACCCAGGGTAGGGTGCGATAATAATGGCTATTTATAGAGTAATCCAATGCGCAATTGCGTGTTTTGATGCAGGACTTGAATTGATTGGGAGAGGAAAGAAAGAGAGAGTGAGGCGACCTGCCTAGTGGTGAGTCTGTCATGTCACGTGAGTAATGATCTCTGGTTGGTGGATTGGGCACCCAACATAAAGGTGCTTTTTGGTGCATGCTGCCACCACCCCATGGACAGGGTGCGTACATCATGGTGTGAAACCCCATCAGAAGTGTGGACACACTTGTGGGGCCATATATATTCCATTTTGATAGTTGACGCAGGATCTACTTAGCCTACGAAAACAAACCGAGATACTTACTCAATGGGTGGCTCTCACTGAACTGTTCATGCAGCTGTTTCCCTCTCCTGCCCACCCTCATCTGTCCTCCTGGCCGAGCTCATAGCTTTTGATAAAACCAATGTCTAAGACATAATAAGTTTTCTCTACTGTGTACTTTGCAATACTAGCCTGTGATGTCTGAACGGTGTTGGAAGGGAAATGTAAGCGAGTATCAGGCATCAGAACCACCCGCCTTGTCAGAGTGAGGGACTTACCTGTTGTGCTACCTATTCACATGGAAGGTTGGACGGACTCGTTTCTTGCAGGTGCGTATCCATGCAGCAGGTAGTGCTTTGGTGTTTGATTTTGCCAGCTTCAAGGCTGATCGGAGTCTTATTAAACCTGTTATACATGTGAGAGCAAGCGAAAAAGCCAATTGAGTCTCTATGAATTGTCTCAGTTGAGCAGTATTGCGGAAGGAATCTTGTAACAGTCTGCTATGCTTGCTTCAAGGCAGCAGTTAATGTCTTTTCCGCAGCTCTTTGTTGTGGATAAAGATCCCGAGCCCATAAATAGAGTCATCTTCAACTTGCTGCGAACTCTAAAGCCAAGCTCACCCGTCTGTAGAACAGTATCGATATATACCGGGCACTCATCATGTCTTCCAGGAATAACCTTGGGTAAGGTAGGCTGGGGTTGTAGTATTCGAGGCCAACTTCGATGTCCATCCCTCTTGCCACACAGTTGTGAACAAGGCTATTTGCTCGATATTTAGTTACTCGGATCATATAATGATTTCCGGTTGAGTAGGTCGGAAAATGGTACTTTAGTATCATACAGTGTTCCATCATTAGACCAGGTTTATGAATCCTCTAAACGTAGTTGATGCAGAAAAAATTGATAAAGATGGCAACTCAACCACAGTTTCTATTATATATAACATCAATCCTCGCAAAGCCAACCTCCCAATTGGTCACCCATCGGTGGGAGGTAGCAAGAGGGAATATGAACCAAATTACAAGGATGGACCAGGCATAACCGCCGTTGTGTTTTCCGACAAACCAAATCAAACAGATATTCGCATGCCAATCTGAAATCATTTGACCGAGATTGTCGTCTGCGGAATTCGCTGTAAGCTTTCCAGCAACAGCCGACAGCTCTACAGAGCCCACGCAAACACACCAGCCATGACACCGGCGACAGCCAGCATAGGCGAGCTAAGAGAGCCAGCAGCATTGGTGTTGTTGACATCCGCAGCACCAGTCCCGCTGATAGAGGCACCAGAGCCACCAGTGGTATGCGACGCCCCAGTGGACTTGGCCAGGGAGCCGGTAGAGGTCGAGGTGCTAGTCGCGGTGGAAGTGCCGCTGGACGTCGTGGTCGTCGTATCTGTAGTGGACTTGGCAGTCGAGGTGGACGTAGTCGATTTCGAAGAGGTGGCTAACGTTGTCGACGAGCTCGAGGAACTACCAGTCACATTAAACTGCTCCGACTGGGCCAGAATACCCGTGTTGTGCCCATCGTTGGCCAAGAGGTTGATCTGATAGCCACCTCTGGTAAACAGAGTAAGTATGTGTCTCGTGTTGCTGCTATACCCCATACGAGACGACGAAGACTTACCCGTTGGAGAGACCAGAGATACCATCCACAGTATAGGAGCCATCCGAAGTGTCAACATCAGATGCCAGCTTCTTTTCAACAGGTGGGTACACAGCGTTGTTGACCAGGTACAGGTCAAAATGGGAGGCGTCAGTGCTGGATTTGTGGTCAGCATGTTTTCCTCAAGTACTGCAGATTATTGGGGGTTAGGCATACTCGACGGACGTCCATTTCACCTTGAATGAGTTGGAGGGATCAACTTCGGCGAACTCTTTCGGCTCCGTCACCGTGAGCGCTAGCAGACTGGTAAGCACCCTTTCAGAATTGGTAATGCGGATAAAGCGGCGACTTACCTCCGACGGACGCCACGAAGGGAAGGATGGAAGAGACAACTGACAAACGCATATTGGCAAGAGGTTACTGAATTAAACACAACACCGGAGTTGGATGGAAAGGGGTTGCATGGGGGAAATTAGAATGACCTATATATACACAGGATTTTCGACCAGGCTGTAAGTGGAAGTAATAATATGATTCACATGGGAGGATTTGAAGATACCAGAAACGGCCATAAAGTAAAACAGCCCGCTCTTCCGGGTTCTATATTAACCGACTGTGTGGTAATTATGGAGTCCAGGGAGGGCTGTTCCGGTATATCATGTTTGCGCCCACATTCTGGAATCCAAAACAAATGCCCTTCCAGATAACCTACCAAGTGTGTCCGGGCGTGGTGAGTGGAGGGATATGTCTCAGGTGGATCGGAATGAGGATCATGTTGCAGAGCCAGTCTGGAGCGGATTGGCCCCAGGGGACGATAACGACAGAGTCTTCATACGATGTACCGTGATTTGGTTGAATCAATGTCTTGAATCTAGAGTATTTTTAGCACCAGATGTCTCGGGGAAAACCGAAGGCCTGCTGATTGGTAGTATTAGTAATGCGTTTGTTCGGATCCTTCCAACCCGATAGTCCTTCCGTCGAGCTGTAGCATAGCGAATTATTATTGAGAACATCCTGATAGTCGGCTAGAACTGCATTATAAATATAGAGTATCGCAACGCCGAGTAAAAGTGTTGTTTATACCGTTGTATGCCTTATAGTCTACTGAGCAGGTTGGTCAAGTATCAACTACTCAACTGGCGGGGGCATCTGCCGTGCTGTCGGGCTGAATGACTTAGACCCTTCCTAATAAAAAGCGGGCCACCTGGCCACCATCTGCTCCCGCTCTTCACGCCGAACTTGCTTCTTCCCGGGCCGTGTTCCTACGATAATCGGCATAACCCGAAAACTCTGGAAGCGACCCCTCGTACTAGAACTAAGCCCAGTGATATTACAGATAGCGGCAGAAGTACCATAACTGCCTCTTCCCAAGTGAGAAAGGTCTGCACCTGGTGTCCGACGCGTCCCTAGAGGTTTGGTAACCGAGGGCGAAGGGTCTAACCGTGCTATGTCTACAGATAAGGATGCAGGGTAAAACTCCGGACCTCCAGTCAAAGCATTAGCGTAGAAGTTAGTTTATTCGCGGTGATAAGACGATGTTCTCCACGTGCACTGCCCCTTGCTTTTGTAGAACACAGGGTCCTACGACTATATCTCTACATTTCCATCTCTATTGTACATAATCCGATCTCTTACAGCCAAGTTTTGCCGCCCCTAGGGGATTGTGAGATTCACCAATTGCGACATTTTAACAGCAAAAGAGTATCGGAGTTCGGCGTCGGACAACTCCTCTTGCAACCTGGTTTTTCCTAGTTTGATCACTAGCGTACGATGCGTATCACTCTTCCAGGCAGTGCCTGGTCTCTGCAGCACGGAAAGGGGATGCGTCGAACTTAGTCCCCTGGGACTCGAGATAGGCCCCAATCGCCAAATATTCTCTTCTGTTGTCACAGATCCTGGGCTACAGGGGTCTACATTGTCCACAACTTTGCTGTGTGATGGGGATTATGTCTCTGTTTATCAATAATTAATCTAGCTATCGCACTCATCCCATCTACATATAAGAACGAATCTAGTTTCTATGCCTTATCTTACTATATCGTATTTGTTGGCTCCGAACAACCTAAAAACTTTACTTGGTCTGTCATCTGCCAGTGAAGAGCAGGAAAGAAAAACACGCTATATTTATGATCGTGCCACCAAGCACAAAATGAAGACAAATAATATCCCTGAATCGAAGAGAAGGACCAGCGACCAAACCCTCTCAATACCCTCAACAACAGCAGAGAAAGCCATTAGATTAGCCTTCCAAGGTTAATATTCACCACCCCAAACCGCCCATCCGGAGGACAGAAGACCTGCTCCCTTCCAGTGGCCGGTCCCTCCTTCCAATTAAACAATGCCATGGACCGCACTCCGTAGCAGTCCCCACAAACCTAACGGACCTGATCAAATGCGGCTTCTCGCCTTCCCCATGCTCCCTGATATACTCGAAGAGGAAGACGTGCGCCCCGGGCTTAAGAGCTGGGATAAGAGCCTGCAGGGAGCTGGGTGCCTCACGATGGGGTCGGTCAGTCGTGGAAGACCATGTTAAAGACGAAGAGGTCAGCCTACGCGGGCTAGGGGATAAAGGAGCCATGTTCAACGAAGAAGAGACGATATTCATATCAGCGGGAGGTCTACATTAAAGACTGGTTTCGTCTTTAGAAGGTCTTGGTCGGTTAGGATTAAGTTGGAGAATATACTGGCGAGGGGGACAGCGTCATAGGCGGCTGAGCCTACCCACCTATGGAACCGATCCCTTGTGAGCCGTGTTCTCAAGCCCCCTCTCCGGATGACCTCTTTCATGGCAGGTATCGAGGCATATCGCTAAGGAGAAGGAAAAGGAACAGGCATACACCAACCACGCTCGTTTCCAGTCGCTTCCCCATCCAACGCATCGACCAGCACATCGCACAGATAGGAAATCTGCTTAATGTATCGCATAAATTCAACAGAGTTCCTCTCCTGCCGTCTTTGTTCTATGTTCCATTCACTCCCCTTCATCGCCCAGCATTTCCTATAAAGTATTATAAGACCCGTAGATATCCACCCGGTTGAAAAAGGAAACGAAGTCTCATCCAGATCCTGCCGGAATTCCACTGGGTTCTTTCATCCCCTCAGCAACTCTGCTGCGAATATTATGTCTAGACCTTCGGCGGGGCCAATATTGAACAGTCAGGCCTACTGGAGAACGCTAACGACCCGTTACGGTCCATCAGTGGGAAGTCCTGGATACATAGGCTCAAAAATGCACGTTTAGTATTATGCCACTGCGATTGGGCCTGCAGTCTAATTCTGCCGTCGAGAGACCCTTGTAATCTTTTGTCCAGACCGAGAAATCCAGAAACGGGGCCGCACTGACCGCTGATCATCTTCGGGTGGCAACTTTGTCGGCACATATGGCAAATGACGCGGGATGGTAAGATGAATTCCAAGGGATCGGCAGGGACCTGGCCTTTGAGCGCGCACATGGCACAGGGGGCGTGGATACATCTTTTAAGGTTAGCTTTACAACGGCACAGACCTCCACATTAATCTCCGCTGATTATCAACAGTCATAGCCATTGCAGGTAATGTCTTCGACATGACTGCGTAATAGCCGTGGAATCATACACGACCAACCTTGGAAGGACCTTGTAGCATTCATTATCTGTTGTCTTGCACTACTCCCTGGCTTATTCGGCTTTGAGGCCAATTATAAAATGGAGCTCACCCAGCCTGTGTCCTTCCAGCCCGCTCCCTCTGATTTCTTTCCATTCTATCCCTCACTTTCTCTCCCTTAAGCAAGGAAAACAAGAATTAATCTCTTCATCATGCAGTTCCTTACTATCGCCGCCGCCATTGGCCTGGCCTCGGTTGCCGTCGCCTCGGTATGTCAAGCTCTACCCCGCGGGGGTCCGTAGTGTTCAATTGCTAACGGCTCTCTACAGCCTCCTCCCTGGGCTGGTGTTCCTCAGGCGCACCCGACTCCCAGCGTCACCCCGAGCTCCAGCGCTATCCCGAGCTCCAGCGCTACTCCCAGCTCCAGCGCCACCCCCAGCCCCAGCCCCAGCTACTCCTGCAACTATCCCTCGGGCTTCCCTCTGCCCTCGGATGCTCCCTTCAGTGTTCCCCCTCCCTGGCAGTCTGGCTGCCCCGGTGAGGGTCAAGGACGTTAAATGGGCGAAGTTGGCTGAAATAAATATGGGTTGATGGCTTGCGTGCATTCCGGTGGAAGGTAGTGCAGCCCGATCTCTCCACAGCATAGAAATGAAACCTCAGGCTCCCGCTTTCCCCGCTATTGCAACCAGAGCCGCGTTCCTATTATTCATTCTGTATTGCGTCTGGTTTCCTGCTCAATTCATTTCTCCAATTGGATCGGCACCGCCTAGGCCAGAGCAGAGTGTCCGTAGAGGAAGACCACAAGTCAATGACTAATACTGCTCATATCATCTATCGGACCCAGTACCCCACCTTGTCCACGCCATTATCCTGGTAGACCCGCAAACTTTGGCCTGCGAATTTGGTTCGCGCACGAATCTGGTCCCGTATTTGGTGAAAAAAGGTGGAACGATACAAAACTATGTCGCCAGTGCCGAAACCCTAAGAATAAACCCTAAGGCTATTGGCTGAACAGCATCATCTTCGGCACCTATACCACGTAAGCTCAACGAATTCTTCTCATCTGGAGGCAACGGTAACCTCAAAAAACTGATGATGGCCTTAAAATATTGAGCAAACACACAGGATCAAGGAAAAACCGTTTCTGGCGCCAGAGGCTGTCATTTTCGGCCCAACGCAAAATTTGAAGCTATTGAAACCAATTGGCCCTCCATGTTGTCTTTTTATAGAGCCTAAAACATTTATATATCTTAGAAAGTGAAAGTGAGAAAGGTGATAGTTAAGGGATGCCCGGATATCAAGATCTTGAACACCATTATAAGCCTCACAGAGTCGACATTTATTCTGTTATTAAGATGGCTGTATACCGAAGAACTTTTCCCCAGGAAGGTTTAGGTGTAGGGTTGGGATGTTACACTAAGAGAACTTATAAGAAGACTGTCGGTGTCGTATGGTATTCTTTTAGTCCTATCTTTGTCCTGGACTATTTGTTGCTGGTATACGCTCATTTTATAGATTTTTATAAGTGGAGAGCATTTTGCTCCAAGAAATATAAAAAGTAAAAGAGCTTGCTGCCGGAAGATAAAGTACCTATTGTAAGAATCACAAGCAATCAATATGGCACTGAACGGACTCGTTGGAGACTGAGGGACAACAGTGCTCCTTTCCCCCGAAAACCAATACGCAGTGGAACAAAATAAACCGGCATATTTTTGGATTTAAAATACCTACAGTTAAAAAGCTTAACTAAAAAGTTTAACGAACATTAAAGTCCTTGGCCTTGGGCATATCAATTCCGCATGCATCACCGAAGCCGTTTCCCATAATATCACTGGTCCACCCTTAGATTGAACCACCGGAACGGATAGTAGTGACTCGGGAGCTTGGTGGTTTGGTCACAAGAGCGTCCAAATTGGGGGTTGTGGCGAATAGAGTCCTCCAGAGAAGCAAAGTAAGCTCGCTGTATTCAGAATCGCCGTGCATGCTTCCTCACACCAAGGGAGATTCGAGCGAACTGAATGATATCATGGACTTTATTGTGAGCCGTACAGTAAATGATCTAAATCCCCAAGTCACTGTCGTAGGAGTAGTGTAAATATAACACTGGTTCTTGTACGTATTACTCGGTTGAAGTGATAAATCTTCCTTTGGTCCTCTCACATTCCTTTTGAGCCATACGGCAGCTACAGTATCACTCTATAATGGATCAGAAATTCTCGCAAAATGCCTCTCACAATCCAGATGCCATTGCAGTCGAGGATGGCTCCCAGAAATGGTCCTATTCGGACGTTCATCGCGAGGTTGAGCGACTCTCGTCTATCCTCAAGTCCTTGAAACTCCCCACTGAAGCACCTATTGGTATTATTGAAGAGCTGGGTTCGCCCATTGTTATCGCCCAACTGGCTGTCATCCGCGCAAGGCACACCTGCTTGCCCTTAGACCCATCGTTGCCGACAGCTCGTCTGCGGGATCTGCTTACTGAGGTTGGGTCCCAATATGTCCTGTCGAACAAAGACTGCTTTGACGAAGTTCTTGGGGTTGAGGTTATTCCTATTACTCGGAAGCCCTTGGAAAGCGGGTATCCTGCCAAAGCCAGCAGTCAGTCTAATGGGATAGACCAGGGCCACCAGGGCAAGAAGTGCGGGTATCGGAGTCATATTCTATATACCTCTGGATCAAGTGGAAAGCCGAAAGCAGTGCAAATTCCCGAAATAGGTATCTTGAATCTGGTCTCTGACCCTCCCATCTTGCTGCAGAAGTTGGATCGGGTGGCAGTGATTAATAACCCTGGCTTCGACGTTTCTCTATATGAAATCTTGGTTCCCCTAGTGGTCGGGGCTACTATTGTCGTTGTGCCTCGTCCGGTCATCACCGATCCTTTCAACGCGCGAGAATTCATTGCTGAGAAGAAGATATCAATTGTTTTTCTCACCGCATCACTCTTCAATATCATTGCTCAAGCATGTCCCACGACTTTTAGGGGGGTTCGGCATGTGCTCACAGCTGGTGAAGCTGCCAACATAGCCGCCATGACAGCCGTTCTCGAATCATCCGGGCCCCCCAAGAACCTCTGGAACACGTACGGACCGACAGAAACCCTCGTCTTCTCTACTCTGCATCCTGTGACACCATCGGAGCTTCAATACAGCAATATAAGTATTGGAAAACCATTCGGGGACACGAAGTTGCTGCTCGTTGACTCGGAATCCAACCCGATAACCGAGCCAGGGAAAACTGGCGAGATTCTTCTTGGAGGTCCATCATTGACTCCGGGGTACATCGGGCGCCCAGAAGAGAATGAGTCGCGCTTTGTCATTTCTACAAACGGCACTCGTTACTATAAAACCGGGGATTTAGCTCGATGGCGCCCTGATGACCCAGATCTGCTCGAATTTGCTGGTCGGGTGGACTTACAAGTGAAACAAGGCGGATTCCGAGTTGAGTTGAATGAGATCGAGCAAAACCTTCTCGCCAGTAAGGCACTGTCAGCGGCGATTGTGGTGCAAGTCCGTCCATCCGATGACAGTGACCCGTTTCTGGTCGGCTATGTCATCCCTGCAGCTTCCAACTCCGTTCGCAAGCGACAGCTCGTGGAGCATATGGAGAAGCGAGTCCCAGATTACATGGTCCCCAGAGACTTCGTATTCTGTTCAAAGTTCCCAATCACAGAGCATGGCAAAGTCGACCGCAAAGGGCTCAAGGACCGTTATTTGCAGCACCAGGAACAATCGAGAACAGATGAAAATGTCAACGGCAAATCGTTGGACCTCGCCGCCCAGATCCGCAATATTTGGTCCTCTCTGTTGAACATATCGGAAATCAAAGAGTCCGATGACTTTTTCTCTCTCCGGGGCACGTCCATCCAAGCGGCCTCAATGATTTCGACGATTCAGAAACAACTCGGCAAGACTATCTCGATGCGTGCCCTCTTCGAGAACTCCCGCTTCAAGGACCTTGTTCAATACATTGAAGAGTATGCAGAAGGGGGTAATGCGCCGGACGACACCGAATCCTGGCTATCTGATGCTGCATATGGCGAGGAGGTAAGCCCCGTTCCCGACTGGCAGGCGCCCGGCGAAGGCCGAGTCTTCATGACCGGCGCCACCGGCTTCATCGGCGCCCATTTTCTCAATCGACTACTCAAGATGGACACTGTCCGAGAGATCATCTGCCTAGTCCGCCCGAAGAACGGAATGTCCGCCCGAGAACGCGTGCAAAGTGTTCTGGAGCGGTACGATCTGTGGGACAGTTGCAAGGACGCCATCACCAAGATGACGGTGCTGCACGGCGACATCACCAAGGGCCAATTCGGGTTGACGGATGAACAGTTCGCCTGGTTGGTTGACCGAGCCAGCGTGGTGTTCCATCTCGGAGCCAAACTCAATTTTTGTGAGCCGTATGATGCCCATCAGGAGGTCAATGTGATCGGCACGAAGAATACGTTGGAGGTGGCCGCGCGCGGCCGCCGGAAGACTTTCCACTACATGTCTAGCATTGATACCTGGGGCACCACTGGGCTGACACTGGAGACGCGGCGGCTCCTCGAGGATGAGCCGCTGGAGCCTCATCTACCGAGCCTACGCTATGACACCGGGTACGCGGCCAGCAAGTGGGTGGCCGAGGCGGTTGTTCGTCGCGCGCGCCAGCGCGGCATCCCGACCATCATCTATCGTCCAGGGTTTGTGATCGGAGATTCGCGTTATGGACATGGAAATCCTGATGATTTCTTCGCCCGGCTTATGGTAGGTACCATCCAGCTAGGCGCATTCCCCCGGTTGCCGAACCAACGAATGGAGTATGTGACGGTCGACTACGTCTGCAGGGCCACCTTATATATAGCTTCCTGTAGGAGGAACCTAGGCAAGTCGTTCAGCCTCGTGGCGCCGGACCCGGCCGACTCCGTAAATCTCGAAAAAACCCACTGCATCATCAACAAGGCAGGGTATCCGGTCGAGCTCGTCCCGTACTGGGAGTGGGTGCACCGACTGGAGAAGACTGATGGCCAGAACCCGCTAATGCCTCTGATGCCGCTGCTGCGAGAGCCAGTTCTCGGCGGGCTGTCTCGGTTCGAGACCAGCCGCAACACGCCGCATTACACGAGCTTTAACACGGTCAAGGCGCTGGAGGAAGCACCGGATATTCGGTATATTCCGCTTGACGCAGGGATGCTGAACCGGTTCTTGCAGTTCTGGGACCGGAAGGGCTACTATCATGTCTTGCGGAAGGATTCTGGGCCCAAGGAGCGAAAAGTAGTGAGATGAGCACGATAGCTTTTGTACATACACGCGGGAAAAAAGTGGCTTCTGTTTTAAGTGCAGCTAAGACTATATTAGGCAAAATGCTTTCTTTTATATTCCAGTCCAGCTATAGCCCAGTGATACTCGTCACCGTGGCGGCCCCAAACCCCCGCCCTTCTGGGTGTCTTGAATCAACACGAATGGACAATTTTGGTATATTTTGTCTACGATATTATCCTATCGACCGCTGCTGGGAGCTTTACTTTTATAGGTATCAGGATGCTGGGTCTATAAGGCCAATACTAAGCCCGCAACGGTCTGACTCAGCTCCCAATGGTTGAAATAGTGGACTTGACAGACCCTGAGCTGCATAATTCTGCCAAGAGCGTCCTCTGGAAACGTACGAATAGTATACTGCGCGAGCGGCAATAGAATCGTACGGAAAAGACGGGCCGCCCGTCTTCCCGTACCGCAACTCGCAGTGGGCCACCACACCATACCGGTGCGGGTTAGAAAATCTATAGTAGGGTCCATTATCCCCTTGTCTGGAAAGACCAGCGATTGTGTGCCAATTAAGCGTCATCTGCCCCCACGCCCCTATTCCCAACCAACAGGATTGGTTCTTCCATAAACAATGACTGAAAATGCGCCGAATCGCGTTACAACTGGAGTCCTCACCGTCAAGCTCGGCGGGTCGCGCGGATTGAGGCTACCAGATGCAACTGCCGACAGGTGGAAGGAGGAATAGCGCCCTTATGTGATCGCAGAGTACCAAGGCTTCCAGCTCTCCTCTGAGGCCCTCTGCAGCCTCCCCGCCAAGGGAGTCGTCTCCTGGGTAGCTTGGTATTGCCCTTTCAAATTCGATCTCCCTCCGTCGTTGTCATCGTCGTCGGAAATCGAGGAGGAGCAGGAGGGGTTGCTTACCTTGTCGCTACTTATTCGTCGTCGCGAACCTGATCCAGCGAGCGCTCTATCCCCCTCGCGGGAAACATTTGGACCTCACTGCATGTCGCTTGGATAGGTCAGGCTGAATCCGTTCCTGGCCGGTTCTGGAACACAAAAGGTGGATGTCCTGGATGGCACGGGGCTAGTGGAGCTAGAAATATCCTACACCAAGAACGAAATTCCGCCTGTGCTCACGAGCAAGAGTTGGAAAGTTCGTGAAAGAAATAAGTGTTCTAGTAACGGCAACTTTGTCTATGTCCAAAAGAAAGACTCGTGCAGAAGCTATGGCATGGAGATCATTGACATACCTTGCTCTGCCCACAAGCAGCACAGTGGTGAAAACAAACCAGGTATAAACAGCCTCCGCGCCGGTATCCAGCACCCTTTTATCGCTCCGCTTACGTTTGCCTTGATCTCTTTGGATGGCAGATCGGAACTCCTTTCACCGCTCGGTAGCGGAGGATACCTTTCTGACCATGTTCAGAGAGATCGACGATTCGGCATCACTAAAGCGAAGTATTATGCTGCAGAGCTGGTTTGCGTACTGGAATACTTGCATGCAAAGAATATCATCCTTGGTAGTCTAAATATGGAAGACATTCTCCTCGATTCCTCGGGCCACGCCAGTCTCTGCAAGCCGAGCCTCTTTGCACTTGACCTGTGTAAGGACAGGGACTGTATTGCGCCCGGCACATCGGAATATCCAGCTCCCGAAATCCTTCTTAACAAGAGAAAAGCATCTCGAGCTGGCGATTGGTGGAGCCTGGGGATTATTCTCCATGAGCTTTTGACGGGCGCTCCACCATTCTACCACAAGGATGAAGAGGAGCGGCGGTATAGGATCATCCACGATGACCTCCAGCTGCCCATTAGCTTGCCATCAAGTGCAAACAATATACTCACCAAACTGCTTGATAAAGACCACACGCGTCGCCTAGGAGCCCACGGCCTCGCTGAGTTGAAAACGCATCCTTTCTTCCATGGCTTGCATGGGGTGAATGTATCCAGCGCAAACTCGAAACGCCCTTTAAACCCCACGACGATATAGTGGTCTTCTGGCGCGAGCCACACACATACAAGGTGAAAGACCATCCGAAGGGGGAGTGGCGAGAATTCGGTGGAGCAATATACGAGATGCTGGGCACTGCGGAATTTCCGTTACCGCGTTATATAGGGCCGACCACCGGTGACAAGAAGACAAGCAATGCTGATACGGGCACTTCAAACGAGCAATGGGAGTTGATATGGGCACCGGGGGGCGGGGAATTATACTTCCAAAATCGGTCCCCTGGCCAGAGGGTTCTAGCCAGACGCGAAGCTGCGAGGCGGGGAGAAATCTGTCCGCCAGTCATGTCTGAACATCCCACCCAACGCCAGCTGGAGGAAGCTCTCGCGGCAGCCTTGCAAGCCGGATACGGCAGCGACGTCTTCTCTCAGCTCGTCAGTTACGACATGAATCTCGACATCCGAATGAACGACTTCAAACATAGCCCTGGCAGATGGATAACGCCACTCGAGTGGGCCGTCGAACAGGAAAGGCCAGAGCTCGTGCTTCTATTCCTTGATCATGGCGCCGATGCCGACTTTACTATCCCCTCACAAGAGGGGCCAGCCGTCGTAAGAGCCGTGAGACGGAAATTGCAAAATCTGGTAGAAGCTCTCGTGCAAAGAACAACTCATCGAGTCTCGCGCACTAGGGCGCTCGCACTTGCAGTGGAACAGCAAGATATCTCTCTCGCGACGATCTTGCTTTCAAACACCGGCGTGGCCTCCGACTTTGGAAGAATCCGACCGACCTCTGCCCCCCAGTCCATACAATTGGGACTACGACTCGAATCTATCCCGAGTATTCGAGTCGTAGTCCCAATTACTATAAAAATATATAATATTATAAAAATTATAAAAATTATAAAAATTATAAAAATTATAAAAATTATAAAAATTATAAAAATTATAAAAATTATAAAAATTATAAAAATTATAAAAATTATAAAAATTATAAAAATTATAAAAATTATAAAAATTATATATTTTTATATATTTTTTAACCTATATAGTAGCCTGTAGATCTAGTAATATAGATTATAGTGCGGTACGGGTTATTTATCTAGAACTCGTAAACCCGCGCAGATCGAATTCTAACCCTGCGGGTTCTACCCAACCCGCACCGCGTGTATCCCTAACTGAGGGCAGGATAGGTTATCCCCTAGGGTGTAGGGTAAGGGCCGTGAAGGTGCTGTTTGGGACGTGGATATATTTGCAGAGTGGTGTGAGGGTGTTTTCCGCGTTAGGATCTCCGGACCTGATGATGACGATGTGTTTGCGAGTTGCAGCGTGAGTCGTACCGGTAGCCTTGGGTCCCATAGGTAGCGTTCGCCATCCAGAACGATAGATAGTTGGCTTCGGATGTATTATTCTCCACCTGGTTTCAAGTCGCATATCATAGCTCGGCTGCTCGGGGCATCGTAATTTGGCTCTACTCTCGGACTACCGGCCCGAGACTTAGTATCACCTATTTGAGGGTATAGATACGATCTGGGGCCCTCGTTAGCCTTACAGCGTTCCTACTCCAGTCCCACCAGTCATGCCTTTGTTCAACAAGTTATACACCCAAGTCCAGAAAGGCGCCTTATGCAAGGTCAGTGAGCTCAGTATCTATCATCACTCATATCGTGAGTATCACAAAGAGAGTGCTAACTTCTCCAGGCCTTTGGGATCCGCTTAGTCACTGATCCTGCGGTAGTGCAACTTGCCAAGAATGGTGGATTTGATGCTCTATTTGTCGATTTGGAGCATTCGACACTATCACTTCGAGATGCAAGTGCCATATGCGCTGCAGGATTGCAAAACCACATCACGCCATTCGTTCGAGTACCTTACCAATGCGGATACGGCTTTGTCCAGCGAGTACTAGATGGCGGCGCAATGGGAATTGTCTTTCCACACATTCACACTCGGGGTAAGAAATCACCAGAACAGAGTTCAGAAGAGTGAACTGCTAACTCTGTGTGTCTTGGCTCATAGAGGATGCTGAGGCTGTGGTCAAAATCTCCAAATATCCGCCCCTGGGATGTCGGTCTATGACAGGCCAACTGCCCATCTTCGGCCTTCGACCGACCCCTATCGACACGATTGTCAAAGAAACAAACAATCAAGCATCCAGCGTACTTCTCATGATCGAAACCAAAGAGAGTATCGATCATCTGGATGAAATATCATCAGTCGACGGGGTTGACGTGCTTCTGGTCGGATCTAACGATCTTTCGGTCGAGCTCGGTGTACCGGGCCAATTCGACACCCCCGAATTCCGAACTGCGCTGGAGAAGGTGAGTCATGCTTGTCACAGGCACAAGAAGATATTTGGACTGGCGGGCATCTACGATGCGCCCGAGATCCAAGGTTGGGCCGTGAACACTCTGGGAGCTCGCTTTATCCTGGGACAGCAGGATTCCGGACTGATTGCAGGAGGCAGCAAGAAATGCGCCGAGAGCTTGTCCCGAATTTGCGAGTTCTAAATGTCTTGTGGGCATGGTATTTGTGTGATTCAGAATCAGTTCACCAGCTTGAACAATCTCGGTAGCAAGTCTGACGTCTGTGACTGGTTATTGATAAGTAGAACAATTTTATAGAAGTATCTTGAGTTCTTCCTCTAAAAGATCATTGTACTCAATCAGCTTCATTTTGTCAAACCTTGGCAGAGGCTTGTTTCTTCGAGAACAGCCAACCCATAGGACACGCTCCAAGGTGTGCTGAAGGCGAACAAGAGTGATGCGGTTTCCGAGGCGCCGGGGGAGCGAGATCGGCCGAGGTCACGTGTCATCTAGACTAAACCAGCTCGGACTACCATCCCGCTTCCACCGAGCAACGCCTTCCTCGCTCCCATATCCCCCGTGCGGGTCAGGCCAGACGCATAATACCCATGAGAGATAACGGCGAAGCGTCACAGGAGGAGCGCCGTCGGCGCAGGCTTAACGCGTATGATTCAGCCCCCCCAGGGTGCCAGAAAATATGGGCGCATCCCCGACGCATCCGCTGACTCTTGCACCCCAGATGCATCGCCTGTCGCGACAGAAAGGTCCGCTGCTCCGGCACTCAGCCTTGTGCGACCTGTGTTCGACGATCAACAACCTGTATATTCGGCCCAGATGACCGTAAGGTCACTGTTAGTGAAAGGTCTGATGCCGTTTCCTCGCTCTAGAGTCTAGTGGCTCATACGCGAGTTCACATCTAGGTTCCTGAATAATTTGAAGCGGAAGGCTTCTCAAAATGAATTAGGTGAACATAGGAGACAGCGACAATTATCGTCCGATCAGCCAAGTGTGGAACTCGAAACCAGCACCAGCTCAGTGCCCCTGTCAAGTATACACCCGACTCTGGCGCATGGACTCCAGGTCTTCTGACGACTAACACTTATCGCAAGATGTAACAGCACAATGCGCCACCTCATTAGAGAGACCGGGTATCTCTGGGTATTTGACCCAGTGCCCCCCTGCCGCCTCCGACAGAGAAACACACATCTCAAACCCCCTGGATTCAGGGAAATCGAGATTCTTCGTGGATGAAACTGGACGAAGAAGTATGTTTGAAACCTTATGATGTCGAGTCGTTGGTTTTAACGTCATGTTCCGCCATAGGGTTTCTCGGACCGTCCTCAACGTGGGCATATACTCGACAAGTGATAGTGGATATCAAGAAATATTTGAACCAGCCGGATTCACCTGACATGCCTATCCATACGGATGGTAATGCATATGACTTTGACTGGTCATCGGCTGAAGATAAACCTTTCAGCAAGCGTGAACTACCTTCATTTGACCACGCTCTATATTTGATGAACACCGTCAAATTCCACATTGGTCAACTATATCACCTCTTCGACGAAGCCACCTTCACTGATGGCTTGCATGCATTCTACCGCGGCCGCACTACCGAGATTCCTCATTTCAATTTGTGGTACGTTCAGTATCTTCTTGTCATTGCCTTCGGGAAACTGTTCCTAGTGCAGAGTGCACCGGAGGACGCTCCGCCGGGTGCAATTTTCTTCGCTAGGGCAATGAAGCTTCTTCCAGATATCAAAGACCTTTACGACGACATATTGATTTCTGTTGAGATCCTATGTGGGATATCATTTTTCCTTCAATGTATCGATCACAGGAATGCCGCATATGTTTATGTGAGGAGTTTCCAGTTCCCGTCGCATCCCTATGGATGTAGCTGACTCCCATTCAATATAGCTCGGCATTGCCCTCCGAATTGCTTTAACGCAAGGGCTCCATCGTGATGTTGATGTTGAACCTTCAGCCGAGCATCTACGTTCCCGTTATAGCTCAATTTGGTGGACTTTGTACATCCTAGACCGGAGGTTCTCCTCATTAATGGGCGCGCCTATATCCATCCATGATTCAGATGTCACAACGAGTTTGGTCAATTCTGGAATGGCGGACCATAGGTCAGAAGCATTGGCAATGCATGTCAAGCTGTCCAGGATTATCACGAGTGTGCTCAACTGTAAGTTTCTAGCGATGCAACAACGCAGACTTTTTTCCCTTTAGTTGATATGCTGACCATAAAATCGTTCAGCCGTATACGGACTTGATGGACGGCTGAATAGATCTTTTATAGACAGTGTTCAAAGAGTTCTGATCAGCCTCGCAGAACTTGCACCTGAACTTCAAAGTCGCTTCGGTTTAAGTGGCTCCAGCGATGAAAGTATATCAAGGGTTGCTGGCACCTTGAATCTGTGCTATCATCAGGTATCTTCTTTGCTCTCTCTAACTCATCGTCAATCCGAAGTATTTGACTGAAAAAGTTTGGTACAGTCCGTTGTCCTCGCTACCCGCCCTGTGCTTGTTTATATTCTCTTCGAGAAACTCTCAGCCGGGTCTGCGGGTCGTGCGGTAACAGAACCTATTAAGGCTTTGATTAAAGCGTGTTTTGAGTCAGCGGAGAAATCGCTTCGTATTCTCACTGCGCTACGTTCACAAGATCTTCTCGGTATGGCTTCGCACCCTCAGTTCAAGCCAGCACTCTGACGTTCTACAGAGGCGTTCCTGCCGTTCGATATCGATTGCGCCCATTCGTCTGCGTTTGTGATTCTTCTCATAAAGACGACTGGCCTTGTTCCAGACATCGCAGATTGTCAAATCTCCTACGTAGACATCGCCGTCCTCATTCTGAATACAATGATCCAGAGGGGCTCGGTGACCGCGCAGCATCGTTTATCGGAGCTTCAAGTCCTACAAAACCTCCTGATGCTTCATTCAGAACGTAGTAGAGTACCCCAGGGACCTGAGTCTACCGATGCTGTTTCTGGGAACGGTCCTATTCCCAGGGACCCAAGGACTGATGTCGATGTCGACCAAAGCGGCATCGAGGCTTTTTCCTCATTCACTTACTATGTCGATGCAGTCGGGGACACAGGTCTGTCGTCCACAGAGATGCTGGAAGTTGCACGTCTGCTGGAATGGGGAAACATCTGGGCGGAAATGCCTTCGGGAGAGACACAGCAACAGCAACGGTCGTGGGGGTTTTTCCAAGACGTTGGCCGTGATCAAGAAAACTCGTTGGTGTGAAATAGTTGGCCTGTAATCACCTTTTCTTGTCTAATGTGTCTTTATTCTATGGATCAACTCGTAGTCTGCGCAATGTCGGGCATGACTCACCCTTTGCCATGTATTCAGTCGCACTGCATAGTTTCTAGTAGCCTTACATATCGCGATCTGATTAAGTAAAGGAATGCGGCATTCGATGCCTGTCCTGAATTCTTTTACAAATAGATAAATGAGCAATATCTGCTACAGAAACCAAAACGCCGATAGTGAACTGGTGGGCTCTTATCTTCGCGTTGGGAAATGCGTCTCCTGATGGCATTCGGGGTCGGATTCCGAAACCGAGCCCACGCAAGTTCATGCTGCTGCGTTAACCTCGGCAATCAATTAGATATTTTATTATGACATATTCATCGATGAACATTTGGAAAATCTTCGAGGAGCCAATTCGAGTTACCATGTTCGAGAACGTGCAACAGGGTCCAGCGGACCCTATGTTTGACTTGAAAAAGGCGGCCGACAATGACACATCTTCCGACAAGATTGACCTAGGGGTCGGTATATATCGGAATAAAGAAGGATGTTATCATGAAATGAGCGTCTTGAAGGGGGTGAGTCTTTCGACAAGATTCAGGGCCCCAGGTAACCCGTGTTCTGACAAGTTGTGCATGATACAGGCTAAAAAGACGCTACATGAGAGGAACCCTGGGCACGATGTATGATCCATGACTGTATCGCAGGGTGACTTTCCTCCGAAATATATACATTAACATACATGATAGTATGAATGTACAACCGGAAACGCAGACTTCTTGAAGCGGGCCGCCAAGGTGATGTTTGGAGAGCACAGCCAGGCGTTAAAGTCCGGCCGGGTACGATGTCCTCCCAAAGTCCGGATGTAGATGCTCCTGTGGCATGTCCTGACGATATGCTTATAGATTGCATCCGTTCAGACCATCTCCGGCACGGGTGCTAACCATCTCGCGGCCTTATTTCTGTCGAAATGCGAAGGGTCTCCAGCTGGGCCCGTGTATATAGGCACCCCGACCTGGGGGAACTATGAGCCTCTCTGCTCCCTCGTGGGCTTGAAAGTGGTCAAGTATCCATACTATAGCCCTGAAACGGCTACGGTTAATTTCCGAGCGCTACTGGAGACAGTCGCGCGAGCACCGCCAAATAGCGTCTTCATCTTGCAAGCATGTTGCCACAACCCCACCGGCGTTGACCTCTCCAAGAGCCAGTGGAAGCAGCTCGCTGCCGCAATGAAGGCCGCGAGCTGCTTCCCACTCATGGACATTGCCTACCAGGGCCTTGGCGGCTCGATGGAAGACGATGCGTACGCAATTCGGCTTTTCGCCGAGATGGACTTTGACATGTTAGTCTGCCAGTCGTTCTCCAAGAATCTGGGGCTGTATGGAGAGAGATGCGGTGCGCTACATGTTGTCTGCGCCTCATCCACGGCTGCAACTAATGTTTATGATCAACTGCGCTGCTTTATCCGGTGGGAATTCTCCTCGAGCCCTCTCTATGGATCCCGCTTGGCCGACATTATTCTCGAGAGCCCATCATTGCAAGCTTCCTGGTCCGTCCTACCTCATCACAGTCAGTACTGTCTCTGATTCCGAAACCGAACCAGGTCTACCGAGCTGTGGCATATGCGTCAACGCCTGCTTAGTAATCGGCAGCAGCTCTTTGAAGCGTTGAAAGATGTGAGAAAGAACTACGCTATGAATGAGTTGCACCTTGGCTCATGACATTCATGATTAGGTTCCCGGCAATTGGGATGTCATCCTAGCCACTAAAGGTCTATTTTGGTGCGGAATGTCCTCCAGAGAAACATCTATGGACTTTACTAAACATATCGACATGCCCACAGTTGCCTGCCTTTAACGCAATACCAATGTCGCCAGCTTCGCACCAAGCACCGAATCTACCTTCCAGACAACGGTCGAATCAACCTTTCGGGTCTGAACCCTTTGAATATTGGCCGCTTCTCACGTGCGATCGCTAGTGTCCTTCTGGATGAAAGCTCCCGTTTGTGAACCTATGCCGTGGAGTGATTGGAACCCTAGGCTTTATTAAATACTACTATATGATGGCTCTCGTTCAATAATTCCCTATCACCCCGTATATCTTCCAGTACCTAAAAGAACAGGCGTACAGTTACCATTGAACTTAATCCTTCCATTCTAGATAGGCACATCACTACTCCAACTTCAGCCGTCCATAACGCAGTACCAAGGTGGTAGCTACTCCATAAGTCGCACCACGTTACGGCGATGATGGGATTACGATTTCGCTTTCCGAGGCATGGAAATCACCGATAGACAGGCAAAACACCCACTTATTGAAGCCGAAAATGAGCGAGAAAGAGTAATCGATGCTCGATACCTTCGACTTCCTCCAGCAACGACACACTTGATAAGAATGGACTCTGGAGCCCCAGACCGAGGTCAGGCCCAAGCTCGGAATGGCTCACCGAGCACGGCGTACCCCGCAAAAGTGGTCTTATCTTGTCGAGCCCCAGGTATAAAGCATAGATCCCTTGTATCCTGGTGGAAGACTCAAACAAAGCCAGTTCACTTATTGAGGCACTCTTGATTCTTTGTGCGCGATCCAATGGCTGCCAAAATAGATGAGATCTGCCCTGACCCTCCTCCGAAGGAGGACATTGGGGTTGGTTCGATCCAGAAAACCGAGAATGAAGAGAAGAACAATCTACACAGAGCCCTCAAAGACCGCCATCTGAGCATGATAGCGATTGGTGGTGCCTTGGGGACTGGATTGCTAGTTGGAACGTGAGTGCTTACCCACATGGATGGTGAAACATCGTTAGGCTGGCTACTAAATCCTGCGAATATACCACTAGTGGATCGGGGCTCGCCAAGACAGGACCGGCGGGTATCTTCATTGACTACAGCGTGATCGGTGCAATTGTCTTTATGGTCATGGCTGCACTGGGAGAGATGACTTCCTTTACCCCAATGTCACGTAAGTAGTTGTCCCTACCCTCTTTCCAAGCTCCTGGTGAGCTGATTCTTCAACCTGCAGGTGGCTTTGGTGGCTATGCATCGCGTTTCGTGGACCCTGCATTGGGTGTAGCCACCGGCTATGCGTACTTTTTCAAGTATCTTCTTGCTACACCAAACCAATTGGCAGCCGCTGCTCTGATCATAGAGGTTAGCTGAGCAATTCTGTATTTTCCCTTCGACGGACGGCTCACAAATCATACAAACCAGTTCTGGTCTGGAGAGAGGGTGAACCCCGCGGTGTGGATAACCGTTGCCTTCGTCATCGTCCTTTTGATCAACTTGGCTGGCGTCAAGTCATTTGGAGAGTTTGAATTTTGGCTCTCGTCCGTGAAGATCCTCGTGATGCTCGGGGCCATCATTCTTCTCTTTGTTTTGGCACTTGGCGGGGGTCCCGGGTGAGTTAGGTAGCCTTCTCGATGGCTGTATAGAATCTAATCGAGACAGATTCGGGCGAACTGGCTTCCGGTACTGGCGAGCTCCTGGCGCATTCGCAGAGTATAAGCTCCAAGGATCATTGGGCAAATTCGTTGGTGTGTGGAGCACAATGTTGCAAGCGTAAGTCGTTATGCTGCTGAATTCGGATGCGTCTGGATGCGTCTGTTCTGACCGACTGTGGGTTGCAAGTGTTTACGCCTACGGCGGAACGGAGTTGGTTGCTGTTACTGTGGCCGAGGCCCAGAATCCACGGCTGGCAATGGCACGAGCCGTCAAACTGACCTTTTTCCGCATCTTGGTCTTCTATGTGCTTTCAGTGCTCTTCCTGGGCATGGTGGTCCCATACAACAGCCCGGAGCTGGCATTTGCTACCAAGTCTGGCACCAGTGCTGCCGCATCGCCGTTCGTGGTGGCTATCAAGCTTGCTAAGATCGAGGGTCTTGACCATGTGGTGAATGCGTGTCTTCTGATCTTCGTGATCTCAGCGGCGACATCTGGTATGAATTCCTTCAATCAGACTGCATCTGAAAGCTGATGGTGGAAGACTTTTATATTGCAACAAGAACGCTGTACAACATCGCGTCCGACGGGAAAGCCCCCAAGTTCCTGACTCGTACAAACGGCCGAGGTGTTCCTCTCTTTGCCATGATCCTGCCCACACTGTTCTGCCTTTTGGCATACATGAGCGTTAGCTCTGGGGCAAAGGCTGTGTTCGGGTATTTGACCACAATGGTGGCTACCTTTGGTACGTAGCGAAGGGCTTACTGATACCATTCCCTTGTTTCAGAGCTAACAATATCTCCTGACTACAGGTATGCTCACTTGGATCTCTATCTTGGTCACTCACATTGCCTTCACTCGTGCGGTCAAGGTTCATCAGATCCCAGCGGAACTGTTCCCTTATCGAGCACCGCTCAGAGAGTGGGGTTCTTGGGCAGGCTTGATACTGCTCTGTATCTTGACAATCACGAAGGGCTTTGAGGTCTTCATTCATGGGTTTGACTACAAGAACTTCATCGTGCAGTATATTGGCATTCCAGTATACTTGGCGTGCCTCTTTGGATATAAAGTCTTTTACAACACCCAACGAGTACGGGCAACTGAAGTCGACCTGGTCACGGGAGTCTCGATTGAGCCAATTGAACAGACAAGAGCTCGACACAATGCCCGGTGGGAAGAGGAAAATTCAGCCAAACATCCGTTCATTCGGGTTTGTCGGAAAGTGTTGGCAGTGTTGCTTTGATTTCATCCTTCCGGTCTTGATATAGCAATTCGTGCAGCACCAGCCGTGCCAATTTGGTTTTGAAAGCGGGCTATGAGCTTCCTGATATTGAACCATACGACAGGCCGTCGTCACAGCCTCGAAATACATCTTGTATATTGTTCCAATGTCACAAATATGTTCATAATACTTAAGGCCAAACCACACTAAGGGTAAAAGTATCATAGATGCAGAAGATAGCACTAGGGCTGAATATCCTTACACTCTAGCCAGTATGTATACCTTCGCATCAACCCACAGAAGCCAGAAATGACGAGTTGAAGTTAAAGAGCTAGAGATGTAAGGATTAGAGACAAGAGATAGTAGGAGGGATGGCCGAATATCCTACCACTCTGACTATTATAGAGCTTCGGCTTAATCTGAGTACCTCTGGGAAAGCCTTAATAAGAGGCCTAGCTGCTATGAGATAATCTCTTAATAAACAAAGATAGAATCCTCCTTCTTTAGGTCCGTTGTATCCGCGAAGCCCTTGTCATCGAGCTAACTATTATTAGGTATATTTTCAACATTCTCTAGCTCCATTATTTTACTATTTAGATCTTTCTTCGCGAGTATAGCCTTATTAATAATTTAGACTGACTTGTCTATCTCTTGTTACTTTTTAGCATGTTTTTTATTTAGATATACTAAATAAAGATTAGTAATTCTTAGGGTGGTCAACCCGCACCGCAACCCGCAGCGGTGTGGTGCGGGTTGCAAAAGCTGCAGTCCGCATGGGCTGCGGGTTCTAATAGTAGGCCCGCGCGGGTTTGCGGGCCACCGCGCAGGTTAAAATATATATAAAAATATATGAAAACTCATAAAATTACATAAATTATTATAAAAATATAATATCCTATAAGCAGGACCGGATTGCAAAAAAGGCTAGCGTAGAGCTTAGGGGAGGAAGTATTACAATAGTGTCTGCATAATTAACTCGATCAAAGTTGACGCTGGTGTCGTCCTTCAAGACTCCGGCACCGACCATACTTTAATCTACTAATCTAGCTAACAGATATACTAAAACACTTGCTAAATAGGAATTAAAGTCTATAGATCTACTAGGTAAAAGAGCCAAGCCATTATATTTAATAGTTGGTGTAATCTAAGTGCGGTGCCTTATGATCCTGTATTACTTATTACAGTTAGCCTTGTTAATGCTAAGTTTGTTAGATCTTTTGTGGAGGTCGTGCTTGGTGCTACCTATGGTCGGAGTGTTGATCTTGTTCTTAATTCTTTATCTGGATTTTTTCGTTAGAAGAACTTTCAACGTCTTCTCTCTATTTAGTTATCTGGTTGGCATTGGTCACTGTGGCCGTAATGCCAATAGCGAACTAGTAATGCAGCCCTTCAAGCATCCCGTAACTTTCTCGACGGTGTCGTTTCTTAGGCTGTCCTAGCACCATCCTTTTCAGTTACATCGAGCCTTCGTTGAAATTATTTAATTATTCAGCTTCTTAGAGAGCGGAAGCTTTCCCCAGATAAGCCTCTCACATATTTCTCTATAAGCGACGTGTCCAAGGCATTCCTCCGGCTGCCGACAGACGGTCATGTCGGCAAAGCTGTCCTAACCGTCCCTCTAGACACTATAGTGCCGATGCTGCCCGGTTAATTGACCCCAAGGTTCCCGCGGAAAGCGTCCTACCTTCTTGTTGGTGAAGTAGATAGAATCGGCTGCGGAACTGCGCGGTGGATGGCCGACGAAAGGTCCCAGAACATCATTGTACTGCCACGAAGTGCCAGATGCGGTGAGCAAGCGGCAGCGCTTGACGATGAACTCGATTACTTGGGCTATTGAGTGAAGCCTGTGAGCTGTGATGTGTCCTACGAAGCCAGCCTGCTAGAGTCTCTGCACCACAGTCAAAAAGGCGATCTACCCCCCATTCGTGCCGTGGCTCAAGGGGCTATGGTTCTGGAAGTAAGTTCAATATATAGTTGAATCCATACCTTCGTTGCTAGCTACCAACGAGAGGATGCACTTCCCGAGCGCATGACGCTAGCCGATTCCCAAACGGCCATCCACTCCAAAGTTCACGGCACATGCAACCTACACACGTAGTTCGCGCAGGCCAGCTCTCTGGACCTTTTTCGTAATGCTGTCGTCGACCGTTGCAGTCGCCGGTGTGCTGCGCCACCTGCAGCGAGTAGGCTTCGCGCCTATCCACGAGGAACAGGTTCTCTCCATCCAGCGCGCCGCCGTTCTGTAACCCCACGATCCACAGGCGGTATTGGGGCTGGACGCGCTCCCTGGCTCGCACTGCGACGTCACGTGCGCGTCGTAGCTGGGCTGGGATATGCATTTCGCTGGGCTCAACCCCCGCGAGACCGATAGTGGACCGGCCATGAACCCGACGGGCGGCCCGAACGCACTTGCCAGTAAGCTGGCGACGACCAAGTCTGTCGAGCAACCGGTGGAGTACATTGGCGTGGCAATTGCAGAGAAGATCTCAGACATCTTCATGATGGCGCTCGAGGAGGTTGACGTGGCCAACAAGCCGGCTCATTACGGGCTTGACTCGCTTGTTGCGGTTGAGCTGCGGGATATGCTCGTTCAGCAGTCGGCGGCGGAGGTATCGATTTTTGATATCATGCAGAGCGTGTCGTTGGCTGCGCTGGCAGCGACTGACGCGGCAAAAAGCGCATACATCAGCAAAGAGTAGCCTTGGTATAGATGTTTTTTTTTTTTCCTGAATGACCTTTAGATTGTTGCGAGCAACAACAGAAACAGCTTCTTTGATGGGCGGGTAAATATGTTCTAGTGCAAAGATGTGACATAACAGTTCTCTGAAATAATTAAGGCCTCATCCCAGTCGGCCCATTATAACAGCTCCCGACCTGGCGATCTATACCCAGAGCAATTCATCTTAGCAGTGATCGTGACGGGGCGAAAGTTTAGTCATTGGCGGCGCGCACACTAGGCGACTAGGCGCATGATCGGCAGAGATGAAAAAGCCCGGCAGCGACATTGCTGAATGGGGGCCAAAACTGCGTCTTTCCCCTCTCCTGATGGTTCTGGGTCAAGAGTCAACAACGGACTTGACTGTTGAGGGCTACTTCCGTTGATCATGGTTGGTGCTCACCTGCATGCATAAACATATATCTTGGGTGCAATCTGCTAACCGGCTGGGTCTACCGGATAGGAGCGCGCCTATGTTGAGGATGACCCTGCGAGTGCTCCACATGTTGTCGCAGCGCCTGCGCAATCCTCATCTGTCTATCCCACCAGCGACTACAAGTACCCTTATCCAGAGGCCCAGGGACAGGCCAGCTGGGTTCTTCCCCCCGCAGCGCCGTCCACACAGACAACTCCCGTGAAGAAGATGATGAAGCGATGGATGTGGATCCTGGCCGGGCTCTCCGTCGTGGTCATTGTGGTGGCGGCGGTGGTGGGAGGAGTCGTTGGCAGTCGGGCCGCCCAGAAGAACGATGGCCAGAGGACACAGTCGACAGGGAACAATACCGCCAACACCATGACCACGACCGATCCCCCTACCGTCACCCAGACAGAAACAGCTCCATCGTCTGCTACCTCGTCCAGCACCCCTAACATCCTGGCGCGGTTCTACGAGTTCGCCCTTGACGATTGCAGCGGCGATTCCAAAACCTACAATATTACCAGCCCGGGCAATATGTGCTATCCGGTGTCCTCCAACAAGCGGTCAATTTTCGTGAGCAAGAACAGGTACGTTTGGCTCCCCCGGTCTTGTCTGTCCATGAGGTCGCCTAACAGGACCCCTCCTCCCCTCTAGTAACTGCATTGTTAGCACACGGAGCGGTACCGACTGTGGGGGGAAGTCATTTAAGGTGCCAGACACGGGGGAGTGTCATGCCGTGCTCTACGCAGCCGTGTCAGTTGTTTGCTAGCGCTAGAAAGTTCTTTTAGACACGATAGACTAATAAATTTCGTTACGAACATAGCGCAATAATGCGCAGTAATGGCCGATTTGGTGTGAGTTATCTGTCATCAATTCGGAATGTGTGTACTTTATCAACCCATATATCTGCAGAATATGTAGGTGAACAGAGGCAAACCGTCTTTGCTTGTGGGAACCTGGAACACTCGGAGCTTGTGCCCAGCTCCGACGGACAAGCCACAAAGATGTATGATATTCACGCATTAATTCCCAAGATGACCGGAAGTCCCGGTCGACAGGCCCGAACTGTCGACGTTCCCATAGATCCACTGACTGAAGTTGCTCGGAGCGGCTTGATTACAAGGAATCCCCGAGCTCTTCTGGCCCAGGACGTTGGTGCACTGGAACAGTTCGTGCTGCATATCCGTGCCATAGTAAGGCAGACCACGGGTGGCATTCAAGCTGGTGATGTTCACATTCTCAAAGGTAATGTTGGGACAGGGGCGCTCATCCGAACAGTAGATCGACGAAGCAATGTTGAACCGGGACGTGCCATGGATGTTTTCCCATTTCACGTCTTCGATCTGCAATGTCGAGGTATTGCAGTTCTTATCGGAGCCAGCCGAGTACACGCACTGGGAAACCTGAATGGGCAGTCCGACATTGTCCATTTCGAAGTTGCGGAAAGTAATGTTTTTCACGAGGCCGGTGCCACCGCCACCCCAGTCACCGTTGCTGGGAGTGAAGATGCGCGTGCCTTGCCAGGTCTTGATATAGGCGCCATCCATGGCGTTCTTGATTGTCACATTCTCAAAGGTCGTGTTGAGGTTGTAGTCGGGCATGTCTGGGTATTGACCGATCGATCCGATCGTGATTCCGGTGCCGCCTTCGCAATAGATATTCCTGGCAAGGAGGTTTGTTGTATTGCCCTTGGCTGCGATGCAATCATCGCCGCTGATGATGGTGGCATTTTCCACTAGCAGGTTGTCACTCTGCCAGGAATCGAACCCATCGGTGTTCATCGTGCCCCATTCGCTGTTGCTGGTGGCATTGACAAACAAGTTTGTAAATGTGACATTCCGGCTCGCCCAAACAAACGTCGCCCAGAACTGCGGCTGGACCACCTTCAGACCATCGACAAGGAGATTGGTCGAGTTGTAGAACGTCATGCTCATGGGCCGTCCTGCCTGGTTCGATTCATTCCGGTTCGCGTTGTACCACGCTTGGCCCTGACCGTTGTAAAAGCCACCCTCACCGTAGAAGTTCACGTTTTGACCCCCAAAGAGCCATGCGGTGACTTGATCCTGCAGAACAACACTGATCGAATGGGTTCTCCAGTATGGGATGTTTGTCGAGAAGCGTAGCTCGCCTCGGAGATGAACATCGCAATTCAGCAGATTGGTGGTGTTAAGAACGGTGTTCACATGGAAGACGTTCTCGGAGAAAATGACCGTTCCATTCGTGCCACACATATCAAAGGCTTGTTGAATAGACGGGGCATCATCAACAGGCTGTCCACGATGGACTAGGGATTCGGGGTATAACACGCATGTTGTCCCTCGGTTGTCGACCCAAGCGGTCACCAAAGTGACCCAGAATGTAAGAGGCCACAGACGCATGGTGGACTTAAACCGCCGTGCCTTGGATGTTCGTGGGCAGATTGAATCCCGCAATCTTGCGGGGAACGATCACCTCTATATAGCTCAGCAACGCATGAGAGATTTCCGTCGGAGACCCCTAGACCCTCCGTCTGCAAGGATTTGACAAAATTACATCATCTCCCCAGTCTACACGGAATCGGCGAATATCCTCCTATACTAAGTGGATTCCAACTCCACCTGCAACGGGTCAAAATGTCAGTAGCCTGCTCATCAGGCGTCGCCGTCAATACCCGGTTAGGTACTGGATGAGACACTTGAGTAGATCCCAACATGCTCTTGGCATTCCAGAGCGACGATGTGACAGAAGTATCCTTTGGAAGAGTCAAAAACCTGGGAGATTCATTCCATACATACATTGAGTACATACCGAGAATGCGGTTATTGAGTAAGACGGGGTAAGGCTTAGGTCGGACAGCCTCCCCGAACTCGGTCCGGGAATGGAGATTCGGTTCCACGAGGTGTACAAGGCTTTAGTTAACAGTATTTGCGGTTCCGTGGTGACCGGCATTATGCAGTACCTTCGAAATCATAGGAGTATCGAAAATTTTTCTAGTGTGGCCCGAGCCATAGGCAGCTCCAGCATACAGAATAGGACTGCTGAACAACAGATTCAAGAAAGGTCGGCAAATGAACTTTCCAAAGAGGGAGCAGATGATTACGATCTTCTTTATCCTTCGCCCCAGCAGCCCCAGCAGGGCCCTAGGGTTGTTTGTCCGGGGGAGCCTCGTGCCGAACCATTCTTGAGATCGGCGCCCTCCGAACGGACCTCGCGCTCGGCAATTCCCATGCGTGCTTTTAACCGGCTGCAATCCCGAAGATTATCCGTCCTAACGATGCAGGTTCGAGGGGAGCACATATACGTAACGTCATCTCTGACTCTGTTCTAGCGTACGACTTCCACCAGAACTGGCCCAACTCTATCAAACATAACCATCAACACCCCGCGACGACTATCTGGGCTCCCATGACTTAAGCGTGGGCGACCATTAGTGGGCAATATTCGGAGGATGCATCACAGGGACATGCGACGGGTTGAGGATGATAGCCAGACCTTTGCAGTAGTACAGATTAAGCAGGCTAATAACCTTAAGGCCTCATCTATTGTATGACTATCACTATACGTACCATCTTTTTACAGTACCGTAAATTTCCTGTTTTAGACGTTGCTGCTTTACTGAGGGCGCGCAAAGGCATGCCTGGTGAGTAATTTACATCACGGCTGGCAACTCAATGAACATTGAGCCTAGAAGCGCTTCTCTAGATATTATAAGAGTATAAATTTAACTTACAGCTCTATATATTAGGAGATACAGGAGAGGATCCGCACTATATAGGAGGTTGTTCAGTCCTTTACTTTTCGAGCACGGTCATATTGGAGTGAGACAACTGTTGAGGAGGTATTTTATGACGGGGTCAGCTCTACCGAGGAGTCTATTGAGGAGCCTTTGGTGGCTGCTGTGCATAAGTATATTAAACTATATATTTCACAATATTGTTGACAAGACGCTACGCGCTTGCTTAAGAAGATTCTGTGTCTTGGGTGGCCTTCTTTCTCTGCGCTATCGATGCAGGATGTCGCCTTTCCCGAGAGGCATGTTGAGGATTACATTGAGCTTGCTGTCTGCCTTAGTTTCTGCTATTATTCTAGCGTTGTTTGAGTAAGGAGGCAGATATCCGCTTGAGGTTGTACTGAACAGTTCGCGCCGAGCGGAAGGTGGAAGATACGCTCTGTGAGCTTATTACTATAAATTGCTTCGTTTCTTCGTGCATATCTGTCCCTATTCTGATCCAGAAACAGCTGACTTGATCCACGGACTTTGTAGGATGGCAGACCAGCACGCTCCAAGCCCTGGACCGCACTGCATTTCGGCTGGATCTGGTAGGTGCCTCGATCTGCTTTGTACATCCCCAATTAATTGGACTTGGCTGCAGGATAATGGGCCATCCTCATGTTGTCGACTTTCAGGCAATCGCGGTCATCGTCAGCCAACTTAGTCCGCCAGCGGAAGATAACATACTGTGGCAGTTGGGCGGGGAGCTCACCCTTGTCGCGTTGGGCCGCTTTACTTCCATGTGGTCTCCACTCAATCAGTTCTCTCGGTGTCTAGAAATCGGTTCTGGCTGGTTCCACTTGCAGTTTCATCTCCGATTTTGCTCTGTCACACCAAGCCCTAACTATAGCAAGTCGTCAAAACTAGACGGTCTCCGGCTTGATCGTGATGGCGGCAAACTAGAGGCTCTACTGGGTAGTTTACAGACGACTATAGCTGAAAGGAGACACTGCATTATCGTTCATATATCAACACACTCGCGTTTGCCCGTATATATAATCCTTATTCTTTCAGATAAGCCGGTGCGAGATATTGCGGCGGGTTTCTTGGTGCCTGCAATGCGAAAGCAAGGGATATTCGCCGGGATCGCGGTTTTCCAACATGTTCTTCATCAGATCCTGCTTGAATGGCACGAGGAGTGGACCGCTGTTCTAGATCGCTTCATTAACAGTTCCAATGGGATTGAGGTTAGCAGATCCCCTGTCCGTTAACCGAAGTCCATCTAATGCCCCACAGATAAGCACTGTCCTGAGTCCAAATAACCGCGAAAGATTGATGTTTGACACGTCCTTGAGCCAGAATTACCATTACTTTATGATCATACAATTGCTGCAAATCTTCTCCAGCTGGATGAAGGAAGCGGAGGAAAGCTCATCCGGCAGTGGGACTCCGTGTTTGAACATCTAGTAGCGAAGGGAGACCATAACCATGATCCAGAACTTCTCAGAGTCCATGCGAAGGTTGTTAAGACCAACTGGGAAGTATTAATATCTACGCAGCAGGCACCGGTGAAATCCCTCCTTGGTCGGATCGAAAAAAAGGAGGGCAATATGAACTAGCTGCGAGACTGAAGGTCCACTCAAAACCTCAAATCGCCTACTTCACCTTACTGACTAGCCGTCTGTAGCTCCTAACTATGACTTCTGCTCACGAAGCCTCAAAAGGCTCCACGCTCAATCGGTACATTCTCATATTCACTATAATGACGTTTGTGTACCTACCATTGAGTTTTGTCGCAGGCAGTAAAGCCCGCGCATAAGCTAAACCAAGTCTCAGCTAATCGTCCATACAGACCCTTTTTGAAATGCATCTCTTTGACAGCGACGAATTGCAGAAAACGCAGACCTCGTTCTTCATCTCTATGGTCATTATTTCCTTTGTGAAGTATGCATTTTCAGGCTTTGGACTATGGATCGTGAATTGGAGACAGAAACGGGAGGGCCAGGGTACAGTAGAAGAAGGTCGAATGCTTGCATTTGGACTGCTGCCTGAAGGGGAGAACCTGCGAAGCAGAGAAATCTCGTCGCCAAGAACAGTCCAAAATGGTTTGAGGAAGTATTCTGCAAACTTGCAACGTCAGCTGGACCAGATATATGGGACGCGGAATTCTCATATATAGAGGTTGGATTCCGCGCCCAAGTACGTGCCAAGCCAGGGTAGCCAGCAATGAAGTTATCAACGGTTTCAATGTGTAGTTGATAAGGCGCCCGAATTTCCCGACGTATATCTCTACCACGGACTAAAAGTTGACAATGAATAGTGGTTGCAAGGATCTCTACCATTCCCCTGATGATTGATCCTCTTCTGACAGTGATCCATAGATCGTCCTTGTTCCCGATGCGGTGCCTCGGTACCACAGTGTCCTAAGTTAGGCTTATACTTGGCATATGTATAGACTAGAAATGCTATAGCTAGGAGCTTGTTGTGACCAGGATGCCAGTTCTCAAAGACTAAGCTCTGGTGCATCTAGGTGCGGAAACATGCATTGTTGGACGAAACCAGGAGAAAACCCAGACAGTTGCCCGTGATATTGCGACGGCCAGGCCAGGGAGCAAAGTACTCGGAATTGCGGGAATCGATGTGCGTGACCGTGCATCTCTACAAAAAGCAGTGAATCAATGCGTCGCTGAGCTTAGTGGGATTAATCTTGTCATGTAAGAGAAGAGGGACCGAGGGGATTAGCCCAGCCTTTGAGCGATGAACTAAAAACGTCCTTCTCCCAAAACAAGAGCTGGTGCTGCTGGCAATTTCCTCGCCCGGTTCTCCGATGTTTTATCAAACGCGTTCAAAATTTCATTGGACATTGACGTTCTGGGCTCCGTGAACACGACAATGGCAACGACGGATTAGAAAGGCGGAAGCGGGGGTGAGGTGGCCCAACCTAGGAGGGCATACTACTCATGGTCTTTTTCTGCAAATAAATTACTCCGTACGCGTTCTGCATTCCAAGTTATTATGGATCCCGCCCTATCACTACTGTATGATGTTCAGTCCAATCGGACGGGAGAAAATGTCGGTTTGGGAATTCGACCGAATAATAATGCTCGCCAATTGGATGACGGGATATGATCGGGGCAGGTTAGAGTCCCCAGAACCCCACAATCTCCAGCTGGCCCGAAATTCCGGGGAAGGAAGCAATGAGAGTATAAAGCAGACTGCGGATCGTAGGTACCCATGGAACCTCACAAGGCAACAGTCCACGCAGCCAAAATCGACAGAATGAAGATCCTTATCAAAAATGCTACCATTTTGACCATGGACCCTTCCTTGGGCAATTTAGCCAACCATGATATCTTGCTCGATGGGGTGGTCATCTCCCAGATATCCCCCCATATTGATCCTCCCGATGATGCTGAAGTTATCGATGCGTCAGACTGCATCATAACTCCCGGGTTCGTCAACTGCCACCATCACATGTGGCAGCAGATCTTGCGGACCATCGCCACTGACTGGTCCCTGTTTGATTATGTTGTTGAGATGCGGTCCATATACGGCAGCTTGTTCAGCGCCGACGACGTCTACTTCTCAATGTACGCTGCTGCGCTTGACCTGCTAAATCACGGGGTTACCACTGTCCTGGATCATTGTCACATTATCAACTCCCCTAAGCATGCGGATGCGGCGGTCAAAGCTCTCAAGGAGGCAGGTATCCGCGGGACATGGTGTTACGGATTCGATGAGAACCCACCCCCGCCGCCGAGTCTTGAGGTCGACGATGAGAGACCGAGGGATTTCACCTTCGAGCAGCGTAAACTGGATGCAGCTCGCGTACGTGCCGAGCACTTCAAGGACAACAACCCAGAGCGCAATGTTCTCACATTCGGTATTGCCCCTGATGAGCCGGAGGCTGTGCCGATTGAGAAAACAATCGAACAAATCGTGCTGGCACGGGATCTCGAAGCCCGTCGGATCACTATGCATGTGGCCCACGGCCACTATGACATTGCGCACCGCCAGATCGTCCAACAGCTTCACGATAAGGCGATGCTGATGCCAGATCTAGTCTTTAGTCATGGAGCTTACTTCACTAATAACGAGCTGGAGGCGATTCGCGTCTCAGGCGCAGGCATTGTCGCAACTCCCGATACCGAAACCCAAATGGGGATGGGGCATCCCGTGTTGTTCCGGGCAGATAATGCGGGATGCAAGACAAGCTTGGGAATCGACATCACCTCCAACCAGGGAAATGACATGGTGATGCAAATGAGGCTGGCACTACAAGTACAGCGAGAGCAGGATAACCGCATGTCCTCGATCCCAATCGTGATTCGGAGGAAAACATTAGAGGTGCTCCGCATGGCCACTATGGGGGGAGCAGAAGTGATGCAGCCCGGAAAAAAGGCGGACTTGGTCATCTTCCGATGCGATGATATCAGCACCGTTCCGATTATCAACCCGGTCGGTACTGTCGTGTTCAACACCTCGCCGAAGAACATCGACACCGTGATTGTCAACGGCAAAATTGCCAAGCGGTACGGGAAATTGATCGGGGTTGACTTGCCTTCACTTCTCCATGAATTGAAGGTCCGATCAGCAAAGATCGTAAAGATGGGGGCCAGTATAGATAGGAAGGGATTTGAGGCACAATGGAAGCAGGCCTTCCGCATGTGTTGCTAACAACTGGCCTATGGTTTACTATAAAAATGACATTTCAGGTTATGTTTAATATCCTGATACGGTTTTGGCTAACCTATGACACTCTCGCTGTAGAACCTTCGCTTTGGATCTATCATCTTCCAGTATCTGTTAGGAATGGACATTTAGAGCCAGCCACAGCTGAAAGTACATAAATGTATGTGAAAAGCAAGCTGTAGGGTCGTTGTTTGTACTCAGATCAACGGGAGCCTTTCTTATTGTTCCGTGACCTGAAGGCAAGTCATCCCTGCCCCCTATGTTTCCTATGTTTATCGACAAATATTGTTGTCTAACTAGATATCTACTGCAAGTGGGGGTTGAATGGCACACTGCTGCAAATGCACGACACTGCTTAATGGGAGCTAGGAATTCCGCTCAGATCAGTAAGATCTTCCCCTAGGAGCTTCCCCATCGACAGCACAGGAGTAGCATCTATCAAAACATATACCATTCTCGCCCAGTCATCCCTATTATTCACCCATTGATGCATCGTCCCTCTCTGAACAGCCACATCCCCCCGCTTCATGTCCTTCTCTCCCCGGAATCAAGCACGCATTCCAATTCCCCTTCAATGACAATGCCAAAATCCAGGCTGATGGTCCGATGCATGGGCGTGATGCAATTTGAGGGATAGTCGACGTAGCGCATGAGAATCCCGCCATGTTTGACTAATCCGGAGGAATCACTCTTCTCGAAAATAGCCTTGTAGTCTGCCAGGTCTCTGCTGTCCGTCAGGCGCGCGGGAAAGGAGGATGTTTCGTACGCCAGGTAGAAGCCGACAGGAAGCGGGGGCTCATGCTTTGGAGTGAAGAAATTGGCCTCTTCAGGCAGTTCAGTGGAGAAAATAGCCTTTCTGCTTGACGCATCGTGGGCGGTGATGAGACGAGATATCTTCGGGAGCGGGTTATCGCTCTTCATATCGACTGGTGAAGACATACTAGGTTTCTGTCTTGTAATGGCTGAGGGGGCAAGTACACAATTGAGTACGGCAGACAGGCGGAGAGACTGTCCAACAGGCCTGTTGCCTCTTGTGTCTTTATACGAGGATATGCTCAATATTATTCATTCAATTCGGGCCGACGACATAGACTGGACGGTCCTCAGTTCCGATTGACCAAAGTCATACACGACGGACCTCCCCACCTGGCTGGTGATCAAGACCGAAACTCTTGTGCCTCCGATTGGACAGTTCTAAATGTCCGATAGGACCGAAATCCTACGTGCTGAAGGTCCATAATATTTATTTTTGCCCGCAGTTGCGCCGTCGGGGCCATTCTTTAGGACGGTCAAGCCATCCATCCCATACTGGCAAAGTCATAATGGCACCCTATATCCCATCCATTCCAGTCCCACCAGGCTCTCCATTCCCAGTATCGAATATACCGTTTGGTATCTTCAGCACGCATGGTGATGTAAGTGTTGATTCTACCATGAGGTATGCATAAAACATCTGCGTTACTCACCTTTTTCACTTCTGCAGACTATTCCAAGACCAGGGACCGCGTTAGGGGATGTCGTTCTTGACCTCAAGGTCTTATCGCATATGATGAAATTGCATAATATTGCCCTAGACTGGAGTTTCTTTCATGAGGTTTATATCCCAAACCAATCCACTCCACAGTAAGCGCCGCTGAGCATGCCGCGCTGCCCTTTTATCTACGCAGTCTACCTTGAACGCATTTAGTGAGCTGCCGGAAGACATCCGATCATCCGTGAGACGGGAAATACAAAAGATCATCATGACTGATGATTCTGTCATTTACAACCCGGAGTTCCAGTCTTTCCTTTTGCATCACAAGGAGTCGGTAAAGATGCATTTGCCAATGCAGATTGGCGGGTTTACGGACTACATGTGCTCACTGGAACATTACACTCTGGTTAGTTAACTGGGTTGTTTATTCGTCGTATTGTACATGATACATTGCAGTTGCAATTTTCCCACCCCTCCGTCTTATTTTGGGCTGATGCCGGAACTGATACTGTCTCGTCTGGTTCAGAGCGCGCGAGTGGCCGGTACCAACATTTCGCCTAATTTTTTCCAGATACCATTGTGCTATAATGGTCGAGCCTCGTCCATCGTTGTTAGTGAGACCGCTATCCAAAGGCCACATGGAGTTAGCCTCAACGCTCAGGGAGACGCGACGTTCCAACCGAGCCAACAGCTCGACTACGAAGCCGAGCTTGGTTTTTTTGTCTCAACCCCTGTTCCACTGGGCGAGATCGTCCCTGACCGGCGAGCTAGAGACCACATATTTGGCTTTGTTATAGTCAACGACTGGTCTGCAAGAGATATCCAAATGAACGAGATGAGGCCCCTGGGTCCTTTTAACGGGAAGGCAGCAGGCACAAGCATTTCTTCGTGAATCGTGACAATCGATGCTCTGGAGGAAGCTGGCGCTGTTCTTAACATTGGCGAACCCATCCCTGGAGCGGTGAAAGGTGGGAAGTGGACCAACATGCCGTTATATATATCGACCTTGGACGTCGATATTGAAATAGAAACTTATATCCGCCGTACGTCTAAGCTTTACCACACCATCATTTCTTAAGTTGAAGCTGACATGTGCTCTGTGGTGCGTTCAGGTAGCCTCCGCCGTCGATACCTTCTCAGTCAAAGCAACATCAAACACCTTTATTGGTCACCATTCCAGATGTTAGCTCACCATACCTCCGCGGGCTGTGGACTATCATCGGGCGACCTCATTGGCACAGGAACCATTTCGTCTTTAGCAACCCAGGCCGAAGATGAGGGGTACACCACACGCCAGTCCCCTCGTCGAGCTGTCGGGTACAGCGGTTGTCTCTATGAAATGACAAGGGGAGGGAAAGAACCACTGCAACTCGAAGATAGCCAATCTGTGCTCTGGATCGAGGATGGGGATGAAATCATTATGGAAGCCTGGGCAGGAAAGGGCTTATTGAAGATTGGGTTTGGAGATGTGAAAGCTAGAATTATTCCTGCAAGGGAGACCCCTTCTTTCTTGGCATAAGTTAACTGCTGGGAGGTTCAAGAGAATGAATATGTTGACTGTGTCATGGAGGCAAGCCTTCAGATACTAAAACATTTGTTCCCCAAATAGTGGGAAAGTATCAAGTGGTAAAGGAGGATTGAAGTCTTGAATATTCCACCAGTCATCGAATGTGCTGACTGGGCTTGTTGCCTCGTCGCATTCAGGCAAACCACCATTGGGCGGAGCAGAAATGTCAAGCAGTTGCCGGTTGTTCCGGGACATACTATAGCTTAGACTCTCTTCCTGTTCACTCAGACAGCCCGCTGTTGCAGTAGAGCTTTCGGGTGGCCGAAATCGTGGATCTAGAGGCTCGCTAATGGATTGTGCAAGTGGGGTCACTTCACAGGGTTCGAAAGATAGTTCGGACTGCGTGCGTTGGGATTCGTGGTGACAAACATATCCTGGTACAGTTTTCGAAACAGTTGCACTGCTTCCAGGACTGAAAATATTCAGTCTTAGGGACGCTCTTGTTGTCAGACAAAAGAAGAGAACAACTAACCACATTCCTATTAGTTTTATAACTGCTGCCATGACCGTGTCTGGACTACTCTCGCCCAGGTAGGTTTGCCCACAGGGAAGCGCATCCCATTGCGTGTTCATCTTTTCTCTGGCCCTTACGCTATATCCGAGGTCCGATGGTACGATATCGGTAGGCAGTGGCAAGTCGGCCACATCTAACCAGGAACTTCTTGCGAATGATAGTGGCTCACAGCATATGCAAAGTGAAGCCCAGCAGGCCCATAAAGCACGTCTCTTCAACTCGGACTGCAGATCTGCGTCTGGTGGCAGGTCTCTCCCCGGCCAATATTTGTTGTATCCCAGCATAACTCAACTACGATAAGCTAATGCTGATAAGAGGATTAGTGGCTTCTTTCGGCAGAATATATGTCCATGATCTTGACGTTGGAAGATCCATACCTAAAGATAAGTTGGCCCTTTGAAGATCTCCCACAGCAAACCAATATAAACAGAGACATTCTAACGTCTGAATGACAGTCAAGGAAGGACACTTGGATGCTAACAGGATGGCTTTCTGCGATGCATTCCGCGCCCATACTCGACCATTGCCAGAGAAATCCGCTAGCATATTTGTCTCACTAGACGTACAGGGTGCACCGCGCACTATGAACCTATTGCGCATGAGTGTGAAAGCAATTCATAGTTTTGGGATAGATCATGACTGCCTTACAGCGAGGCGAGAGCAAAAACAGCTTCCGATAGATATGCAGGGATCTTATTCTCAAGGAAATCCTAGAAAAAAGATGCCTTGTGAAACAGCAGAGACGCGTTGTATATACGCGAGAAGCAAATCTCTAGCAGAGCGAGGCCAACTGCGCGTGATGGTAATTCATTACGTTGCGGATCCATCTCAATCGCATCTCTGGTGGCCGCTTTATCCTTGGGTTCGTCTCGGACCTGTAGCAGCGGCCGGGACTCGGACCTCTAGTTAGCAATTCTGACTGATGGACCACAATAATTATCATGACATACAGGAGAATTGCCCATATTTTCTCTATAGGCCTCTCCGGGACGCATAAGGCCACGCGGTGAACAAGCCAACAACGGCTCGGGGGGTGGCAAAGTCTGAAGCTCATGTAGAGTAACAGCTCTACTCTCTCTGTTCGGGGTCCCGGGTCTCTGCCTACGCTGGGGCGTTGCAGTAGACTTCGCACCGCCTTTTCTTCCGCGGCGATCCGCGGGTTTGGGATAGTTGCATCTCGCATTCTGTCTCCTGCAGCGAACACAGATAGGGAGGTCGCGACTACATTTGAGCTAAGAGATAAGGATAAGAGTTAGAAATTTTCAGCAAGATAGTGCATAACAGAGTTACCTTTTGCTCCCGGCATCGTTCACAGGCGGTTGACGGTGTTAAGACTGGGTTAGCATCGAAGGCTCCTTTAGAACCAAGCATTGGTGTTGGAGTTTTTGCTGCAAGTGCAGGAAGCATTGTTCCTGTTTAAATTGTTACTTCTCCGATTGAAATGAAGTTTTGTTGTCTAGAGCCCGTTCGCGGGGTATTCCAGATGGAATATCTTGGGAGTCTTTTAAAAGTTGCTCAGTCTCCAAAGGCGGGGAAGGGAGGGGGAGCTTGATGTAATCTGCAGGGAGCCAAAGTTACCTACCTAACTACGTACGGCATGCCATTGCCGCCAGTCCGCAATAATCAAACTACTATGGAGTAAAGAAGCCATTCACCGCAATGAGTCCGCTTTCCCTTTTGGGGATAAATAGCTCCTTTTTTTATATATATAATAAGTTCAATATAATAGCTAAGTGGCTGCAATGGCGTTTCTTGTACAACTCTCAGATAAGTACTAATATCCTTTTTTCTTTTTAAGGAATATACAAAACGGTATATATTTTTCTACCATTTTCTTCCTTCTTTGTCTTCGTAGTTCGCACATCTAAAATGGCTTCATCTTGGACACTTTGCTGTAGGGAGTGGTGTACAACACTATTCCACTTCTAAATGTGAACTCTGCGAGGACTCCCTTCTCTAATTGTTAATTTAATTAATTCTTCAGTCTTCATCAATTGCACCTTGTACGCCAGCTGATCTCTTATGTAAATATAAGCGATTCAGATATCATAGCGTTATTTCAATATATCCATGATTCCACGTATATCGGATGATTCCCAACAAGCTGGATGTCAACCAGTGTAGGTACCTATACGCAGACGACCGTTTATTCTAAATACCAGTCCATCATCGTATAGGGCATTCGCTTGGTTCTATCTTTTAGAGACTGGAGATATAGAGGAACACTGCTCTAAATGAGATAAGTTGGTGTCTGATAACCAGTCAGTAGTCACAGGAGATATTCTAATAGGTAGAGAACAAGTGAAGACCAATATCTACTGTTGTATGGTCGAATTTTTGGGTGGTTCTATCGCCCTTCCGGGGGTTGATATGGGGTTTAATCACGGCAGGGTTATGCCACAGCCTGTTGTACATCCATGCTCTTCTCAATCAATCACGTGGATATACTTTGTCTATGCTCTATATGTGATAAGAATTGTGTAGGCGCTGTAGCAAACAGTTTAGCTATATAAATCGGCGAAGGAGGCTAGCTAGCTCCTAGTCCCTCTTACAATTTAATCAACTTTAATACTGAAGAAGATGAGAAGGGTAAGCCAAGACGGCGGCGAATGAAATGCGATTGAGCTTCGGCCCTTTAGGTAAGTTGATTTTTCTTTTAGTATAAGACATGCATGCACACATATATATACACATAAGTATCTGCACTACTTAGCTATATAGGACTGTCTATAGCATCTGAGCGGCACGACTTGCACTTTTACTAGGTGCTTAGGATATGTAGCCGTTTGATGAATCTAATTAAGTTATATAATTTTAATGTGGTGTCCAGAATAACCGTCTTATAGAACCCTTATATAAATACTGCCGGCAGAAAATATCGCCTTGTGAACTGTTGCGGAACAGCCGGAACAGCTTGCTGTACCTATATTAAAACCAGCAACGGTCTATGGGATCTACAGCAGCTCTCTAACAATGTAATAGGGTAGTAGGTATGTATTACAGTAGTAGTCTAGGCATACTATTCGAAGGCTAAAGGAGCATGGGAAAATTTTTATTTTCCAACCAATCAAAGATAGCACAATTTCGGGCCGAATCTTTTTACTAGCTACGGAGTACGTGTTAGGGATGCACGCGGTGCGGGTTGGGTACAACCCGCAAGGTTAGAATTCAACCCGCGCGGGTTTGCGGGCTTTAGAAAGATGACCTAGACCCTCACCGCAAATATATATATTTCCTACAAACCACCCCCGCGGGCCACTGCAATGCATAAAAATACATAAAAATTCATAAAAATACATATCGTCCATAAAATTATGCATTATTATAATTATTTATATTTTTAGTGAAATTTTATGTATTTTTTAACCTGCGCGGTGGCGCGCAAACCCGCGCGGGTCCTACTAGTAGTTCTAGAACCCGCAGCCCGCTGTGGGTTGCGGTGCGGGTTAACCACCCTAGGCCTAAATGGACTACTACCATGGACCTTCTAATAGAGAATGAGTTTTCATTCCAAAGGGGACCTATCAAGGCGTCAGTGAAAGTGTGATCCTCCTGTTACAACTTTGAGCCGGCAAAAAATAAAGGACGCGAAGATCTCTCCCCCAGATCCCCTGGGATATGCGCCTACGGAGACGAGCTCGAAGAAGACCGCTCATGTCTACAACCCTCTATAGGCTAGTAATGTCTCCATTTCTCGTCTTAAGTAATATTCAGAAGCAAAATTTATAGAAATAAGTAGAGCTTTGCTAGTTTAGTTCCGAAGTGTCCCGGTCGCAGGCCGTAGAGCAAACGGTTCTGTCCATCGCCTGGCAGAAAACAACACCTCCCTTACCAAGAACCCCAAGAGGATAATCCGCGAACTTCGAGAAAAGTTGGATAGTATGCGCGATGCCATCTGCCAGCTCCTCCGCTACATGTTCCGCAAACTTCTCCGTGGGGAAAGTCATATATAGGTCAACGGTGTTGACGCGCTCGATTGAAATGATGCCAACTTGGCCTGGCATCGGGGTAGAGTTAGCCCAGCTGGTACTGGACGTAGATCGGACCCCGCCTATTGTCACACTGCCACTACGGCCAGCACTGCTTGCTTGGGCGGCTTGGTGGTGAACGATACAACCCAGTCTGGCATCGCCTTGCCAACTTGTGCATTTTCTGAAGATGTGCTTCAGAGATACATAGTCATGAGGAACTGTTGCTAGCTGCTGGGCTTGAACGTGGCGCAGGAGGTCGGCAACAGTGTGGTTCTGATCAATGGAGATGCGAATGGGTAGGAAATTAATGCATGGTCCAAAGACTGTCTCCATACCCGGTAAGGGGGACCCGCGCCCATGAACTACCTGACCCAGGACAATCTCCGGCAGGAAACTAGCATGTTTGGAGAGGACCCACGCGATTGACGCCTTCACTAGCGTGGCTAGAGTGATATCTGGAAGGCGAGGATGATGATGATCCACTTCTCGGCGGACAGTCAGGGGCGTAAAGGTGTCATCACTGCGAGGATTCCGAGCGATACTGGTCACACCCAACGGATCTGTACTTTCCTTCGAAGCATTTTGCAGATAAGCCTGCCAGAAGGAAAGTGGCTTTGAATGGTCATCGCCTAGGCGATTGTAAACCACCTCCCGAAACTGGGTCGTCGGCTGGAGGTCCCTGTCCTCGTAGGCTGCGGCAATAGCCTGCCACAGGAACGGGAGGGAGGATCCATCGTACTGCGCATGGGACAGGCGAATGACAAAAGCCCACTCTGGGTGTGTTTTGCTGGTGACAACAGTGAAACTGACCAACATCTGTCCATGGTTTGTGGTTGGCTCGATTCTCTCCTGCGATCTCTCTGAGACGTAGGTTCGTGGATCGTCACACTCGACGTAATAGAACACAGGGTCCGCACGATGTAAGATCACCTGGAGCATTCGCTTGTCTGTTCCGACGAAAATAGTGCGCAAAATACTGTAGTGCAGTATGACCTTCGAACAGGCTTGATATAGTCGGTCCATGTCCATGGGAGCCGGGAACACCTCTGCCATGGAAACCAACGAGGAATTATCTATATAGAAAGATTGGAAATCCACGGTTGGGATTATATCCGCGACATTATTGACGGTGTAAGGGTGGTCGCGGCCATGGAAGTACGACGTCAGAACGAGCTGCCGTTCCCTGTCTGTGACAAGGGTGAAGGGCTCGTAGAGCCTGGGGGCAACTGCGGTCTGCCTCTGCCCAGCGGCACTGGCAATGCCAGCCCATTCTCTGATCGTTGGATGACGGAGGATATCGTGCGAAGTAATGGCAAACCCTGCTGCTCGGGCCTTTGCCGCGATCTTCACGGCATCGATGGAGTCTCCTCCAAGGTGGTAAAAGCTGTCATCTACACACACGGTGTCTGCTGGTATGTCCAAGACTGCAGAGAGTATCTCGTGGAATGACTTTTCTGCCTCACCTTCCACCGAACGTTTAGTCTTTTGACTGCTGAAATACGCGGACCAGTCCATAGGTGAAACGGCACGAAGGTCCTGGCGTAGTCGAGGCCGGTCTGTCTTCCCAGAGCTGGAGAGCGGAACCCGCGAGATTGGGACGATTATATCGGGAATCATGTACCCAGGGAGCAACCCACGCAGGTCTTTCAAAGCGGCAGCTGCCCTGGAATGGAATACGGCAGATGGGGCTAGGAGCACGCTGGTCGACGAGTTGCTGGGGCTGTCGACGGTAGCACTCAAAGGACCGTCGCTCCCTTGTACCTCACCCGCCACACAAGCTACTAGGCGAGGTACCATCGAAGATGGTGAGCAGGATGAGTCTGCAGTTGAATGCGCCGATCTTGGAAGTAGGGCCTGCTGCACGACAACCTCCTTTGCCCCCTCGAAGCATCGCTGTGTATGGTGTTCCACCTCAGCAAGCTCAACGCGTTGTCCATGGACTTTCACCTGGTGGTCCTTGCGGCCCTCGAAGAGGAGATTGCCTGTCTGTATATCATATCGCACCAGATCTGCCGTCTTGTAGAGTCTGTCACTGCATTCCCCACCTCTATAGAGAGCCCGCAGCCAGCTAGGTGGCTTGATGAACGCTTCATGGGTTTTCTCGGGCTCGCTTAGATACCCTTGTCCAACGGGTGGACCACCCAAAAGAAGCTCTCCAATGGCCCCTATTGGGACAAGTATATTTTCGTCATTTGGATCGACCACCCAGCAGTAAGTTCCAATACCATGGCCTATACAACGCGCGTCATCTCCGGCATTCAAGGCTGACGTCGCTGTATTGATCACTGCGCACTCTGTAGGGCCGTACGCATTGATCAGCCGGCACTTGTCGCTCCACGCTGCAATGTGCGCTGTCAACATTGGTTCTCCTTGGAGAACAAGGGTTTGTACCCAGGACTGAGCCTTATTTGAATCCAGTGCACTGGCTAGGGATGGAGTCAGATACGCATGGGAGACTGGAAAGGGGCAGGCCCCAGTCACCAGCATATGACTCCTCTCGTCTTCCGTAAGGGTACAAATTGTAGCCCCAGCTACTAATGTGGTGAGAATTTCCATCATGGAGACGTCGAATGTGTACGACGAAATCTGCAAGACCCGACAGGTGCAGTCCAGGCCGAACGCCTGAATGTGGTTGCCTGCTGCGTAACAATACGACGAGTGGGAAACCATGACGCCCTTCGGTGCACCGGTGCTTCCTGATGTGAAGAGAACATAGACTGGCTGTGATGGACTGGGCACCACTCGGAGTGGTGTTGCCTCCGACTCAATATCAGCTCTGTTGTGAAGAAATGCGACATTTCCAATTTCCAGGACATCGTTCACTAATCTCCTACTGATGGACGCCTGAGCCGGGGAAGACAGGATCAGAGTAGCCTTGACCCGGTCGCAGATAGCCCTTAGCCTGGTAAGCGGTTGGGTAGGATCGAGCGGCACAACAGTTCCTCCTGCCTTGAGAATGGACAAGATGGCGACAGGGACCCAGCGGGACTTTTCGAAGCAGAGTGGAACGAATTGCCCTCTCTGCAGCCCACGTTTTCCTAGTGAGGCTGCAATCCGAGTTCCCAGCTGGCTAATTTCTTTGTAGGTGAAATTACCGTCAGAACCGACGACTGCGTCATGGTCTGGAAGTTCCTGGGCTTTGGCTTCGACGAGATCATGCACCGTGGTCTCCGCAGGGGAGGGCAGCGGAGCATTCCAGTAAAGCAAACGGTCTTGGTCGTGAGGGGTCAGTAGTCCGAGATCCCGAACATACTTTCCGGGTCCCTGGAGCAAGGATGAGACGGCGAGGTTGAAGTACTCGGAAAACTGCGTAGCAACTGCAGTTGGGACTCGGGACGAATGGTAGCTCATAGTGACGCGGATACTGCCATTTCGTTGCAGAGAACGTAGACTGTGATATCTTGCTATTTACAGAACAGTCATTAGTCGCCAAAATGCTACGGAACCCGGGGGAAGGTAGGACAGGCAGCTTACCGATATTGGGTCTTTTCCACTGACTGGGGTTAAGGAGAGAGACTGCTTTGCTTCATGGGTCGGTGCAGGTTCGTACTGGACGTTGATCGCAGTTGATGTAAGCTCTTCCATGGGAACTCCAGCCGCTCTGGCAATCTCTATGAGCGGGAATGCTTGGTACGAGAGCACGTTGGAGAAGCCTTCCTGTAGGCACAAAGCTGCGTCATCCAGTGCTAAATCTCGTGCTGTACGGACTCGGCAAACGGACATGTTCGAAAACTGTCCGATGGCCCCGTCTATGCAATCGACAGGAACCAGTCGGCCCGAAGTAAGGGTCCCAAAGCATACATCATCGGACCTGGTGAAGGCAGACAGAGTAAGAGCCCAGGCAAAGTACAGAAGGCTAGATGCTGTCCAATCTGTTCCATGACAGAAAGAGTCAATCTCGGAACCAGAATTCACCAAGAAAACATCCAGTTGGCTTAAGGCATCCGTCGCTTGGTCATCCAGTTGGCGCGCCTCGAGTGGCAACTGGCATGGTTCAACACCTGCTAAGTAGTTCTGCCAGTAGCTGTATGCCGGACCCGAAGATTGCTTCTGAGAAAATTCGACATAGTCCTCATAGGCCTGGCTTTGTGGGACTGTTGGTAACGAAGAATCGTAAGCCTGGCAAAAGTCGCTCTCCAGAATTGCCATGGACATAGCGTCGATGATCACATGGCTAATATCCAACCGAATGTAAACGTCCCCAGTATCAGCGCTGCAGATGGTGAGCTGATGCGGGCTTGTTTCCCCGTCCAGCTGGCTCACTGTCGCAGACAGCCTTGTGAGCAATGTGGGTATGGCGCCGTCTTCGGGATCCGTTGCGGGGACATTCTTGATTAAATTGACGCGAGGTCGGATATAGCGCAAAATGAACTGCTCAAATTGGCCGTCATTTGATAAGTCGTACTGGAAAGCAGTCCGGAGTGCTGGGTGACGAGCTACAACCTGATGCCAGGCTGTAACCAACCGATCCAGATCAACAGTCGTACTTCTAGTGTCATCTTGTTCTACCCTCCATATAAAGTGCGGCGCATAGCTGGTATGGTCCCTCATCTGGCTAAGCAGAATCCCTCTTTGTGCCGGAGTACAGGGCAGGACCTTCTCGACGTCCGAGCGGCGTATGCCTTGCTGAGCGGACGGGGAAGATCGCTGCGCAACCTGTGCAATTGTGCGCCAGTGGAAAAGATCCTCAACCGAATGCCCCATCCCCACCGATCGGGCCTGTGTTGTCGCCTGTAAAGCAGAGATTGAATCTCCTCCAAGCCGGAAAAAGCTGTCATCTACACCGACCTCGCTAAGCGGAAGAGCAAGAGCGCGGGCCCAGATACGCTGCAACGTCCGCTCTGCTTCCGTCGATGGAGCCCGCTTGTTCGCACTCTTTAGAGTGAATGATTCCACACGTTGTCTGGAGGCGCTGCCGACAGCCTCCTGAAGCTGTCGTCGGTCCAATTTGCCACCGACCGTCCGCGGCATCTGTAGAAGAGGAATGACCACCCTTGGAAGCATGTAACTCGGTAGCGAATCCTCCAGGTACCGGTATACCTTATTCAATTTACTGGTGAAGCCAGGGGGTTCGATGACTGGTAGCGGTTGGATGGGTGAAGGGGAGGACTGGCGAGCACTTTCGGCGTCCTGAGGGACAACGAAGACGACCAGATATGGTGCTTGTTTGACTGTAGTTGGTTTAACAATCAAAGCAACCACGTCTTTCAAACTGTCTTCGAAAGCTCTCTGTACGTGATCTTCGACTTCCCCAAGTTCAAAGCGCTGCCCTCGGAGCTTGACCTGGTAGTCCCTGCGTCCAACAAAGACAAGCGATCCATCTCTGTCATACTTGACCAGATCCCCAGTGCGGTAGACCTTGGACTCACCCAGAGGGTTGTAAGCTAAAGGTGCTAACCACTGCGGGCAAGAGATAAACGCTGCCGCTGTCTGCTCTGGATTATTCAGATAGCCCCGGCCAACCAGTGGCCCCTGTAACAGGAGTTCACCCACTGCACCGATAGGAACCAGTCGATTGGGGTCTTCAGGGTCCGACACCCAGGCAGCACCAGCTATGGGATGTCCAATATTTGCAGCCCGAGACGGAACACGAACTGAAGGTTGCATTGTGTACACAACAGTGCATTCGGCCGGCCCATATGTGTTCAGCAGGCGCACATGGTCTGCCCAGTGGGCAACGTCGCTTTCACGGACAGGCTCACCGATCAGCATAATTGTCCGGATTGGAGCCAAGTCGCCCGGCGTTATGGCACGCAAGAGGGAAGGAGTCAATATAGTATGGGACGGCTGGAGGTTTTTGACGGCATTGACAAGTCCCTCCCCACGGTCCGATTCGGAGAGGATACACACACAGGCTCCAGCAAACAGGGTGCCCAATATCTCTAGAATGCTGACATCGAACGCATATGAGGCAAAATGAAGTACCCGGGCATGGGTATCAATCTCCATTGTGTGTGCATATGGCACTGCCATGGTCACAAACGCTCCATTTTCAACAATTGCGCCCTTGGGCTTCCCTGTGGATCCAGACGTGAACACTGCATATAATGCTCGGTGAGGATCGCTGCTGAGAGAGTGCCTCCGGTAAGCTGGATTTGCAGGTTGAGAAGCGGATTTGTGGCCAACAAGCACTACCCGGTCATTCAACGTTCTTGCAACCTGCTGGCGGGACTCTGAAGTAATCATAACAGGAGCTTGGATCTCATCGCAGATAGCACGGAGCCGGCCTAACGGATAGGAAGTATCCAGTAGCACAAATGCCGCACCAACTTTGAGGACCGCCAGAGCGGCCACGGCAATCCATCGAGATCGATCTAGATAGATGGGAACGAACATCTCTTGACCAACTCCTTGATTTTCAAGAGCATCTGCCATAGCACTTGACCAATAGTCCAGCTCCTGGTAATTGAGATTGCCATCCCAAGCACATACGGCGGGGGCAAAAGGCTGCGTTGTACAGTGCTGGTCGACTACGTCAATAACCGTTGCAGGAGTCAAGGGTGGAACATGCGCATTCCAGGCTTCCAGCTGCTGTGTATCGCCCAAGTTGACTCCCATGATATCTCGTAGAGACGCGTGCGGTCGAGTGGAAATCTGCTCCAGCAGGAAAGCAAACTGGTCCAACACACGCTCTATCTGCCAATCTGGAACAACAGCATTATCAAAAGAAGCCTCGATGGACACCGATCCCGGCTGGAGCGAGGCAGTCAGATGCAGGGCGTATGTATTAAATGCCCCATCCTCGAATGTGGTATTTATGGGCTCCATGATGTCGAGCTCTGCGACCATCCTCTCGACTTCCCCTCGCCCTTCAATGTTGAGGAGGGTTTGGAAAGAGCATGCACGGGAAGCATTGGTTCCGAGCGCCGCAATCGTCTGCAGTCCAACTTGTTCAAAAGGGACCATTTGTGTGGTCTGTTGCTGTAGATTCTCGAGGGCATTTAACACACTAATCTTAGGATCGATCTTTACTCGCAATGGGACCGTGGCTATTGTGGGCCCACTCATGGCTTCAATGCTCTTGACGGGTGCGGTCCTCCCGGTCGATACAGTGCCAAACACTATATCTTGCTTTCCCTGATACTGTGCTTGTACAAGCGCCCACGCTAGGCGAATGGCGGTGCTTTGGGTAACAGAATACTGAAATGCATCCATTTGCAGTGATCGTCGCTTTACTTGTATTGCTCGAGGTCGGAACGAAGCGAACGGCAACGTAGGGAATGGCTCTGTATCTAGGTCAGTGAATTGCCCCTGCCAGTACTCGAGCGCGGCATCTTTCTGCGATAGGGCGAAATGCAGGAAATGTTGATAGGGAGCCGCCCGTTTTCTAGAGGAATCATCGTGATACGCTGACTGTGCTCGTAGAAGCAGGAGCGGCAACGACCATGCATCATAGAGAGCGTGATGCATGGAGAGCATGAGGTCTACCCGCTGGGGCGTCTGGGTGGAAGTACGGAGGACTTTGAAGTGTACAAGTGACTTTCCGAAGGGAAGTCCCTGACTGATTTGTTCTTCCTCCTGGTCTGGAGCCGCCCAACTCAACGCCTGATTTCGTACCACAACCTGAAGGCATCCAAGTCCCGGGGTTTCAATGATTCTAGTACGTAAGATGGGGTTATCAATGGCAGTATTCTCCCATGCGGACTTCAGCCTATCCAAGTCAACCTGCTTGGGTAATCGCAGCCGGTGGTGGGCTACATATGCCGCAGGTCTCTCAGCGGTCAAGACAGCAAATCCGGCCTGCAGCGCGGTACACGGCATAATATCTTCAATGTCATCCTCAGTTATACCACATTGCAAAGCTGCTTGCTCGAAGGCTTCTGAGTTGTGCTCACGCGGGATGAGTGAGAGCGGTGTAATGTCGCTCGGGGCAGACTTCGTCTTGGTGGTGCTGGAGCGTGTAGAAATGATCTGAGCTAAATCACAGAGCTGCGGACTCATGAAGATATCCGGGACGGTTATGTCAAAGCCAGCATTGCAGGCCGTAGACGCCAGCTTCATGGCGGCAATGGAATCCCCTCCCAGCTGGAAGAAGTTGTCACAAGGGCCCACCTTGTCCACAGGACTGTTCAGAACCTCCGCCCACAGTGCTTGGAGCGAGCGCTCGCTCGCTGGCAGGTCTTCTGGCCGCCATGTCTTCCGGGCTTCTTGAGCTCTCGCCAGATGGACTTCGAGCGCCTGCGCTGCCTGCTGGCCAATGAGGTCTCTATTAACCTTGCCATTCACCAGACGTGGCACTTCGCGCAGTGGTAGAATAGCGGCGGGCACCAGCATTGCTGGGATTTCTGCCTTCAACCGGCGCTTGGTCTCTTCCACTGCAGTTTGGAAGCTGCCGTTGGACTCCGCGTCGTCGGGACTTTCTTGCACCACTGAGGCCACCAGATAGTCCGAGCCAGTCCGTTCGACGGTTAGCAGTGCGGCAAATACTTCGTGGCAGCCTCCAGGGAAGCATCTCAAGACATGTTGTTCAACCTCTGACAGCTCGATCCGCTGTCCGTGTAGCTTGACCTGTCGATCTTTGCGTCCGAGATATTGCAGAGACCCATTGGGGAGGTACCGCACCAGATCACCCGTCTTGTACAGTTTCTTGGTTCCCAGATCCCGTACCATATGGCCGATCCAGGACGGGCACGATAAGAACGTGGCCATCTGCTGCTCTGGACGATTTACGTATCCCCGTCCAACTATCGGACCCTGGAGGAGCAATTCCCCTGGCGCACCAATGGGGACTGGTAAATTCGGATTACAGGGATCTACGACCCACGTAACACACCCTGTGCCCTTTCCGATGTTTGCCGCTTGAGAGAAGAGCTCATCCGCGCTTGGTTGCGTTGTTGCAATCACAGAGCACTCGGACGGTCCGTACGCATTCATGAGCTCCACATGGGGTTGCCATCGCCGCACGTCAGAATCCGTCATTGCCTCTCCCCCCAGAACCAGGGTCTTCAGTGTAGGGAGTTTCTTCGGTGTGAGAGTACGTGCAACCGAAGGAGTCAGGAGAGCCCAGTTGACTTGATATTGTTGCATTGCCTCCGTCAGTCGCCTCTCCTTATCGTCCTGGGATGGCACACACACGCAACCACCGGCCAACAATGTAGTCAAAATCTCCACTATACTTGCGTCAAACGCAAAGGAAGCGAATTGGAGGACACGGGAGCGTTCATTGATGTGGAGGGTTCGACTGTGTGCAACAGCTGATGAGCAGAACGACTCGTGTTCGATAACGCTCGCTTTGGGCTTTCCTGTTGTCCCAGATGTGAAAACTACGTATGCAGCTGAGCGTGGGCTGACCGGTGCATGGACTGTGTTTGTGATCGTATCTTGGTTTAATGTTTGGTCGAGATCTTCCATCAAAATGGCTTTGGGGCAGATAGCCTGAGCTAGGGATTCGAACTCGGCCGTCGTGAGAATGAATGGACATTCGAAGTTTTGTTGAATCATGTCCCTCAATCGCTCCGCAGGATGGGATGTGTCCAAAAGGATGAAAGCACCACCAGCCTTCAGGACGGCGAGAACTGCGATTACAGTCCATCTAGATTTACTGCCACAAATAGGGATGAACGCCCCCGGATGTGCACCGTGTCCAGTAAGCAGTTTATTGGCCAAGGATGATGCGATCCGGACCAATTCCCCGTACGCAAGCTGGCCATCCCAAGCAGATATGGCCATAGCTTCGGGCCGCACAACGCTTTGCTCCGATACGATCGAATGTATGCAGGTGCTTGATGGGTCCGGGACATTGCGGTTCCATTCCAGAAGCTTATATTTACTCCTCAGGCCGAGAATGTCGAAGTCATCCAGATATTTATGCTCGTCATTCACGAGTTGTAGGACAGCCTGCTGGAATGTGTCTGCGATCAATTCTCCCGGTTCATCTCCCAGCAACTGCGTCCAGTATGTGAGGTTTCCATGGATGGTTTCCTCCCCAATGGTAATATTGACGGTAATGTCGTACTGCGTGTGAGGGTGGCGGTTAGCTTGGTTCGGTTTATATAATGTTCGATGGAGCGCATACTTCGGTTGAATCATGCCCACCTTCTGGCATCAAGTTAGCAGCTCGAGAGCCACGTTCTGAATCTTCTACCGAATGCTGATTCTGCAACGACATAGCCGTGTTGAAGAGCGGTTGGCCAGAAAGCCCTAGCGAACGGAGGACCTCGGCCATGGACCAGTTCTGGTTCTCAATACTGCGCCCGTGACTGGTTTGATCATCTTGCAGCAGAGACATGATCGAAGTATCGCATGCAAAAGAGATTCGGCAAACCAGTAAGTTAATAAGTGGTCCAGCAATTGTGGAGGCTCCGTGAAGGGGAATATCGCGCCCCGATGTCAGGTAGCCGAAACACACAGCATCTGACCCTGTGTACGCGCGTAAAACGAGACCCCAGGCAACCCGCAACACACTGGAGATTGTGATACCCGACTTGCAACAGAACTGCCGCAGCCTGCTGGTAGAACCAAAGTTGAGATCTGCTGAACTTAGGGCCTGCGGTTGGTGGGCGTGGTCCGGGTTCACCAACGATGGGAAGATACAGGGGAGTATGCCGTCCAGATACTCCGTCCAGTAACCCACAGACGGTGACTGCCTGTCATTCAAGAGGTACTCCACATACAAACTGTACGGTGTGCCTGGTGTCTCGTCGAGGACGCCATTATAGGCGTCACGGAAGTCGGAGAGCATAATTTGACCTGTTACTCCATCCATCAATGTATGATGGATAGTAAGCAGACACGATACTCTTCCGTCATCCTGAGCCTGGAGCAGCAACTGATGTGCCGGTTTCGTTGGCTGTTGCGGATACTTCTTGGCGCCCTCATCGAGCAGATCAGTGCAGGTTGCATTCTGAGGCAGTATCTGTACATCTGCTGCAACACTTTTCACCACCAGCTGCACCGGATAGCCATAGCTACCTATGTCGTTAAGCAAAAATGTTCGCAGGATTGGATGGCGGTCGACGACTCTTTGCCACGCGTTATGGACTTGCTCCACACCCACAGGGGGCGAGGCGTCCCCCAACGGGAAGACTGTCCATCGTATTTGTGACCAGTACATATCAGCGACCTTCAGCTGGCTCAGCCACATCCCAAGTTGGATAGGTGCACAAGGGTATATGCTCTCGATGTCCGACTGTTCGATACAACACTTCTGGGATGCGGCCTGGAGAAGCTCTTGGAGCTGCTGGTCGGTGTCTAGCGACAACAGAGGGAAATCAGAGACTGTCAATCGCTGTTGCTGGCTCAGCGCGTCTGGAATCATTTCCAAGGTCCGTTGGAAGCGCCGCGGCCATTCCCGCAGCTGGACTTGATGTCTCATCCTGCTGTTGTAGAAGAAGGTGACGTTGAGCGAACCGCCAAACACAGTCGCCGACACATCAATCAGAGCGAACCGAGGCAGGTCAGGAGGAATCGGAACTAAGTCGTGATCTGGGGCACTGGCAAGCTCGAGAAGCGCGGCGGACCGTTCCAGCTGTTGGAACAGGCCGGTATAGTTGAACAGGATTTCCATTGGGACATGGCCCGGACATCGCTTCTTCCCATCGGGATGGCAATAACGCGTTACAAAGTATGGCCATCCATTGCCTGGTATTGCCCTACGCCCATCCTTAGTCCGTCGCACGACATCGGTTATATCCTGCCCTGCGCAGGTGTCAATGAACAAGGGCGCTATCGTGGTAAACCATCCCACGGTTCTGGATATATTGATATGTGGATCCCATGGCTCTCGTCCATGTGCTTCGCTAAACACTGTTGGGCACGGACGATCGGAAAATGTATTGGTGAAGGAGTGCAGCAGTGCAGCCTGGAGTATGTCGACGATGTCGGTGTTGAAGGCATCATTCACTGGGCCAAGAAGGGCCTGCGTCGTTTCTTGGGACAGGGAAATCGTCTCCTGGGTAGCCTGGCCCCAAGTATTCTGCTCGACTGCGTGACCCCAGTAATGGAGATGAGGAGGGGGAATGGTCCCGGGTAGGGCTACCTGGAGATCTATGCGCTTCAGGGCATACTCTCGCTGCATGCGACACCACTGCTGGAACGAAAGCGATGGTGCTTGCGCTGTACGGCCGGAGGTGAGAATCTCCTCCAGATCCTGCAATAGTATCCGCCACGAGACCAAATCAATGACTAGATGGTGGGCAATGAACCCGAGCAAATCCCGCCCGGTTTCCTCGTGAATCAAGTCGACAGCCAGCAGGGGCCCCTGCTCAATGTTGAGAGCCCCTTGGCTTTCGCACATTATCTGTTTGACCGCAGGTTGATAAGCGGCACCCGATGGCACCCAATGTTCCCGGAATACGATGCTTTGCCGGGCATCGGGAGTGATAAATTGCTCCCACTGGCAATCGTCCTGGCGGCGGAAGCGCGCTCTGAGCATCGAGTGCCGCCCAACAACAGTTTCGGTCGCCTTGCGGACCTTGCCTGCCGAGATAGACCTCGTGAGCCGGAGCAGGAATTGTTGCGTAAATTGGTGATGGCCCTTGGGGACGTGTTCGAAGAATAGGAGCTGAACAGGCGAGAGCTCAAAGGGGGTGTCTGTCGGGTCCTCCTGGACATCGCTTGCAAATGAGGACCGCCCTGCTAACTCCTGGACTTTCTGGGAGATCTTTTGAATGGAAGGGTAGCGAAAGATATCTGCCACTGTGATGGCCCAGCCCGCAGCCTGGCACCCCGCGGCTGCCTGCATCGCACTGATCGAGTCGCCCCCAAGACGGAAAAAGCTATCTGTAATGCCTATGTCATGAGACGATCGATTCAGCACTTGTGCCCAGATTTCCCTTATCCTGTGCTCCCTCGAAGTCGTGGGTTGCTGTGCATGCGTGGCGGTGGACTCTGTGCGGTATGCCTGCATTTCTTCCCACGATAAAGCGGAGGCCGCGTCGCAGAGACTCCGGCGATCAAGTTTGCCGGACGAGGTTAAGGGTAACTTCGAAACTGGTAAGACAACAGCTGGAACCATGAATGCCGGCAAGATGTCAGACAATTGACTCTCTGCTCTAGCGCACGCGGCACGAAACTCGTCGCTTGGGGCTGAGAACATCAAGCCGTGCTCTGTGTCTGACTCGCCGGCTACGAATCCGACAAGCACAGCATCTGGGCGATTTCCTTCGCCAGGTGAGCCCGAGCTTGAGCGCAGCATATCCACTACGACCTGTTTTGCTTCAGGGAAACATTGATGGAGGTGATGTTCGATGTCCCCAAGTTCCAATCGTTGCCCATGCAATTTGACCTGGGTATCTTTCCGACCAATGTATCGGAAACTACCATCGCCGACACACTGAACTAGGTCTCCAGTCTTATAGAGAGGAGCATACTGGACCCGTCCGAATCTCTTTCTCCAACGAGGGATGTCTACAAATGCTCGTGCTGTTTGCGTCGGGTTTCGGATGTAGCCTGCACCCACAATCGGGCCCTCAATGAGTAGCTCTCCGGTACAGCCAAGGGGCATCAACGTCTCGTGGTTGCTGGGATCCACCACCCAGCCAACGCCGCCTGTGGGGAACCCGATGTTGGCTGGGTCTTCCTGGAGCAGGCGTGACTGCACACTGAACACGGCCGAACATTCAGCTGGCCCATAGGCATTCCGGACTTGGAGATGCGGTGCCCACCAAGCAATATCGCTACCTTTGACGCGCTCACCCACGAATGCCAGAGTATGAAGCGTGGGAACGGACTCAGGGGATAGGATTCTCGCGACACTCGGGGTCAAGCAAGCGACGTTTACGCCGTATTGCGACACAGCTTGGGCCAGGCGACTATGGCACTCGGCCTGTGTCGGGATACACACGCAGCCCCCCATGATTAATGGGGTCAGGTGTTCAATAATACAGGAATCAAAGGCGGGTGATGCAAACTGCAGAACACGAGCAGTTGGCTGGAAGTTATATCGCGGGCCATGCGACAGTGCGCTTGCAACATAACCTTCGTGTCGAACCACGACCCCCTTAGGAGTTCCAGTAGACCCGGAGGTAAACGTCGCATAGAGAGGGGTGAGAGGGTTTACTTCCGGCAACGTCGTGCTGCTCTGGCCTGGAGACCATGTGGTCTCGTAGTCGAAATCGTCCATCAACAAGACGGCGGCGACACCGAGGGCAGGGGTCTTTGCTAGTAGTTCCTTGCACGTTAAGAGTACTGGTGCCTCTACAGCCTCACACATTTTTTGCAGTCGGGGCCCTGGATAGGAGGGGTCAAGCAGCACGAATGCGCCTCCTGCCTTCATGACTGCTAGCATCGCGATGGGGGTCCATTTGCACTTCTGGAGGAACACAGGCACGAATGATCCCGGTCGCACCAAGCTCATGGACAGGTGTGTGGCCAGTGATGATGCCATATTGTCGAGACGCCGATATGACAGGTCCCCGTCCCAGCTGTGAACTGCCAGGGCGTCGCCCTGCGACCGTGCTCTTTCCTCTATCAGAGTATGCAGGCAGGAAAAGGACGTCTCAGTAGGGGCAGCCGGACTGTTCAGGCGGCCCAATTCTTCATTATCCTCCGGGCTTATGGGAGAAATGTCGGCCAGGGGTATCCCAGGTAGGCGTTCGATCTGGTCGTAAATGCATGCAACTTGCCCTAGGAGTCGTTCGATCTGCCGGGGCTCCACGACCGCTGGGTCAAACCAGGCCTGGACCTGCAAATGTGCAATCGACGGCCGGCATCGTAGAATCAGGCCATAAAGATCGTAGTTTCGCTGTACAGCGCGATGCTGCGCAAACAGCCGTGGGACCTGATGGTCACTCCGGGGTTCCACGGCCAACAACGTTTGAAATCCACAGGCTGCCTTGGGCCCCGAGCCAAGATGGAGCAAGTTCTGGAGACCGACATGCTCAAAGTGCATTCCCGAAGCCCAGTCCCGCTGCATTTCTGCGAGCGCCTCAGTTACGGTGTCTTGCATACGCAGTTGAGTAAGGACGGGAACACTGGCTAATGCCGGCCCGCTGATCTCCTCTACTCCCTTGACTGGAACACCACGACCGACATTGATAGCGCCGAATAAAACGTTTGTGGAGCCAACGTAATAAGATTGTAGAATGGCCCATGCGAGACGCATCTTGGTGTTCACCGTAAATGCATTGGTCAACTGGGGGTTGATATCCCAGGACTGCTCACGACAACAGCCCGGATATGGTCTATATCCCACCGTCGGCAACGGTGGGTACGGGCTCATAGGGGTCTTTTCAGCATCCCGAAACTTCTCTCTCCAAAACTCCTCCGCCTGGCGTCGAGTCTCTTGCACGTAGTCGACTAGGGGTCTAAATAGACGCTTGGCGAGGGTTTGCCCGCAGTAGGCCTTCTCGGCCTCGCGCAACAGCAGAGCCATCGACCAGTCATCGCAGATCGAATGGTGGATGACTATCTTGAGAACACGGCGTGCGTGGAACAGGCTGAAGTACGCCAAGGGGAGTCCTGCTTTCCAGGACAGATGACTATCCACGAGACCAAGTGCATCATTCTCATCCTCAGTTGAGTATTCGGTCCATGGTGGAGTGCCTCGTATTATGGCCTGCATGCACCCATGACTGGCTGTTGACACAATGCGTGTTCGTAAGATGGGGTTTGCTTCAGCAGTCTGCTCCCAGGCAGTGCGGAGGCGCTTCAAATCCACATCCCGCGGGAGCTGGTACTCGTAGTCCACCGTGTAAGCTGCCGAATCTTGCAAGGTAAGGGCCATCATCCCCTCTTGAAGAGGGGTACATGCATATATATCCTCGAGATCATCCGGCAAGCAGTGGCATAGTGTTGCTACCTCCTCGAGCAACCATGTCTCCGCGCTCTCACAACTCGATGGCAGCTCTTCTTCAATTTGGGCTAATGTTTCCCCATCTGACGCGGATGAGGCTCCTGTAGAGGGTTCATCCACGGTCTCCTCTGTGGTGACGCCAATCTTGTCACTTTGAGGAGCATATAGGGAGTCATTTTGGGCAATTGCAGTTTCAAGCTCCATCCTGGCAGGTAAGGCTGCGGGCGATATTATTGACCTGGAAGATTCCGTAACGCGTTCTCAAATGGAGCAAAGAGACAGCACTATTCAATGAGATAGATACGACCATATTCTATACTATATATCCGGACCTGCTTCCGCACGTTTTACCTTATCCGTAGCATCGGGTGCGGGTAGACGGAGATTGGCTGGAAATATTATCCACCGATCCAGAAAGCATAATTTATGCAAGAACCGGCAGACCGAAGGTCCATTTGGATTCTAGCCATACAATCAGTGGGCAATCTCTACTTGGAATGATGAAAGATGCTTAACCTTACAGTTCGGCTGGGTGTTATGTTACATCCGTCGCTGCGGTTCAGACCATCCCTGACGTACAACACCAAGGCCTCTTGCCGCGAGCAGTAATCACTTCACATGCTATGATTTGTAGTGGTCATATCATCGGGAGCACAGGAAATAAGTGTAATGCTGAACATGTACTCTGTGACGTGGGTTTTTATTGTCGAAACCCTGCGCACTTCATCCCTGTGATAAGTCCTGTATCTAGTGTAGTTCTGTGTTAGATACCATCGGCCAGCCTTGACACATAAACATGGACTCCGCTTCATTGCCTTCAAGAGAGGACCAGGAGAAGATTGCGGTGGCCCGCCCCAGTCCAGACACAGATGCACAGTCATCGCGCACGGAGACTCCACAAGCGAAGGAGGAAGCAAGAAGGCCCTCCTTTCAAAACTATATCGTGCGGTTCTCCATTATGTCCTTCACAGTTACCCTGGCTAACTAGAAATCAGAGGATTCTCTCGTACGGTGCAGGGCAGGGAGGAATTGCAGCGATGATCCTCGGTCTTTGTTGCGCAATGGGATCCGGAGTCGTGAGTATAGTTGCAGACTTGCACTTGCGATAGGAACGAAGGCTGAGTCTACTCTTTTTCTTAGGCACTTCCGCTCATGAATATCGTTTTTGGCAACCAGGTCGGGACCTTGAACCAGTATTCTACGCCAAGGTCGACTCTTCAGGAACAGCACTTCAGGCAGACGATAAATCGCAACAGGTATAAAACTGTCCCAGGTGTAAGTTGAGCCTATGACTGACACTCCGTCCTCCGGTCGGTAGTCTGTATATTCTTTACCTCTTCATTGGCAAGTTCGTCTTGACATATTTTTCTATGGTATGTGAAGATATGCATGCACCGCCTGGTCCTAGTAACTAATAACCTGGCAGGTCACCTTCAGGCTTATCAGCCTCAAAGCATCTGCTACCCTGCGGATAGAGTACCTCGAGTCGCTGTTCTCACTCCCCATCAGCAGACTAGATGAGATTTCAAGTGGCACTGTGACTCACGCTATAACTTCGCTGTCAAACCAAATTCAGCAGAGTGTCTCTGATAAGCTGGCTATGCTCTTCCAGTCTTTTGCGCTCCTGGTGGCAGCATACGCCATTGCCTTTCGATACTCCTGGGCGCTGACATTAGTAGTGAGCTCAGCGATCCTTTTCGTTCTTTTAGGGTTCAGCGTCACCGTTCCCTTCTTCATCAAGGCTCAGCACCGCGTAGAAGAGGCAGATCAAAAGCATGCATCTGTTGCAGCAGATGTACTTGCCTCAGTTCGCACCGTCTTCTCACTCGGGGCAGAGGCATCCTTAGCTCGCAAGTACTCTGCGTGGATCATGGAAGCAAAGCAACGGGGAGCCAAAGTGTCGATTGTCAGCGGGATACACCTGGGGCTTCTGTTTTTCGCTATGTATGCGAGCTTCGGCCTGGCCTTCTGGTTCGGTTTGAAGCTGTTTCGTGACGGCAATATCGACAATGTCAATACCGTCATAACGTGAGTTCAGCTTCCACATCACGCCCCCCTACGATTACATACCAAGTGGACGAACGTTAATTTTGCGCGCCAGGGTTTTCTTCTCCGTTCTTTTGGTGGTCACAGTCCTTGGCAACATTGCGTCCCCACTCATGATTATAAGCCAGGCGATCGGTGCTTCTCGTTCATTCTTCGACGTCATCGATTCAAGGGTATCCCCGGCGACAGGAGCAATAGGGTTCGACCCATACAATCCAGGGGACATCACATTCAATGGCGTGAGCTTTGTCTATCCAACCCGCCCGAAATCACAGGTTCTCCGCAAATTCCATGCGCGGTTTGAGCAAGGGAAGACAACAGCCCTCGTGGGACCCTCGGGTTCCGGCAAAAGCACAGTCGTTGCACTCCTTGAAAGGTGGTACGACCTCAAGGCCTCGACTGATGGCAAGACCATGGAGATGATTGAAGGCGAAATCCAAGTAGGTGGAGTGAGTATTGACCGGCTCGACCTCCAATGGTGGAGATCCCAAATCGGCCTGGTGCAACAGGAGCCTGTTCTCTTCAATACCACGATCATGGAGAATATCAGTATGGGGCTTGCAGGAACCCAGTGGGAGGGTTCAGCCGAATCTGTCAAACAGGAAATGGTGCTTACAGCCAGTAAGGAAGCGTTTGCGGACGATTTCATCCAAAGGCTACCTCAGGTACGTGGCAAGACCAAAGTTCGAATTGAACGCAATGAGGTCCCGGGCGCTAATCAATTCCAACAGGGTTATTCTACGTTGGTAGGAGAAGGCGGAATAAGCCTTAGTGGGGGTCAACGACAGCGTATAGCAATTGCGCGTTGTATCGTCCGACAACCATCGATCCTAATTCTTGACGAAGCAACCAGTTCGATAGATGTCCATAGCGAGCGCATTGTCCAAAAAGCACTTGAACGTGTCTTGAAGAACCGCACTACGATCCTCATTGCTCACCGACTGTCAACTGTCCGCAAAGCGGACCACATCATTGTCATCAAGGACGGCATTAACCTCGAAGAAGGATCCCATAACGAACTGATGGCGGCCGGTGGCGTGTACTCCAGCTTGGTCCATGCTCAGGAATTGCGAGATATACCCAACTCTGGATCCGATATACTGAAGGACCAGGAATCGTCGTGCCATCTGCTAGCTGAGAAGGAAGAGAGCGTCACCACTACCCCCACCGACTCTGCGAAGAACGACCACCAAGCCCCTTTCGACGATCGGGGCAAGCCTGGGAGCAAACACAAACCACCGAATAATGTTCTATTACGAATATTGAAAGAGCAGCAGCAGAATTGGGTGCTCTATATATTAGTTCTCTGCGGCGCGCTCGGCGCATCGTGTAAGTATCCCCTGTGAATCTCTCTGGGATCTTGGCTCACTCCAAGGAAAGCTGCGTTCGCACTGCAGAGCTGGCTCTTTGCGCAGCTTGTACAGGTTTTCCAATATACTGGTGACAGACTGGTTAGCGCTGCCAACTTTTGGGCCTTAATGTTCTTTGTGATGGCGCTGGCCATGGCGGGATTCTACCTTCTTGTTGGATATTGCTCGAATCGAATTTCGCTGGTAGGTTAAAGCCCTGATGATCCTGGGAATAGAAGCAAAGAGCGTCCTAACACAATAAGAATGTTGCGGCCACATATCGCCAGGAGTATTTCAACAACATGTTAGGCCAGTCCATATCTTGGTTTGATCGCGAGGAAAACAGCAGCGGCACTTTAACATCTCGCCTTTCCACGGACCCCCAGCAGCTCCAGTCGCTCTTTGGAGTGAGTGGAACATTCCCTCTGATATCCATTCTCAGTGTGATTGGATGTATCGCCATTTCGTTCTCATTTGGGCCAAAGCTCGCGGCTGTAGCTTTCTGTGCTGGTACTCCATTCTTGTTTCTGGGCGCATTTGCACGCATCCGGTATGAGATGAAATTCGAGGCAATCAATACAGAGGTCTATGCAGAAAGTTCCCAGTTCGCAAGCGAGGCTATCCGAGCCTTCCGGACAATAACGTCTTTGAACATGGAGAAAGCGATTCTGAGACGCTATTCGACCCTAGTAACTCAACAGAGACGCCGTGCAATGCGGAAGGCATGGTACGCCACGCTAATCTTTGCCTTTGCCGATAGCTTCGAGCTCTGTTCGATAGCTCTTACTTTCTGGTATGACCCTTATCCCCTTTTTTACTAGGCTACGCTTATGGAGTCCCAGGTATGGTGGCCGTCTCTTAGCTTCTCATGAGTATGACGTTGTGTCATTCCTTGTCGTCTATGTCGCCATTATCCAGGGGGGCCAGTCAGCCGGCCAATTCCTCAGTTTCGGTCCGAACATCGCGCAAGCTTCTGCCTCAGGACAGCGCATCCTTGGCCTTCGCCATGCACCTGGATTAGTGGCAAATCCGCTCTCCACAGAGCTTATGCCCTCAGATGACGCGGACACCGACACAAGCGTTCAGTTACGACGAGTATCCTTCAACTACTCCTCGCGGGATGCCCCTATATACGACGGTCTGAGCCTTAAAATTGGGAGTGGGCAATTTGCTGCAATCGTCGGGCCGTCCGGCTGCGGCAAATCTACCATTATCTCCCTACTGGAGCGTTTCTACCAGGTCTCGAGCGGCGAAATCCTCTTTGGGAACAAAAACATTGACTCAATCGAGCTGTCTTCGTATCGATCCTCACTTGCCCTTGTCTCCCAAGAACCGCAACTATTTGACGGTACTATCCGCGACAACCTCCTACTTGGTCAAGCCGGGTCACCTGCTGTCACCGAGTCACAGATGATCCAGGCCTGCCAAGACGCCGAAATTCACGATTTCATTCTTTCTCTTCCCGAGGGCTATAACACGGCTCTTGGAGTTAACGCGCAAGCTGCCCTCAGTGGCGGTCAGAAACAACGGATCTGCATAGCACGCGCTCTAATTCGAAAACCGCGTCTCCTCCTCCTAGATGAGGCTACTTCAAGCTTGGACTCCCAGTCCGAAAGACTGGTGCAGGCGGCATTGGAGAGGCTAGCGAAGAAACAGGACATGACTATCATCGCCGTGGCACATCGGGTGGCAACCATTCAAAAGGCCAATCGGATTTTTGTTCTGGGACGCGAACCGCAGGATAAGTGTACCAGGCTTCTGGAGAGTGGGACGCACGAAGAGCTGATACTGAAGCAAGGAGTATATTGGGAAATGGTAAGCCCCTTACTGGTCGCGGAAGGTGTATGATATGAGAACTAACTTGCACGCCTTAGTGCCGAGCGCAAACTCTTGACGAAGCTATCGAATGATATGACAGACGGCAACGGCACAGAAATAAGGAAGCATCAGACCATGTCAAGATGTAAAGAATTCCCTTCACTTTAGCCATGAGGTGCGTTGTCTGTCAATATTTATTTGGAGATTAAGGACGAGCCGTATTCCCTCGCTTTGCTCGGCAGCTTGTGTTTGCGGGCCGATTAGTCATGCAACAGGGGCTTAGGGGTGGCTCTATAGGCATACTACCTGCTATAACACCTACTGAATCACCTACTAAACTATCTATTGAATAAATAGTTAAATAGGCAGTTTTACAGGTAGTCTTGCAGGCAGACTTGCAGGCAGGTCAGTAGGCAGGTTAGTAGGCAGGTTAGAACTTATACCTTATGTGTATGAGGCATGGCTTCTAGAACTAGTGGGTTTAGGCGATATTTTTATGTATAACGGCCCTTCTGTGTGTACTGTGCGTATTACCAGATGCCTGCTCGATGAAATAGATATAGAGGTTATAATTTGGCCTCTATACTTACCTGATTAGACTTGGTTACCAACCTAATACTAGCTGACTCTCAGTTGGCGGTTGGAGGGTTCGTAATAAGCATGGCCAGTCTTCCAGTCATAACCGCCAAAATGCTTGACGACAGAACAAACACGCCAAATCGCGTCATTATATGATTTGTGGTGGTGGACCAAGCTGTGCACAACGCGTGTGCCAACGCAGATCCAGGCCAGAATCGAGTTAAGTTGATCAATCTTGCCACCGCAGGTAATTGCTAGCGCCAACGCAACCGTGTAGAATTGGGTTGGCTGCTCGAAGAGGTGGTTGTAGTTATCTCTTTTCCAGCGTGCGGACACAGGTATCAGCGCATCTATCTGGCTCTTGGTGGGCTGACTCGTGGGTTTGATCCGGTTGTACAGTGGGATACACGTCGCATACATCTAAATCTCCATGACCAAGGTCCAACTATTGAGAGCGGCGACGGAGCCTAGGAGACAAGAAGAAGTGATGCTCGACATATTGAATGGATCGATTAGGTTGATAAAGAGTATGGTCGGTGATTTAAGTACAGCTTTCTTATAGGGCAGGCCGGAGGGGTGAGGTATGATGAGAGTCTAGGGATGATAGTTATACAGGCGTGATAGTTATACGAGGCTCATGAGTTACTCAGTCAGCTGGATTTCTGGCTCTTAATTATTACCAGAATAGCATGGCCGGACTTCGGGCCCGACTAAAACCGGGAAGAACGAATATTGAGCACTTGAACGTGAAAAAGGGAGTGGGGAAATCGCACTGGTAGGTAGGAATGTTGACTTGAGGGCATAAGTGGACCCTCCACGGTATGAGAATGGCGTACGGCTCTGTATCTCATTCTTGGTCTTTTTAAAATCTAAAGTTGTCCTCAGGCTTTGGCATAATTCTATACGAGTTATTTAGTTAATCCAAACAAATCACACTCCGCATGCCGGTAAAGGAGACGACTCATAAATAGTCAAATTTTCTGAAAGTAATTTTATTAAGCTCCTGAGGGTTTCGGACGAAGCCGAGACCCTAGTCGGTTCAGGAACCTTATTTTTAGTCGGAAAGAAGGTATCCGCCACCATTTTCGAGAGCCCCTCTCACCCTCCGCAAAGTGTACATCCTGAACGCTCGGATCATCAGCAATAGGCCCTGAGACCTGGTTGGAATGATCTCGCTCTCTATAAAAAAGTTATGCGCCCTGCCGAGATTTGTTGTGGACTGATATTACGTACGTATTTGACGAAGGTCCAGAAATGGCACGCAGGTTTATTTGGCCACTACCATGTGGCTCTGACGATGGAGACAGGTTTTTTCGACCGTTCACGTTGTTTTGACCGTTCATGTTGTTTCGACCGTTCATGTTGTTTCGACCGTTCATGTTGTTTCGACCGTTCATGTTGTTTCGACCGTTCACATTGTTTCGATTGATATGATTGCCAGACAAGCGTATGCTCTGAATAAACGGCATCAGCGCACTCTCGGTTAACATCTCATGAGCATAACGCATAGCAGGTTCTAACACGGCAGGGCTAGGCGGCAATATCATTACGTTGGTGCGATCAAGTAGTGTCGCTCGAATATATTGGGGGAAATTGAGCTCGTCGGGAGCTCCTGGTGTAATATAGGTGCTCATCAAACTCTTCCATTGCTTCCCTAGCCGCCGCGAATCTGATGTCATTTTCGTGGCGCAAATGTCGGGGGCCGAAGCACGATAAGCATCAATGTAGGTCTTTGTCTCCGAAAGAAAGTCCAGTAACTCAATACAGTGGTTCTCAGACAAATAGTCGACGAAAGTCTCAAGGGTATATGGTTCCCCTGCGTCACCGGATAGGATACGATCGGTGTTAGGATATCGGAGGGGAGGTGTCCGGCCCATAGAAGGTTCTCCACCTCCGCTCACATTGATTGCTTGCATGGCCTAGTGTGCTTTTCGCTGATAAAAAATACACTCGGGGCCTAGATGGGGATATTAGGATGTCGCGGGTCTATTAATGACTAGCCGCGGAGTAGGAGGAGGTTTAAAATGAAGGGTTCACAATGGTCATCTGGGGCCGTCTAGCGATTCGATGAGTGAGGCGATACTAGTTCATCTTGCGAACAGGTATACCATAGACCAATGTTCAGAGGCCGGCTCATTTTGCCGGGCAGACGTGAGCTCCGTCCGAATCACATGGATCAAATCATCCGACCGGTCTCGACTGTTTAGAGATACTGCAACCGCTAACTTCCGCAGAGCCAGAACCCAAGTATACATATACTGATCTACAAGACAGCCGGCAAAAAAGTTATTGATTTACGAATTATGATGTCATGGATTATCTCGAAATTTTCTCACATTATTCTACGCAAATGTACGCGTGGAATCCGTCTCTGGGAGACGAGTGACGTACATGTTTCGTTAGCGGACGCTTTGCGGGTTTGGTTTTTTTTTTTTTTTTTTCCCCTCGGAGCTGGTACGTTATGAAATCCTGGTCCGGTCGAAGAAAGGTGGCCTGCAGACTACTACTAAATTGTATAGCAGGAGTCCCTCTTACTTCGGCATCACGTGTGTCAATGCCCACGGCTACGGGCGCTTCGGTGCACGCGGCGCCAGAGATCATCCAATGATATAATTGAAGCACCAATCGCTACTGCAGTATGAAAAGGGTACCAGGAGGGTTCCAAGATGAAAGGATAGAAGAACACACAGCTGGTTATACCTCAAGAAATCTTAATAACTCTAAATTATTTAAACAACCGCTAGTCAAGAACCCATTAAAGGATTTGTCCATTCTGAATCGACTAGAATATAGTCTCAGTAAATTTCAGTGTATACAGCCCGTAGTCTTCCAGCGAACTCTCGCTATCGGCTATAAGCACAACAATATATATATATGTATCTATACATACTTGATTTTCTGGGAACCATCGAACCACCCAATCAGACACTGCACGTAACCAAAAAATAGTAGCACAATCGCAGTATCGCAACAATTAGCTATCTGCTACCAAGCTACCATTCTACCAGGCTATTACATCTACCACCATAGGATCGAAAAAAATATAAAGATACTCATTACCATGTAAATTATTATAAAATTACATAATATTATGGAAATTATGGAAATTATGGAAATTATGGAAATTATGAATTTTTATATATTGTGGTGGCCCGCAGGGTGGTTTGTAGGAAATATATATATTTGCGGTGAAGGTCTGGGTCATCTTTCTAAAGCCCGCAAACCCGCGCAGGTTGAATTCTAACCCTGCGGGTTGCACCCAACCCGCACCGTGTGCATCCCTAGTACGACCTATGGGTTGGAGCTCGGCAGAGCCTCGCCGGAACCCTTAGTCCTACGGGCTATAAGGTTATTCTGCTACTATATACCGCCTTTCCCCTATTTATTGCTGACTGCTGCCCGACTTCCTGCTTTTCCGCTATTCCTCCTTGTTTATATGGCATTGCTTAGATAGGAAGATCCATCTCTGTTCGTCCCTTAACACGAGCGCTTGAAACTGTAGAAGGTATTTTTTTCTCTATAGTAAATAATAAAGAATAAGGAATTATTATTCTTATTTCGGAGTATTTTCCTATATATATATTTTTTTTTTAATTTCTAGATGCTCAGTTACAGTATTCTTATAAAAAGAACCAGAACGGACGTAAAAACCGTTATTTAATTAGATTATTAAGCGCCTTTATGAACGTCAAGACCAGACTTTTATGCAACAATAGGCTTTGTCGGGGGCCCATCGGGGGGCCCGACATGGGCCGAATAGTCGGGCTTGGGCCTAAAAGTTGAGCCACGGGCCCACGTCGGGTCGGGCTTTGGGCCCAAGGGTTGAGCCCACTGTCGGGCTCTGAAGATGTCTACCTGCGGCATCGCCTCCGCAGTGGATGGACTCAAAGGCTAATGAACTGTGGTTTGCACCTGAGTCAATAGGTTGCCATCATCTGGGTAGTCAGTGCGGGAACCCGCTGTTCCTTCTCACCCAGCTCCATTTAACCACTTTACTATTAACTACCAATATTGAGCGTCTTCTTAGGGGGTTACAATCTAATTGGGAACCGCCCCGAAAATGGTATAGCGCCGGGATCCTTAACTATGGGACCCCTTGAGGCTCCGGACTGACTGAAGAGGTATCTCCAAACAATCACGACTTTATAACTAACTTCTCTTTCTATTCTGTAACCAGCTACGTGGTACAGGGATGACGAGTTTCCTGTAAATAAGATTGTCCAAAATTATCCGGTGGGAGAGGTAGATAATAGGGGCTCGGCGCATGCTGACCAGTAACCCCCACTTCGCGCGTTGGAAGGAATTAGCTCTCACTGGGGGCTTAGATTCTTCCCCTGTTTTGTCTCGTCCTGGCTCTGAGACACTCCCAGAACTGTGGTTTTGATGCTTTTGAGTGATCCATCCTTATTTTTGGGCGACGTCTTGCGTGATCCCGTTCTCGCCCATGTCGGACGCTACTAACTTTGGATGGGCCCTGCGCAAGAACGGCTCGTGCTTGGCCTCGGAGGTCGACTGCGGCGAGACCGTTGCGCCGTATCGAGTCTGCTGTCCCCAAGGCTCCTTCTGCCCTCATGCCGAGAATGTCGCCTGTTGTCCGTCGAAGGAATACTGTACCACTGCCCTCGATGGCCAGCCCCATTGCGCCAATAGTACATGGGATCTGTATATTAACGGCGGCTACTTCTGCTGCGAGCAAGGCACCATCGCCTATGCTAAAGATGGGGGATCGAATGGCTGTGGGAATCCGGGTACAAGTTGCAGGCGGGAGAGACTAGTTTGAGCATCATCTCTGCGGCACAGAGTAAGTCCGGACAAAGCATCATTGACCTTGATGTGCCGACTGACGAAGGGATTGGATTTATAGCAGCCACGTCGTCGACCACCGCCGTCTCGAATCCCACCTCGTCATCAGCCCCGACGCCCACAACTACCCAACCAAACCACAGCCCGTCTCACACCAACACCGGCGCCATTGCAGGAGGAGTCATCGGGGAAGTCGCCGGCGCTGCTATCATTATTGGCCTAGCATGGTTCTTCATTCGCCGACCGCGGCGACCTCAACGACCGCCATCAGAACCGGCCGCCCAGATGTTGCGTCGGGTGATCATTATCCGGTGCCGCCCGCAGAGCTGGAAGGCAATCATGTCTCAGAGCTTCCCGGTGATAAAAACGCGGTGGCCGAGCTCCCTGTGTCCTACCGCTAAATACCTCGCGCCGTGTGATTCGCAAAGACATGGGGTGTTGATGTCTAAAGTTATTCTAAAACCTTGCTATTCATGCAGCGATATTGTATTTTTGACAGAATGTGCTGCATAATACCTTCTGATACCCACTGTCCACTAGGAATACACTGAAGTCTGGGGATAATATGGATGATAGTGTAGCACCAATCATAAAAGGTCTATTCCGATTTCAGTTAATGTATGCGACGCTCTGAGTACCTTACCAAGGTAGCACCGTATAATTCTAAGCTAGGTAGCTCCCTAAAGATGTAGTCCCTTGTCTAATGCTGCACTTATATCATATAAACCGGAGATAAAATAGTTATCTAGCGCATAAGTGAGAGTCTCGATTGCTGAATTAGTCAACTACATAATCGAAATCAAGTCCACGCTAATATCATCAGTGTGGTCTTATCCAAAAGAATCGAATTATAGCTCATATAGGGTCTTTGTTTCACGTGCTTGATGGCATATATAAATATATATAAATAATGCGGCCAGATGGGAAAGGCGAGAGAACCGAACAAATGTCACATGCAATGGATTTATTAACAAGCAAGCTTACCACGATCAATAATCCCCTCTTTCAGACCTAATTAATTTAAAGCGATAACCGCTTTAATCCCCTCTTCAACTTAATTTGACTGACCCTAACCAACTGGGGGTGAACCAACAAGCCCTATACTCTAGTAGCAAATGCATTAAGGGTACGATACTTTTTCTCACTATTTAATTAGCTAATTTTTTAAATTCTTACGTGCTTTTATTTAGAGAAGTATATATTCTAAAGATAAAATAATAGAAAAGAATAAAAAAACTAAACTCTTCTAGGCTCCTTTTTTTAATTTTATAGAGAGAAAAAAGAAAAGGCCTTACTCCGTAGATGATAAAAAATTCCCTATCTGCTTTCTAATGTTCGATTCTTATTCCTAAAGTACTCTATCTACAGTTGGTCTCCGTCTTTGTTGACAGGCTAAACTATATGGACATTTTCTAGACCTCTCGTCCCTGAGACATCTCCCTTGTCGAGGTACCCGCAAATCCGCCCTGTCGGATCCCATTTATTGCGAATATCTCTCAACCGCTCTGCATTGCTCTCAGCCCAGTACTTTGTCTGCCTCTCCTGAAAATCAGAGTCCCCCAGATAAGCACCGACAGCGTGTGGATGGACCCGAGTCATCACATCCTTAACCCACCTCTGACACCGCTCATCATCCTTCTTATCTTCCCAGACGGTATACAGAGCAAAGTAGTGATCGGAATGTACGCTGACCGCCATATCGGGGAGATCACGACGACTGGTCGGGTTCATTGCGTACCAGAGTGCAAAAGCCTTGCGGTGTGGTAGCGTGGTGAATGCCTCTTCGAGGACTTTGGGGACATCGGCGTTGTTATGGATATACCCGTTATCAACGCAGTACCGGTGCCCTTCGGGGTTCGCGTTCTTCTGCGACAAGTATTGGTTTGCCAGGCTGTCTTCCTTGCAGAACCATTCACTGACTGCGCCCTGCGGGCGGGATTTGTGGGCCGGTGCCAGGGCTGCGTGGGCCTCTTCGGCTGTTTGCTTTAGTGTGACAAATAGGATGAAGAGATGGATTTCATCGCGATCCTCCGGGTACAAGCCGACCGCAACGATTTCGGTATCTTGGTCAAAGCTGGGAGTGATGCCGACTATCCAGTTGAATGCCTCGTGGTATTTGCTGAGCGGATAAAAGTATCCCGATGATCGAATCCCATCCTTGTGATATGGTATCAGGTCGAGGTGATATTTCGTGACGACGGCGGGGAAGCCTGCAGGGATCCAAGTGGTGGTTAGTCATTACCACTTTCGCTCAATGTGAAATACGCACAGTTGGGGCGGTCATACCTGGTCCAGAACCGCGAGCTGCCCAGTATAAATCTTGGTTCTGATCTTGATTGCAATGGAGCGCCTCTCCCTCGGCCGTCACCACGTCAATGGCCCTCACCCTCTCGCACGCCCACCCCCAGCCCTAATCAGAGTTATAAATTTTGTTGCTGGAGCGAGTGAGTGCGCAGATCGAGGTACATACCCGACAGTTCCAGCCCATCCCGCCTTGCAGAAGAAACCCGCCGAGCCCAACATCCGGACAATGGCCGCCAGGAAACATCAACCCATGCTGTTCAGTCAACATGCTATTCAGTTCCCGTCCAGTAACGCTCGGCGTGGCTTGTGCAACCCAATTCCCAGCATCCACAGTCCACTCTTTGTAATTTCCGAGATCGATCAAGATGGACTCGTCGCGCACGCTCCACGCCGCCCAGGAGTGGCCCCCAGAACGCACGGCAACGCGGCATTTGCGTTCCTTTGCGAGTTTGACGGCCTCGATAATATCTTGGACACAGGTGGCTTTCACGACCGCGATGGGATAGCGTTTTGGTCGTCGGTGGTTGAAGACTCGGCCGACGCGGGCCTCTTCATAGACGACTGGATCAGCCGAGTCGCGCCAGGTGATGTGCATGGCTATAATTGCAGGTGCTAATGGGGACAAGCTTCGGAAGGATTATGACGGTGTATTCCTCACTGCAATGCTTCTGAATGCAATGGTTAAATACTGGTATGCAATCGCCTCCAACATGGCTATTTCCGAATTCCGAGGTGGAGCCGAGAGGAGAAATCAGAATCCGGAGAACGTGGGGTGTGCGACAATCAGGCCTGCTCGATTAGAAGATACTTGTGGTCCAGACTCGCTCCCAAGAATCCAGGAAGGCGTTTTTACAGTCCATCCCCGCAATGATGCGTATGTACTCTGGCGTCCGATGTGGGGGATCTCTTCAGCGAAGTCTGGGGGCCACATTCGGGACCCCAGGATTTATTCCAGTGTGCTGATTCACCGGCGCTGTGCGGGGTATATGATTTGCGGGACTCTCTCTCCCATGGTGGACAAAATGGTAAGAACAAACCAAACACCCTGTTATCTTCGTGCTCGTCGAAATCATGGTTGAACAAACACTCGCGGGCAAGGTTGCCATTGTCACGGGCTCATCGTCTGGTATCGGCGCGGCCATTGTACGAGAGCTTTCCTCTCGCGGAGCCAACACAGTCGTCAACTACCCGTTTCCATATCTCAAGGATGAAGCCGATGCAGTTGTCGCCTCGCTCCCATCGCCGGCCACCGCTGCGCTTGGCGACATGTCCAAGGTCGAAACACCGAAGAAACTCGTCGAGGCCGCATTAGCGCAATGGAACCGCATCGACATCTTGGTCAACTCGGTCGCACTGGCCGTGAATAAGCCATTCGAGGAGCAGACGCTGGAGGACTGGGACCTTCTCGTCAACCTCAATGGTCGGGGGACATTCCTCATGACGCAGACTGTTCTACCGCATCTTACCAAGGGTACCGGGCGGATCGTGAATATCGCGAGTATATCAGCCCGAGGCCCGCCGCCGAATCAGACAATATACGCTGGAACAAAGGGGATGGTGGACTCGTTCACGAAATGCTGGTATGCTACTCCTAGCCTACAGAACTTCTACTCCACTAACAAAATACCTCAGGGCCAAGGAACTCCCTCCCAAATACGGCTGCACAGTTAACTCAGTTAGTCCCGGACCAACGCGAACAGAAGGTTTTGCGGCGGCCGGAGAGGAGCAGATGAAGGTTCTTCAGCCAATTATTGACCAGACACCCGTGGGCCCCCGAATGGCACAACCGGATGAGATAGCGTACGCAGTGGCATTTTTGTGCGAGGAGCGGGCGCGGTGGCTTAATGGGGTGCATTTGATTGCATCGGGGGGGTTGTTCATCGACTAGTTGACTTCTCTATGATCCAAATGAAGATTTTCTGAAGCGGACATTGTGCACTCAGCTGCTGGACTTGGGACTATGGTTGTGTACGCGCGGGCGCTTCGGTCTTTAATGCTAGATCTTGTATCCTCGGGGTTTTCCATTATGTATCGTGGGATACGTGGGGTTTCCGCGGTGTCTTGAGATGTATACAAGATTTACCTTGTTCGTTTCTCCTCGCAGAATTATCGAGGGGTTCTACTCCGAAAGGAATCCGGAGAAGAAAGATATATCAAGCTCAATTCCATCCCAATCCCAAAGAATGATATCCAAGAGGAGTGACGGGGGGCGGGTAGGGTTGATCGCTTTTCTAGAGTAATCACATTGATGAAGTACTTTAAGTCTACACGAAACCTGTCCGAATTGTGTCTGCGAGACATCATCTCAGAGCTACCTAAATGGCGGCCGACTCAATCGGCGCAGCCCCCGACACATCGGGCACCCCCGTTCCCTCAACAACTTTGGCTCCAACGATCTCAAAAACAGGCACCTCCGCCAACCGTGAAATAACATGGTGCAAAGTCGGCAACTGCTCCCAGTCCAAGGGATCAATCTCAATACTCGCCTTCTTCGTTGTGTACACCCTGTGCGGCTTCGGCGTCGGCACAGCCTTGGAGAAGGGATCGAAGATGGCATATTCTTCCGCAGCGACATTCTTGTTTTCGCGCCCGGTCTTGGGGATGTATTTGTATGCGAGAATTCCGGCGTCGGCTTCGCCGCTCAATGCGCCCGTTGTCGTTGAGGGGTCGACTTCGACCAGGTCTTCGAGGAGGAAGTTACCCCACAACGCCCCTTCCCATCCAGTGCGGATGCGGTACGAGCTTGAGCGCCGGTACACGTCTACAGACGTGTAGAGCTTTGGCATGCCTAGTTCCTCGCGACCGGAGACAATGGGGTCCGTTAGAGACTCGAAAAGGATGGGCAGGTATGTGCCCTGAACAACGGACCCGTCCTCCTTCGCATATTCCACCCCGTGCACATACAGCCCAATATGTCTGTACCCAGATCCACCAAGCCACTCCATCCTACCCAGCGTTGTTTGCGAGAACGAAGCGTAGGCAACAGTGTCCTGCGACGTAAACCGCCAGCCCTTGCGACCAGGCGGGAACAGATTCTGCAGGACCGTCCGCGACGTCTTGAATTTGATCGAGGCCGTTGTAAAGGTAGACTTTGTGCCGTCCCGGGGAACACCCAGATGCGTCTGGCGCGGACCGGGCATGGGTCCAAAGGCAATCGGCATGCGCCAGTATGGGTTTGGGATGCGGTTCCACGTCCATTCGCGGAGTTTCTGGGTCGAGTTGTCGAACTCGTCGTGGCCGAAGTTGTAGTTTGTGAACCCATACACTGTGGCATGACGTTAGCCTCACTTTTTATCTGTAGTCAAGATGTACAGGCGACTTACTATCGGGCTCCTTGTCCCCGGTACGGTCTTCGCCGATGAGCCGCGAGAATCCCTGAATGCGCGTGGCGCGCTCGTGGCGTATGTCATGGTACAGCTTCAGACGCTCGGGGATATCAGCAACGGGCGTATCTTTGCCCAGCACAACGGAGAGGGATATTGCATCTTCGATCGCGACGCCTCCACCCTGACCTTGGTGCGGCAAGAACGGGTGTGCTGCATCACCAAGCAGAGCCAAGCGATGATGATGCCACTGCGGAATAACGTCCATATCCAAAAGCTTCCAGACCTTGACAGTCTGAGGATTAGCCTTGCCGAGCAGAGCCAGAATCGCCGGATCAAATCCCTTGTAAATGTAGAGCATCTTGTCCAGGTTACCCTGCTGACCCCAGGTATCGTCGCTTTCTGTAGCCGACTCGGCTTCGGGGTGTATAGCCACAAAATTCAGGACAGTGTTGTGCGAGGTGGGATACACGATAATGCGCCGGTCGCTGCCGTACCAGATAGTAAGCTGGCCCTGGTGCTGAACCAACTTTGCCGTAGTCGGATCACTCAGAGCTACGACCTTAGAAACCAAGAATCGGAACGCGCTCTTGCCTCGGCATGCTGCCTTGAGTTGACCACCGGGGATTGCATGTCGAGTCACCGAGTGCACGCCATCCGCGCCAATAACCACGTCTCCCTGAACGTGCGTCCCATCTTGAAGGGTAATTGTTGCGGACTCGGCGTCGACACATGCAGTACGCGAACCCTTATGAACTGGTACAGCGGGGTATTGTTCTGTAGCAGTCGTAACAACTCGCTTCAGGTGATTATGCAGATCGATGCGGTGCGCAAGAAGCCAGGGGTGCAGCCACTTCTTGTTGGACTCCGTTAGCTCCATTTCCCTTCGCAATTCACCCGTGGCGCTGTACTCGACAAGCTAGAGTTTATTCCAATTAGTTCCACAGTGTTCCTTGCGGTATTACAGAATGGCTTACTCGTTCCATCGGGTTCGCGCCAAACTCTTCTGCGAAAATCCCCAACCGCCGGAGCAGCCCATTGGCATTGGGTGCGAGATGAATAGCTGCGCCCGTTTCACTCGCAAGATGCGACTGCTCAAAGATCTGGACATCATGTCCCTGATTGCGCAGAGCAATTGCTGCGGTCAATCCACCAATGCCAGCTCCGACGATCAGGACCTTGAGAGGTCTGATTTCTGTATGGGTTCCGTTTGTGGTGGCCATTGTGGAATTGAGAATAAGAGACTGGTAAACAACGAACGCGATTAATTGGAATTTTACATTTGAGCAAAGTTCAATTTCATATAGCCGTCACAGCTCGCAACATGGCTGGCCACAGAGAGCTCTTCGGCCTGTCCGGGGAACAAGTGGGGGGTATCGGGACCACATCGGCACACCAAAACAACCTCAGCCACGCGTACAGACAATCTGAGCTTAGCAGTGAAGTAGTTACTGACGATGCTGTGTTCGTGTCTTCATCAGTATCTGCTTGGAATGTGGAGTCATGTCAAACTTAGTGACCTTGGTGGAGTTATATATCTAAGATTGCGGCATAGGAGAACAGTACGGTGGCTGCTGTATCCAGTGAGTACAAGATGATTAAAGTGATGGAGCAGAAAGATATGTCTTAATCAACGCCCTTACTTCGACAGTAGCTAGGAAACTGTAGGGACTGCAGTAAATGCTGTTATTGGCCTTGCCACGCGGTAGGGCACCAATGCGGATGAATGCTGAACTATACAAAGGACTTCGCGGGGTTAGCTAAGAGGTTTCAAGTTGGTGAGGGCCAGTCTCTACTTTATCTTCAGATGTGACTCTCGCTTGGATGCAATCAAAGCATCTTACTTCTCTATCCTTAGCCATCGTATGTACCGACCCCGATATACAGCATAGACCTAATGTCTTGAACCCCTAGTGCCTCTAAAGAGTGCTCCTCTACAACAGGCGACTCGACAATATTCATTTCGAAGGTCTCACATCATCCATTCCACCCCCATAATCTTCCTCCAGCTCTTTTCCATTAACTCTGATCGGATTCGCCTCCTGCAAGACATACAACATCCTCGCCCAAGTGGTCTTACTCGGATTCTTCCACGCATGGTTCGTCCCTCGCTGCACAGCAATATCCCCGCGCTTCAACAACCGCGTAGCCCCAGAATCAAGGACAAGTTCAACCTCGCCCTCAAGGACTACGCCGTAATCTAAGCTAACAGTTCGATGCATCGGCGAAATCGAGCCGGGGTTCATATCAACGACGCGGAGGACGGTGCCGCCGGGGATTGTGACGCCCGGGAGATCTTTGAGGTAAGATGCGTAGACGTCGAGGTCTTTGTTCTCGCTAAGATCGACAGGAATCGTGTTTGTTGCATAGCCGAGAGCGAATCGCGCGCCGTTGGCAAGTTGTTGCCATTGCAAGGGATCTGGTACCTGGTCTTGGAAGCCGGTTACGCCGTCGGCGTCGTGGGTTGTTATGTACCGGTTCAGGGGGCGGAGGCCGTTGTCTTCCATGATGTGATCTGTGTTTCTTGTAGTCTTATAATGAAAGAGTGACAAAAAGCGTGGCCAAAGCTCGTTGCAGAGGCAGAGTACGCCAGCGTTGCGGGGATAAAAGTGTGGGAGCGATAGGATGTGGAGCCGAAACGCACCCCGACCCCCGCGGGTACTTCGGATGGACAGGCTATACAAGGTAGATCCCTCCTGAACAACACTTTACCATCTGAAATCAAGCAAGTCAATGAGTGCTACCAAGGTCGCATTAATCACCGGCGCCTCGCGAGGGGTTGGCGCCGCGGTCGCAAGAGCCCTGGCGGCTCAAGGCGACACACGCGTCGTCGTCAACTACCATAGCAATGCATCAGCTGCTCATCAGTTAGTCTCAGAGCTCGAAAACACACGATCTACATTGCGCAAAATGGATTTCGAAGATTCAAAGCCCTGGTTTATGGCTCTTCAAGCCGACACTTCCAAGCGAGAGGAGATGACACACCTGGTACAGCAGACAATTGAACTGATGGGCCGGCTGGACATTGTCGCCTCCAACGTCGGCTGGACGCGAATGACGGACTTTACGAACCTCAACGATGCAGATGACGAGGCCGATTGGGACCAATGTTTCGACATCAATGTCAAGAGCCATTTCCGACTTTTCCGCGCCTGTCAGTCGTACCTGGAACGCAGTGAAGGGGTGTTTATTGCCACTGCGAGTGTAGCTGGTGTCAAACCGAGCGGGAGCTCGTTGGTATGCTTGTTCTTACTGTAGGGCTTGGTGGCCGGCGCTGACACGTGAATAGCCATATGCCGTGACGAAGGCGGCGCTTATCCACCTGGTCAAGAGTCTCGCGATTGTCGCCGGTCCCAAGATCCGTGTAAACTCGGTATCGCCTGGTGTCCTTATGACGGTGAGTTCACCGAACCTAGATATATCAAATGGGAGGCGAGCTAATTCTTGAAAGGACTGGGGACGAGGATTCCCGGAGGAGAGAATCAACGCCGTGGAGGCCAAGAATGTCTTAAAGCGACTCGCAACGCCAGAGGTGCATCTTTCAGTTCTTATTCTTATATATATGGCTGTACTAATAAGCCCCAGGATGTGGCCGAGCAGGTCCGGTTCCTCGCAAGCTCTCGATCGATTACGGGGACGAATACAGTAATTGATGCAGGGTTCAGTCTTTAGCTGTGCATGGTAACGACGGTTCGCAACGAGGTAGAATAATGAGACTCAGCATCAATTTTTTTTTTCACCTTTAAACCTTTTAGGTATACAAGAAGCACGTTAAGAAACTATTGTCTGCCGGGATCACGCAGTTACCTCGAGTAATTTCTGCAGGGCGTGTATAAGACATTCCACCAACGGAGGCTCACATGTATCCGGGCCACTATGATTATAATGCATGAGTTGTATAGCCATGGTGAGCACCGCTGTGGGATCCCACAGGTCCACAAAGCCCCCCTGGGGCGACCAGCCATGTAGCATTGGTCGACCCCTCCCAAGGGAGATGAAGCGCTGAATATGCTCGGTCTCCTCACTGTCGATCCAGATCGATTCCTGAGCCGTGGAAATGTTGGCAAGGCTCCCTATGGCCATACCATACGCCCATAGTGCTAGCGTCGCTTGATACAGTGCAACAGCTGCAAAGTCGCGTAAGCATTGTGGGCGAGAACCCCGAGCCTCTCGGACAATTTGCGCCGCGTGCCATACGGCAGTTCGACCGTCTTTGTTAGCAGACCACGCCGCTATTGTAGGTGGGATCTGGCCTAGAGTATCTAACTGCTCGAGGCCCGTGGCTAGGAGCTGCACCTCTTCAAGGGACATGTGTAAGTGCATCAGCGTGGTATTCCAAAAGAGCGATGTCTCGTTCCCGTACGCAACTTTGAAGTAGTTGAGCATCTCGGTCAGCTGCTGGTAGCGGGATACCATGAGCAGCCCGGCGGACCATGATCGTGGGGGCGTGCAAGTACTTGCAGTACTAGTCAGCAAGCTCATCTGCCGATATTCCCAGCTCAGACCCCACAACGCCTGGAGGACGGCCGTGCAGGAGAGGTTCATGTCGATTGTTGCTTGATGACTTTCCAGGAGGTCCATGTTCATAACGCATCCCATCAATGACCTTGTACGGAGACTAGGCTGAGCCTCGGACTCATGGAGACAGAGAATATCTCGCCATTGTTCCGCGTTGAGTGCATTCCACAACGTCGGACAAGAAGGGAGCGGGAGGGATAGCTCAGCGTAGGATATGAGCGGCCCAGTAAGAAGCACCGTCGAGCACTGCGTATCGTGCTTCCATAGCCGATACACCAGCCGCTTATTAGACTCAGCGCGTACCCAACGCTTCCAATTGCTCTCCAAGCTCTGACCTGAGTCGTTCGGATGCACTGAAATTCGCGGGTACCTGGCTGCATTGAACAAGCCCCGTCGGCGGATGATGGTAATGAGGGTATGCCGTTTGCTCTCACACAACTCCATCTTGCGACTATTACCGCTCCACAGGCCGATTTCGAGGTGGATCAAAAAGGCTTGCTGCAATTCGAGATCCTTAATCATGGTATTGTCACTCTCGTAGACCGCCGGCAGCTGATGCCGTAGGACCTCCTGCATAGCGAACCCTAGTTTCCGCAACGCTGAATCGGGGGTGAGAAGTGCGCCCGCAGCAGCCATTGCTAATAGCAGCTCAGAACGACATGCTTTAACTGAAAATGTACCCCTGTGTATCCATTCATTGGGGCTCGCAAACGGCGCTGAGAGATAATATCGGGCAAGCCGATCAAGAAGCTCGGGTGACGGGAAGGAGGCGGCGTTGAGGAGGAACGGCTTCGGCATCTGGCCCAGAACTATGCTGAGTATTTTGTCTCGCGATGCCAGGGTAACGCAATCCCCATAATCCGAGTCTGGACAGGGTTGGACGTTTAGGAGACTTTGCGGCGTGGCATTGTGGCCATTCTGGCCACTGAGCAATAGGTTACCGTGTTCCGCGTATCCATTATCCCGTGCAACGGGGACAAAGCGCCATCGTATGCGCTGGGTTAAACGCTCTTCCTTCGCTGCTTGCTCCGTCTCCGTGGCGCCGCCTTCGGTGGCATCCAGTAAGGGTTCCGTTGTTGATACTGTGGCCGCTTCGTACTCAAAAGGGGCCCGTGTGTTGTAAGACTCGAGGAAGCTCAAATCCAGCACACTGAGGTCGAGGTTCGTCTCTAAGCCAAAGCTAACTAGTTCTCCGCGAGACACGGGATACTCGTACTGCAGTGATTCGTCTACGTCGGGTAACAGCATGCAAGTATTTGGAGGGGGTTGTATACTAGATGCACCGACATCCTGCTGGTCCAATGGCTGCTGTGCGTCGACAATCACCTGCAACCCGGCATCTTGAAGTCCGTTTGTCTCAACCGGGCCATCATCACCTGGTCCTGCAACAGGGGCTTGGGCGATTTGATGGACGGGACTACCCGGCAAAGTGCAAGGGATCGCTCTCCTCTGGCACCGACGACAGGGTTTCTCATCGTCACAGCGTAGGTGATCTACAGCACAAGCTTCGCATGCCTTGGATGCTCGTGAGGGTGCGACATTGACCCCATTGCGTCGCCGCTTCGGGGCAGTGGTGTCTCTCCGCGGGTTGTGGAGGGCCGAGTGTCGCGAGAGGAGGTCACTAATCCTGTTAGCGATAGACTCAACAACTCTGCCAGTGCCCTCACACGCGACCGAATCGCTTGTTGCACACTGAACAGCGGTATGGTTTCTCGTGCGTATCTGCCGAGGTTAGCTGCGAGGTTCCGGAAGAGCGGGCCCAAGATGCAACGTACGCGACCGCACGTGGCGCCCAAGGTGGTCGATGCGGGTGAACGACTGCGAGCACGTCCCGCATTGGAAGAGATTATTGTTGGTGCTTGCGGCTACCGATTGGGGGTTCGGGGATGCCATTTTGATCAGACCACCGTGAACAGGTGGGCGAGGTAGGCCAAAGATTATACGTGATCCTGGGAGAGAATACGTATTCGCCGCCTTCAAAGGCATTAAATATCGGAATGTGGGGGGAATGATCTTAGCCACCTTCGGACCTCAGGCACTGAAATTACCCCACAAACACGGGGTCGGAATTAGGTTGAGAATTGGGGTTGTTAGTCAAACTCTCTCAATCGCTCCCAGCAGGGCTGGCCGCCCAAGAAGAGTCACTGAATGGAGCGGAGTCCGACACACGCCTGTTTGACCAGGATTCCTTTGGGCTTTCGATGTATTTCACCTTTCTACTCTCACAAAAACTCCCTACGGCCTACCTGACAGGTCACAGTCCGCCGATTTATGCAGCACCAATCCATATCTCTGCGACAAGTCCACCCTGGAACCGCCTGCGCGCACTCAAGTTATTATTCAACAAATATTGGCTCTCATACTTTATGCCCTGACGCCAGGATGGGCTGGTTGGCTCTTGAGCCTGGGTCATTTTGGCTCTCAGGCTAGGGCTGGAGCCAAGGAACCATTCGGGATTACCCCAGCTCCCCGAAATTAGGCGGCCCGCTCCCCAAGCTTTGAGCTGCGGGAAATGCGGGGCTATTCTGGGCCATGACTCGCTCCCTGCGGAGGTGATGCGTCGCGTGCGATGACGCCTGGATCGGTAGGTAGCTGTGCACTCATTCCCTGTTCAGCGTTAGATGCATTATACACACACTTAGCTTTGAGCGAGTGACTCCATTGCCTAATCGTCCGTAACACGTGCCATCTCACCAGCACACGCGTTCTGAGAGTCCCCAAATGTTGCTGATGGCCTATCACCTCTTGAATGGATAGAAGTCAGTGGGATTATGTCTGCTAGAATGATACTTCTCTGCCTACAGTCAAGAGTAACCATCCCGTCCTCAAGTCCTGTAAGTGCGAATCTTGCAAACAGAACATGCTGAACAAGTTCCGTCGCTGACTGCCGCTAGACTTAATCAATTTCAGAATTAGTAGTTGGATAATTGAAACTAATTTGCGAGCCACGCGTCCTTGGATATGGCACCTTCACGGTCGGGACCGCCATGCGAATTCTTTCTTCGAGATAATGGAGTAGCGGACAGGAAGTACAGTTCCCCTTACCCCAGATTCCCCTCGGCTATGTGACACTAGGGAAGTTTCGTTGTCAGGGGAGCTATAAAAGGGCCATGGATGTCCACAGCATACATACATCGTCTTCTTGCAAGCTATACAGATATCTATCTACTTTCAGCAGAACACGTTTGTTGACAATATGGCGTTCAAGTCCCTCTTTCTTCTCTCGCTAAGCCCAATCGCGCTGGGCTTAGTCTCCATCGTTGACCCAAGCGACTACGTCAACCTGTCCGCAGATGCGGAAGACAATGCCCTCCTGGCAGATTACACGACCGACAATGGTGGCCCGATCTACCTGATTGATGACCTCGCCGGGCAATACACCTACCGTGACGCCGACGCTGAGCTTGACCATGAGACCCTCTCTGTCAATGCCAACGACACCAGTGTGCTGCTCATTACAGAGGGTAGCAATGTCAATATCTCCCATGTGGACGTCGTAAAAAGGGGTTACTCCACATGGCTGAACCAGGCTAGTTTCTTCGGCAGGAATGCAGCCCTGAACATCGCCAATGGGTCGACTTCCTATATCACGGACTTAAATATTACATCGCACAATGGCGCCGCTGGCATCTTTGTCTATGGCACTGGTACGACGGTCCATGTGAGCAATACCGAAATTTACAGCTCCGGGCCGGTCTCTCATGCTCTGTACGCCGCGGGCAATGGGACCATTTACGCCTCGAATATCCGCTCCTACGCTGGCGGAAACCGCTGCTCGACATTCTCCGGCGACAGTCCAGCCGGGTATATCTACGTTTCCGACTCGGTATCTCACACGGCGGGTGTTGGGAGCGCCACATTCTATGCGCTTGGCGAGATTTACGCCAACAATGTCGTGGGACACTCTGAGCAGGCTCCCGCACTGTTCAGCGACGGGTCCCAGAAAGCTGTATTAGAGAATGTTGACCTTACTGCCGGATTGCTGGCTGGAACCGTCATGTTCTCGTCGTCAGCGCGACAGACCGGAGCCTCCCTCTCGCTCACCAACTCTCGACTCACGACCTTGAAGGAGGACATGCCTGCCCTGTGGTTTGGCAACATCATCGCGGATGCAACCATAATTGCAACAGAGCTGAACACCAGTTCCAGGATCCTGCTTGTCGCCAACTCCTCCCAGGTGACTCAAGCGTTTAGCTACTTCGCCGGCGCAGAGGAGAACTCGTCCATCCAACCCGCTGAGGTGTCTGTTACTGTTGCTGAATCCACCCTTGCGGGCGACCTGGTCGCGTACAATGGCAGTTCGATTGCCTGGAATCTCACCGACCACTCGACCTGGACTGGATCCGCGTACCTCGAGGGCAAGGGATCAGCCACCTTCAGCATTTCAGTCGATGAGACGTCTACTTGGACTTTGACTCGGGACGTGATTGTGGACACTTTTACGAATGCGGATCTTGGAAACAAGAACATTCACTCTAAGGGGTTCAATATCCATTACAATTCCTCTGCGCCGAAGAATACCTGGTTGAAGTCTAAGATGTTTACGTTGCCTGGTGGCGGGAAATTACGTCCCCGCTCTTGAATGGGCCTAGATTGCATGAAAATATAGTAGTGTTAACGGGGAGTTAGAGGTAACTGGAGGTATGGAACATACTTGAGCAATGCTGTTTGGGCATTATGTTGCAGCTCGGTGAGAATTGATGCTGGCTAGGTAGATAAACAACCTGAAATTTTACTATGCCATATATTCATGAGTAATATAAGCCTGCAGTAGTCGTATACACATAGCACGTATATAGGTTCGTTTCCCTTCTGGAGACTAGGTCAGGCGGAGAAAATATCTTCGAGTCTCGTCAGAGGCCACAAAAGGACGCTATCCGTCCAGTCATTGATGACTATCGAACTTCTAGCTGCGCTAAGAACGACCATTGCCCGCTTTACTGCAAGGGATGCGTAATGAAAAGCTAGACTAGGTATTCGGTTGTTGGCGGTTCCGAATTACGTCCTCTGCCGTCGTGCCAAACGCACCGTGATTTCGCGTCCTCGTTCGGTTTGCCTAAAATTGGAAGCCCAACCAAGCCCCATAGATCCGCCTGCAGCTGAACCCCGCTTCCGAGTGTCCCCCACATCCCGGGACAACCCTAATAGCCCAGAGGTCCTTACCCCAGGATTCTGCCCCGGATTTATCCCCACCTGGAGTGCCCGGCCTTTCCTAGCCACCCCGGGTGGAGTATAGCGATGACTAGGTACTTTGCACTAAGATTATGGGGGTTGAAAGGGGGGCTCGAGTCGTTTATCATCTGGGGAAAGGTCGTCTTGGCCTTGAGCTTGTAAAACCCTCCAAGTTCCCAATCATATCTCGCCTGAAACCATCGGCTCAACCTGGCCTTTCCACGATAACCGATAAGAATATGAAAGACATGGTCCATGTTGAGGACAGCCAGTCCCATGGACGTTTCCACCTCCACAACTTGGGCCACGTTCGTCTCCGCCATGAGCACACCAACGAGATCATCCTGACACCGACTCCCTCCCTCGATCCTAACGACCCCCTTCGCTGGTCGACAGGTTACAAAATCTACGTCGCGATCCTCGTCTCGCTGGCTATGCTCATGTGCAATTTTATGGCCGCTGGTCCGACGGTCGCCATGGTCGAGATCGCGACCGACTTCAAGCAAGGCGGCAACACGACAATGGCCGACTGGATCAGTCGGGCTGCGTACTTCTTCAACAATAGTGCTTTGCTGCAGGGTGTTTCTTGTCTGTTCTGGGTCCCGCTGCTCAACAAGTACGGTCGGAGACCGGTCTATATCTCGGCTTATATTCTGTACTTCTTTATGATCCTTGGGGCTGGGTTGTCCAAGACCTACGCAGCGGAACTTACGACGCGGACTATTCTCGGTATCGGAGCTGGGGCTGGAGAGTGCCTGGCTCCAGTGACTATCGCGGATGTATTTTATCTTCATCAGCGAGGTTATGGGATGGCGTTAGTGCACCCTTTCTGTTCTTCTCTGTTTATTCCTATTAACATGATAATACTGACGGCTTGCTCATCAGCGTCTACAATGCCGCCCTCAGTGCAGGTGTCTCATTCGGCATCATCATCGCAGGCCTGATCACCATCAACTACGACTGGCGCACCATCTACTGGGTCGGGACCGCCCTAGTGGGCGCCTTAATTATTGTCGTCATCTTCTTCTTCCCCGAGACCGCCTACCGACGTATCGACAACCCGCTCGTCGAACGCGCCGCCGAGGTCCAAAAAGAACTGCCTACAACCCATTTAGAATCTGCCTCCATCCCTCCTATTCCAGAGAAAGAAAGCTACATCCATAGTTTACGCTTTTGGTCGGGAGAGATCTATACGGACGAATCGTTCTGGCGCATGTTTATTCGCCCCTTCGGACTCATCCTCATACCGCCCATCTTCTGGGCTACGATCGTCATGTCTGTGACAATCGGATTCCTCGTTGCTGTTGTCTCGAACTTCGCTTCCGCATTCAGCACAACGTATGGTTTTGAAGCATGGCAATCAGGTCTATGCTTCATCTCTGGCATGGTAGGCTGTTTTCTCGGCACCTTTGCTGGAGGGCCCTTCTCCGACTGGGGTTGCTGATTATTTCACCAAACGCAACGGGGGCATTCGCGAGCCTGAGATGCGACTTCCAGCTATTGCCCTGAGTGTCGTCTGTGCGCCGCTGTCGCTTGTGCTATATGGCTGCGGTATTGATAACAAGTGGCACTGGATGGTGCCCACCCTCGGACTTGGACTGCGTATGTGGGACATTATGAGCCTGGAAATCGTGCCACTAATGCCACTAGTATCGTTCGCCATCACACAAGGAACAAACGTCTCCTTTGTATACTGCATCGACTCCTTCCGCCCCGTCGCCGGCGAAGTAACGGTCACCCAGTTGGCCTTTAAATGTAAGTTAACCCGGTCCCCTTCTCATACAGCCCTATCAGCCTGAATCATCCCACTAACTCTCGTAGCCTGCTTCGGCTTCCTCCTTTCCTTCTACACAAACCCCTGGATTGATAAGTCCGGGTACACAGCCGCGTATGGAGCTATGGCAGGTATCTCGGGCGGCTGCCTCCTCTTCTTCATTCCGCTCTTCTTCTGGGGTAAGTCGATACGTCAGGCAGCCATGAAGTGGCCGGCTGTGCAGTTTGTGTTTTGGAAGGATGACCGTGAGGTTGGAGAGTAGAGCTTTCTCTGTTCTGGGTTCTATCTGTAGCAGAGCCATCGGATGCTGTATGGGTATAGTTTCAGGTCGTGTTTGCCGTTGTGTGGAACAGGGAACTGGCGCTATAGTCGCGGGACAACCAGAGCTAGGTAATCGCTGGGGAAGTCTGACTGCAATGGCAAAGAACTCCTGTCGATTATGCTCATCATGCACATGACGTATAAAACTAAGGATCGGCGCTATATGAAGCAAAACATAAGTGCTCTTGGTATATACAAGCACAAGGTGAGGAGAACAGGGGTTCCGGTCCGCTTAGCTGTACTTAAGCCACACGCCGATAGGTTAGTAGTATAGGGGGCGAGAAACAACAGCAAGGGCACGATGGCTTATCCCCTAGGGTGTAGGCAGTTATAAGGGATTATTGAAATACATAAACCTATAAATTTAATAGTATAATTATTAATTTTAGTACATCAGTAAAGATAACTAGCTAAAATATTACTCTATTTATATTAGACAAACTATTATATAATCTCGTTGAATATTATTAGTTTACAAATATTTTTTATCTATAGGCTCTGTAAAGCAGTATAAATATCTATAATAAATTTTTAAACTAGTATATATTTAAATAAAGACAGCAAAATCTATATAGTAAGCTTAACTAACTATTTTATTCTAAAATTTATTTTTTAAATTTATCTAGAGTAGTAATTACTAATTAGAATAGCACTATTAGTAACTATATAGTTTTTAAATATTTTTTATTATTTACAAGCTTATTCTATAAACTTTTTTTTAATTATAATAATTTTCTCGCAGTTTATAATCTATTTTTAAACTAAAAATATCTTATTTTAAAAAAAATTAATTAATATAGCAAAGCTATTTCTTTATAGTATTATTTATAAATGTTATAGGACGAATAAAGATGGACCTTCCTATCTAATTATGCTGTATAAATGAGAAGAAATAGTTAAGGAATAAGAAATTATGTAGTAATTAGATATTAATAAATAAGGAGATAAAATAATATATAGTAATAGAATAACTTATAGTCTATAGAGCTAGTTATCTATAAAATTCTACTAAGCTCTAGCTTATAATTTATATAAAATCTATAATAATAGCCCCTTTTTTCTCTAGATTTTAGTTAGCTTACGTATATATAAGCTTTAGCTAGTAAAACTGCAAACTAGTTAGTAGTAAAGTTTATAGATCTAAATTTAAGAGAGTTTATAATAGATAAAAAGATCTATAAAGGGAGACAGATAATAGTAGATCTAGCAATAACACTATATATTAACCTAGATTAATAGATAGATAGATAGATAGATATATTTACTAATTTATAGAATTGCAGAAGGCTTGAATAGATAAGAATAATAATAAGAGAGAGAAATAGAAGAAAACAACTATCTTTAATTTAAAACTATTAAAATAAGTCTTTTTTATTGATTATTAATGTGTTAGCGACGCAGAAATGCGTAATAGATTTATTAATATATTTAAATATATTATATAGAGAGATTACCCCTAAGAAAGGTTTCTTTAATAGAGCTATAATATATATTATATAAAGAAGATATTTAGGACATGCATTGTACTAGACAGGAGTAGAGTGGGCAATGGCCAGGTGAGGGGAGGTTAAGGACCTCTATTATAACCTGACCGTAGGTTAACGGTAAAATTAGATACCTTATTTTCACCTAACTGCGGTATAAAAAAAACAGGTTAAATTAATCTGATTAACTGTTCTTAGTGCTAAGATCTTTATATCTTATCTATTTAGATCTAATCTAATTAAAATTCTAATTAAGTTAACCGTAGTTAACCTCTCTATTTTAACTAATTTCTTAAAAATTTATAATAGAAGCGTTATTTAAATTTTTAAAAAATATTAAAAATAAATAACTATATATCTTACTTAAATTATTTTTATAATAATATTTAATCTTTTATAGAGCTAATATAATTTTTCTTTTTTAGAAAAAGTAGATATTATCTAGAGATATAGGATAGAAATATATATTAATATATACTTTATTTTATATTACTAATATTAATAGTAGATTTTAAAAATAATCTCGCTTATAAATATTATATTAATTAGTTATAGTAATACTATTTTTATTTATAGGTTTATTATTAATAGAGATACTATATCTTCTATAGAATATTCTTTATTTCTAGTATTTTTATAGTAATAAATACTAGTACTAATAGTAGTAGCTAAATAATTATAGATTCTATTTTAACTACTACTAATCTCTATTAAATTTATTATATTTTAAAAGTAATGTAACGCGTTCTATTTATTAATTTATTTAATATTATATTTTCTGAAAATTTCTTTTTTCTATCTTTCTATATTAATACTATTAATAAAGTCTTACTATTTATTATAATATATTAATCTTATCTCTCTAATCTATATTCATAAAATACTATTATACTATTCTTTTTAATTTTCTAAATCTTTATTAATAGTAATAATTAAATAAAGATTAATAACTATTTTATTTTTTTTATCTTCTAAGCTTAGCTTTTTATATCTTTTTAAAGGCTATAAAATTATTTAGTATTCTACTAAGTAAGAAAAAATTTCTATTTTAAAAAATAGTAGAATACTATTATCTAGATCTAGAAATAAAGAAAAACTAAAAAATTATTATCTTAATTTAATTTTAAAAAATACTTCTTTATATAGAATAAATTCTATAAAAATATATAATTTCTAAATAAAATTCTCTATATCTTTTATATTTTATATTCTTATTTATTTTAATATCTGTTAATAGAGTATATAAAGACTAGTTTAATAGTCTATTATATTTAAAAAAGCTGTTTTAAGAAATTATTTTTTATATTTTCTAAATGAATAGTAATTTAGATACTAAGTAAAAAACTAGTAAAGTATCTGCTTTTTTTATACTTATTTTATACTAAAAGTTTTAATTTTTTAAGATTTAGTAACTATCTATACTAAATAAGAATTTCTAGATT